CCCGAAACCCCTAGTTCTCCTTACATTTGCGCCCATGTTTATAAACAGCAAGGTAATCTCATTTTATCTTTTCCCAGCATACTAATGTACTGTAAATTTGCATTTCTCAATCGTTTATGGTTTTAATCTACTTGTAGTAGATTATAAAAAGGTGATAGCAGATTTGTAGAATCTTTATTTCTTCTAAAAATAATTCATTAAAATTTCCTCTAAAAGTTTCTTTCGAAATCAACGGCATCTTTGATTCAAAAACCGATGCTTAATAAGTTTTTTTAAGACCTATAATAATTTTATATCTTAATCCGAAGATATAAATTTCGTTAAAATGTTACACAATTTTAACCTTTATTTTGCTTTCTCTTATATTTAAAGATAGCACGTTTATAAAATTAGTAATTAACTCAGCTCTGACCAATAAAGTATATTTTGATTTTTGCGGCTAAAATAAACATTTTGGAAGTACTTAGTTTTAAATTTTGTTTCGTAAATAAGCTGATCTTTATTATCTTTGTTTGCTTACAATGCTAAGCTGTGCATTGTTATGAAACCAACAAAATTCATTTTCTCCAAATAACGCACCTTTAAGAATGCTGCAGGGTGCGATGAATGCTGGCAAGCAATATTTCTCTTAGGTGAAAAATTTTTGAAATTGCTGTGCTCCTATGGAAATCTTCCTGTAGAACATATTATTTTGTTAGTACCTATTTTTCTTTAGAAAATGTTTTATTTTATTTTCATTTTCTTCAATTTGCTAATGGAAACAAAGTTAACTTTCCCATCATTGCCACCAAAGAATCTATAACATAATTTCTTAACATTGTTTTAAACAACGTGCTCAAGCAATCCTTTGTTTGTTTTTCTTTGCATGAGTTATACTTTCTTGTTGCTTGCATTCTTGACTTATTACACCAAAACGTGATTGAAATCTTGTTTAACCACAAAAAGCCAATTTGTATAAACACCAAATACCTGATATTATAGGTACCAGTGACACCTTTAGTAAGTGATATGCCGTATAACTCTTTATGAAACTACAAATGGCCTAGCTCAACAAAGATTCAACTTCCACTTAGCCAATATTAGCAATCCCATTGAACTAAGTGTTGGTCTCTGCACCCAACTGTTTCTTACGCTTATTTGACAAATGATTTCACGCACTCACTCGTAGCACTTTCTATTATAAATATCCCTAGACGACAATTCCATTGTATATTGAAGTTTTATAAATTCGTAGAGGTGGCTTTCCCGGCACGCCAAAAAGCAGTTTCTTGTTTCTCAGCAGATCTTTCTGTTCTAAAATGAACAAGCCTCAATACTCGCAGTTTTTACAGTCTTTTCTGCAACAGCAGCATTGCATGCACAGTATGCTAGTCCTTTAACTGCAGATTTTAATCAAACGTTAAACTTTATTGCGAAATCAAAAAAGCAAAAACGCCGGGCACGATTCGCAGTCGAATTGGCTTAGGCTAAACGTTCTATGAAACATTTCATTGTGAACGAATAATGAAAAACGCACCAAAAGTGAGTCTCTGAAAAAAAACATTTAATTTTGCATCTTCATATGTCCATCATATCTTACTATACGTCTGTAGTCTGTAGGGGTCCGCAAGCTTTTTTCACCTAGAGGAAATCAGGCTTATCTTTAGAAGCAACCACGAGATGTCCTAAGAAGAAGAAGGTCGTCTCCTGGTGATGAATATCCCTTGATAGTCATGGCATCTCTTTATCTAAGAGTTGAGGTCTTTTGATACAGTTAAGTTAGATTCTCAGTCAGTTTTATCTGTGAAATTAATTGCATCTATGAACTTTTACAGTGAAAAACATCATTCCTGGGCGACCAAATCAGAAGCAAAATGACTGGGGCAACCAGCCTGGCGTCACTGTTTATTTGCATCAAGATAAGAAGTCTTCCATTCCCATCCCGGTGAAGACCGGATCGGCTGCAGTGCAGAGCCCGGGTTCATTTCCTTTGCAGATGAGAAAGATCTCGCCGAATATGAACATCGGCGCTGTTGTTCCACATCAAGCAGAGTATGGTAAGGCGATCGGTTAATATTATTGGTGGCTTTCCAATACACTGCTTTTCCATTGTTGTTATCGTAATGACGGTAAACTTGAGAGTGGAACAAGTTAGAATCTCTAATGTCTTGAGATGCTTTGAGGTCTTTGAAGTTGAAATTTTCCTTGTAGAGTATCCATTTTTTTCTGCAGAAGATGCTAGTTGTCCGGGTATAGCAGTTTTCAGTTGTTAAACCGCCAGGAGAAAAATGTGTTCACCAATAACTTGCCACTGTCACTAACAAGACATTAGCGATCAAATTTCATTTGCAGGTGAAACAGTAGAGTCTATTATGAAGAGGCCAGAAGAAATCATTGCGAAGAAATCAGAAATCCCGCATGCGGATGCAACCACAAAGCAAGCATCCGATTCGAAAAAAGAGACGGTCGCAAAGCCGGAAGCGGCAGAAACTAATGACGCTTCGAAGAAGGACTTCCTCCAGCAACCATTCACGGGTCAACAGCAACAACAGGCAGCTTTCCAGACTATGTCACAGTTTGGTGCATTGCAAGGCGGTCAAAATGCTGCGTACCAAATGGCACCAGCTGCTGCCGTTGCACCAGCAGTTATGGCACAGCCAGCTGCTGCAGCTGCTTCAAACCCAGCTGCCATTCCAGGTACTAAATGGGTTGCTTAGTAAGGATGCTGTTGTGAAGCTGTATAGGGGTTACGTCAGGCTCTTTAAGCTAGAGCTGTCAGCATTAACCAACTAGTGAAATCTTCTTTATACGATTCATTTCCATTTTCTACTGTTTAAGAAGCCATCCAGTGACATTTACCTGAGAATTAATAAGAACAACCGGTAACATTTCTCCATCTTTTACAAGGCAGTGATATTTTCCTTTATTGTCTAAGAACCCATCGTCAGCACATATTTTAGAACTAAGAAAGCTTGACAAATCTAAAACTTTTGTAGCTTTTTTAACCTTTATCTTTACGCAAAGTATCTCTTAATTTGATGTTAACTTCATATATGTTCTGTTTTTAAACAATGTTTCCTGTTTTTTGATGCAATTTGAAGTTGATCTAGGTGTGTGTTCAAATTAGCTTTAGGGGTCTCTTTTCTTTGCAGCCATTGAGTCTGGGATTTTTTTATCTTTTTTCACTTCCAGGCGAGCCCTGCACTGATCAATACGACACTTGTACTGACTTCGCCAAAAATCAATATTGTGTGAGGTACCCAGCACAGATGTCAATACAATGCAGAAAATCTTGCAAATATTGTGGTAAGTCTTGCTCCTTCTATTTAGGTTAAAGGCCTTTGTCTTAACATCTTGTCAAAACCTTTTCACCGAAAGATGGGTTTTTATCTAGTTTTTCTATTGAATGTTTAATTGTACAATTTTGCCTCATTCTTAATATAATTGAGAGACATGATATTAATTTCTGTAACTATTTGCTCCCATTGTTATAACATTTGAGAAACAAATCAATTCTGTGTATCTTCAGTTGCTCCAGAGATGCCTGCTGTTGATTCAAAACAACAAATTGCTACTGCCACCCAAGGTGCTTCAAGCACATTAGTTGCCCAGGGACACCCTGAAGCACAAACTGCACAAGCAGTGCCTGTTACAAACAAAGAGGAAGATTCCTCTGGTTCAGGCAGTGGGGATTCCTCTGGGTCTGGTGACGTTGATCAAGGTAATTTTTTCTAGTCTTCATCCAAAGTTATGGTTGATCGACGGCTTCGCTATGCATAGAAACGTTTCTTAGGGACTCAACTCTCTACTGCCTTTGGCACAATGTTCGTTTTTTGAATACTGACCTACATGGCCCGATTGGCTACCACTGCCCGGAATATTGCTGCCAAGAGCTTTGTTATTTTATGGCTCCGTAGTTTTTTGTATGTTTTTAATCTCATATTATGTTGTCTAAATGCAGTCGTCTAAAGCAGCTTGGCATTCAACAGAAAATACTGTATTACAATGCATTTTCTGATTTTACTCTATTCGGTACAGCATTAGTGGTGGTCTTTGAATTTCGTGTTTTGTTACCTGTAAAACAGACTAGGTCAGGTTTCGTTTATGTTTAGATAGGCCGATGAAGGAGGTCTATTTTCAAATACGATACTAGAGACTTTGCTGCTTTTGAAAAACTGGTCTCCAACACTATCCAAGAAATGAATAGCGCGTTATTAGCAACAAGGATAGATTTTCAAAACAAAGCAAACAAAATTGCACTCTTGTTCAAGAAAATGGTCCTAGCTCTTGTTTCGCATCTTTTCTCATAACATTCTGCGATCACTCTATTTTTGTTCATCCTCTGACGTCATTCGGGATCAACTACAACAACAGACCCTTTATCGGTTCGCCTTGTGTGTTGGCTTAACTCTAGCGACCAAGTCAGACCTTGAAAATATTTTAACGGATCGATCTTTAATCTTTCGGTCTTTTAAAATAATTTATAAGACCATAAAACAATGACTTCGTAATTAATCCTAGGCTAACTTTTTCTCAATTTATGCTCTCGAAAGTTGTTCTCAAGATATTACCCAAGTTTGAGGTCATCTTATTTTTTTATCCAGCTTTTAACGATAATACAATAAACGTTGTTCTTGGAAAATGAATTTGAAATTTGCAAAACGTTTTATTATATACAATAAAATTTCTTTATCGAACTATTTTATTGCTTTACTCTTTTTATCGGTCAAATCGTTCATAAAACACGAAATACAAGCGACAATCAAGAATTCTTCATTTAATTTTCTCGAGGATGATTTTAGTGATTCAGTAATCATTGTGGCTATTGTTAATCAATAGATGCTGCTGCCAAGAGGTCGTCTTCCGTTACTAACAGTTTATATCTACCCGAACTCGGTTCTGGGTCAGAATCTGGGTCCGGATCCGGAGACTCTTTTGCAAGCGGAAGCGAAGCTGCAGTGGTCAGGCAACTTGCCTCAGCACAGAATATCGTAAGTGGCATTGGGATGAGTGCCGACACTAACAAACCAATGAACAGCACCAGGAAATCTTTTGTTCCAATTATGAGAAATGCTTTGAAGCCAAGAAAAGCAGTTGCATCGCCGATCGTAAGAAGAGCAATATACCGCAAAGGCCTGTTAGCCCGCTTACCGCAATGGATGCTGAGAATGTCAATAATCCGGAAGATGACGACGACGACGATGTCTCTTCTGCATCAGGCTCAGGCTCGGGGTCTGGGGAGGAAGTGACGTCACAGCAGATCGGTCAGTATACAATGAATTGAGTGTTCGCTTTTAAATGCTCAATTCATACTGTTTAAGGTAATGAAAATTCTTTCGGGTGAATTTGGCTCAAAAGGCGATATCAAATTTATAGCGTTGTTTGTCTTCTCATCTCTTGAAAGAAGATATATCTAACTTATGTACTTCTTTATCAAATCATCGATCTTTAAACATGAACGCAATACTAGATATTCACCGATATTTGTCATGCAAACATGAAATTGTACAAGCAAACAGATTCTTGCGTTAGAGATGGTTCTTCTGCTGCTATCCATGTTAATGTTATATCTCTTTGACAGACACCAAGTCAAAGATCCCAGAAGTTGCCAAGAAGCCACAAGCTGCCACGGAATCTAAAAACAAGAAGAAATCAGAGATTCCGCAGAAACCTGCAGCAGCCCCAGCAGTAAGCTCTGCATACCCGCGAATCGACCTCAGGAGGATTGCTTCGGCCCTTGCCAATTACGAGGAGGCTGCGTTGAATCTCGCAGGAGAATACCCGCATATAACTGCTGCCGATAGTGACTTAGTCACAAGGTCGCAGATACCTCATCCGGCCAGCCTCGCATTTCCTTACAACAAGCTGAGACAAAATATTCAGATTGCCAAGTTAGTGACTCAAGACGACCACAAACGATTCGAAATACCAAAGTATTTGCTTGTTGGTGACCAAATAACAGAGAAAGATGGCATTGCCAAGGATTCTGCACTTCCAGCTGCTGATTCCATCGAGTCTGTAACGCAGAGATTCCAAGTTCCCGGCATACAGCCATCATTGCAAGACTTGTATGCAGAAACCGGAAGGGCTCCATTCGAAAGCGAGGCTGCAAAAAGAATGAGGATTTTCCGAAAGAAAAAGAAGAAGGTGAGGATATGGGTTTATCACGATCTGCGAAGAGATGATAGCTTCAACTGTTTACATATGATGAATGCCTCCACACGATAAAGTGCACTGTCCCCTTGGAGTTAAATGAAAGAGTAGTGAGGAAAGTTTGTCTGCAATTCCTGCTTGGTTTGAGATATTTGGCTTCTTATGTCTTGTTCAGAATAACTTCATAGGAGATTTTATGTATAGGATTCTATGCTTTTGAGCTATGCCTAATTTGCCTTTTTGGTCAATTGTCTCTTATATCTTAATATGCATATTCGGAATTTTTCAGGTCCAGAGACCGGTGGATCCCTTTGAATACTTGAGGAACATGCCTGCGGGAGCTTCAATGGAGCCTATTATCGATCCCCATTCGAAGTCGTCGACACGGCAATCGGTATCATACCCTGTGTACTTGATGAAAGTTATGCCCGGATCGCATAAATATGTACCGGGTAAGTTTTATCTATTTCCCGGAAACGGTAATGGTTGTAAAGTGCAATGGGCAAAACCATGCTTTAAGGTCTTCTCAGAGTGACAGTACATCACTGGGGCAGGAAAACCCCTACAGATTCATGGCTTTTTTGACTTAATGGTTATATCGTTGGATGTCTAACTCGGTTTCATGGTTACAATTTGTGATGGGTTAGCTCAATTGAAGATTGTTAGAGAGTTGCCGAAGTCAAATGATCTACAATATTTAATTATGAAGAAAATATTGAATGCATTACTAGTATGTTTGGCTGAACACATTTCTATCTCATCAGTATTTCTACATTTTCTTCTTCTGTTAGAAAAACATCATTTCTGCTTGTAAATTTCCATAAACTTTATCAACACCATACTTCATATTCTATTTCAGCTACAACAAGAAGCAAGGTGGATTCCGTCCCAAAAAGGGGTGAACAAAAATCGAAAGCTCCTCCGGCGCCTGTTGCTGCTGCACAAGCTCCTGCTCCTAAACAGGAACCCTTAGCACCTGTAAATAACTTACCAGAGTTTGAGGCTGGGCCTGGACCCGAGATGGATTCTGTGGCTGTCAATGGGCCAGTCCCTGACTTCAACACTGTACCTGAGAGCGAGGTCCAACTTGGTCCTGCAAAGGAGCAGCCCGCCTTTCAAGTGGCAAACGAGGCTGCGCAACAATTCCCGTCAAGAAATCAACAAAGAGTTGAGATGGTGCAGAATATGAAAGAAGAGCAACCCTCTCTCCGTATGTTATCTTTACTTTTTCAAACTTGACACCTGGTCAGATTGAAGAAGTTATAGCTTAAAAACATCCTTATCTTTGCAACTTTAAATCTTTATGCTTACGATATTTCTAGCAAAATCTCTTGATGCAATTTTTTTGTTTTTTTGCGCTGTTCTCACCGACAGATGCTACCAGACGTTTTCACCTGTTTGGAGGATTCTATTAGATTGTTTTTATTTTTCATCAAGGTACAAAAATGTTGAGTGCTTTCTTTCACAAGAAAGGAGAAGAACAGGGCTCAGGCTCTGGCGAAGGTGAGAATTTTAATAATTGATGATATTTCTTGAGTCTCTTAACACCAACAAAGCTTTAGTTTCTTTCATCTGGGATTCTTAGCAGCAAAGTTTTAAATCAAGGATTGAAAAAGTTGAGTCATGTAAGGGATCTAGCTATAGTGAAAAAGGATGATGATTATTCGTGGCAAAAATTAAGGATTGGGTTTCAAGGCCTATCATCAATTAAGTAACTTATCTTTGTCAGATTATCAGAGCACTCGATTCACCAGAACGCAGAATATGAGCTACATTTTCCTAATCATTTCAAATGAAGCTTAGTATTGTCCATGTCCTTTTTGTTAGAAATTGTTATTTTTTTGATAACCGTAATGCCTCCCAGACTCTGACTTGACTGCGAATTTTCTATGATACCAATCAGTGGTGACTTGTTTTTGTTGTTGTTAACGATGGAAATGTTGATAATCTTCCTTGGCTGATGAAATGACAGCCCATGATATTATTTTTTTGTTTTTGAACAGTTTTTGGCTGAGAATCCTGGAGGCATTTCATCATTTCAGGGTTGCTCGGTATCGTGTCTGCGCCCCAACATCAAAATAAGGCCTAATTTAAAACTGGTTTCACCAAAGTAAATTTCGCTTACCTAAATCTTTTCTCAAAAGAAGAAGTTTGTTGTCAAAAGAGGAGAAAATTACCTTTTGCTATGACTAAAACGAAGCCAACTGCAGGTTATCAACATTTCTGTGTCAATGTATTTGTGTCAAAGTCCAAAAATGAGTAATGGCGAGCAAGCAGAGCATTACACAAGTTTGTTCTGTTTTGCAGGCAGTCAGATAAATACACGAGAAACGATATGGGGAACTGGAGGCTTGATACCCGAGCAACCGCTGATGATGCCGGCACTGCAGTGAAACTCGCCTAAAAACCTCTCCTCTCACAAACGAACATACCAAATATAACACACAACTTCATACTTACATTAGACCATAGAATACTTTAATGATTAGCTGTAAACATTAGAGTTATTCTTTGCAACCTTTTTAAAGCCACAGCTAGCTTTAACTTAATCGACAGCCTCCGAAAACTCTTCTTAAAGATTAAGTATTGATAAGAAGTAATTAATTCAAGACTGTTTGACACCTAGAGGGAGAAAAGGCCATAATCAAATTTACAAAAGGGTTCGAAATTCGTTTTTATTTTATATTGGCCCATCTTCCTCTCAAAACTTATTCTTTGCTTGCGATGCGTGATGTGCAAAGATATTTCATCATCTCACGATAAGCTCGTTCTTTATTTTTAAAAAGTAAAATTTCTAATTATTGATTGTAACAATCAAAATAAGCTGCTTAGTTTACACCTCATTTGAGAAATTTTGATTTTAAATATCCTCTTTAAAGTACTTTATCTTACCATCAATAAACACAGCGACCCGAAACATAAACCTTAATAAATTGGGTTTTTATAAGTCCCTAAAGTATCTTCTTTTATGATTGAATCTTTTATGATTATGTTTTTTCTGTAAAGATTTAAAATCTTGCTCTTTACTAGATAAATTAAAGAGATAAAAAAATAAATTAGTGTTCATTTCACGTACATAATACTTTAAATATTTCGTTTACTATCCTTTTCATAAGAAAGTTTATCTTTGATATTTTTACGAACCTCACAAATAAGATTGAACTCATTTTTGTAGACAAATTTTTCTTAAACTTGTTTTATATAGCTTTTTAAGTTATTGTTGAAAACGTTGAAGATTTTACTTAAAATGTTTTCTGTTATGGCTTGCAATCCTGTTTTCCGAGGCAAGATTTGGATCAGTTAAAGCGGATTTATCTTTCATTTGAAAACTTTGATGAATTGGTAATTACTTCAGCTGTAAAAAGTGTTTAACAAAACATGGAGCCTACGTTAAACGTTAAGTTATAAACGTGTTTCTTATAGACACCTAAACACTCATCTCAAAAGTTTCTCTAAGAAAACACTTGAAAATAGAAGCTTAATAGCCGTAAGAACCACGTTAGATATTGTTCGAAAATAATTGCTTTTGCCTAAACTTATTAATCAAAATATTACACTAGGGTTCTTAATTTTATATTTCACTAGGGTTGGCTTTGTTCCACAAATTAATACTCCAAAATAAATTGATTTATATAGAGTAGGCAACATCGCACTAGACAATTTCAGTATACGGCCGACTACATATATATGCACGAGAGGATACACCCACAAAATTTTGAAGCTAATCAGTTGAAACCACCCAAAAACCTTGCAATATTTTCAAGTCTTTTAGTTACAAGGAAATGACACTGCAATCTGTCACAAGAAGAGAACCAGATATTTGCTAATTGTAGAAATGCATTAAAATGGAATACATTGAGTGACACGCAAGAAATCCTAAGAATGCAGGACTGTTCTGTTCGCGTCTTTCATCTTGTTTGAAAAACATCTCAGTTCTCGTGCATATCATCTCAAAATTCAACAACTTGTTTTCGTGTACTCCTGTAATTCGAATAACCCAAAGGTTTTTTGCTACAATCTAGATTAATAAATCAATAAAGTTTTAACTAAAATTTTCGTTCTAATCATCTTCACAATATCTACCCTTTTTCACAAGAAACATGCTTTATATCCCCAAAGTTGAAACTACACCAGAAAGAGCTTCAAATCTCTGGATTTCTTTAGCCCAAAGATCTGGATTGCAATTCCATATGCATTAAAACTATTCACAAATGAACATCAATCTAAAGCTGTTACTTGACAACTAATTTCTTGCTGCCAACGATTTCACAACACAAACTCTGATAGTTTTCACTTTACTGTTCATTTTTCTCCTTTTTGGTCTTTATGTCAGGAAAATATGACAGATTTAAACAAGGCACATTAAGCTTGGAAAGGAAGTTTCAAAAAGTATTTTTAAGGTGTTTGGTATGCTGGGAATTCTTAACGAATGGTTTGCTCTATAATAGTTGATTCAGTGTCCACCAAGGCTGAATGTTGACTACAAGTTTCGTGTACTTGTGTTCTGGTGTAAAGACTATAAGACCCAAAGTAGCCAATCATACCAAGACTGATAGGGTGATCTGACCTGATTCAAGCAAATTGATCGTATGATCGCAATTTTGATTTTTTGATACTTCAGGCAATGTTCAATTCAGTTGGTTTAAAATTCAATTTGCTGTTGTAAGATTTATGATCAAATATGTTTATAGGGGAGGCTGCTCATACAAGAAATGAAATTAAAGGTGAAGGGTCAGGGTCAGATGCAGGTGAATCTTCAAATGCCAATGTGATGTCACTACAGAAGTTGCTTGGCTCTGAAGATGGCGGGAATGAGTTTGGCAGGATGAGAGACAACGCCCAGCACTTCTTTGACGCATTGCCTGCCAACCAGAAAGTTGCAAATTACCTTCAAAAGACAAGTCCGTCCAGTTATCTAGAATCGAATCTAGCAGCTCTTACACCAGAAAGCTCTGTTGCTGCCCCTAATGCATTTAGTACTCAGTCAGGATTGACAGCTGGAGCTTCAGGTACGTCATTCAAATTCACCAAAGTGCCCAGGGAATAGTTCAGGTTAAGCTCTCCAACCTAATCATTTTGTTTTTTAGATGGGATAATGAATTCCTTGATTCCTTTACTCAGTCATAACTTTCTTTTCATTTTTTGGTTATAAGGGGGTGTTTATCAATCTGTACGTTAAACTCTAATAGCCTTGTGTATTCTCAACTATGTTACCGTAAAACAGAATTGCTAAAATTTTTCCTTTAATCAAAACAGTTAACAAACTATGATTAGTCTACGAATGTTCCTCTGACTGTCAAAATGCCTCAATAATCTCAATGATTGAATATTTTTCAAGAAAGATAAACTCATCTTTTGTTAAATCTAATATCTGATAATCTTCAAGAATTATAAAATAAGAAGCAATATTTGATAATCCTTTCAGCCTTATTTTGTTTCGAATCGTTGTTTTCAATTCAACAAAATGCGTCAAAATTTATTTAGAAGATTAACCTCAGACGTTTGAGGTCATTTTGGATTAAGTTTTCATCTATTTGTTATCTCAAGCAAAGATTGTTTTTGTGAACAAAATTTACTTGCTTTTTAATATCTCTATTTGAAACCAAAATGAAGAAATTCATTTTTCATAGTAATTGTCAGTTTTGCTTTTATTAAATTTTGCTGTACGGATTTATCCTTGACACAATACTGTCTTTTTCATGATTTCAGTTTCTAGCCAACGAAATTTTCACAAATTAAATTTCTATTTCCATTCCCTTCTCAAATGGAAAACAAAGGCAGGCCTCACTTTAAAGGCTTTAAAGCTTATATAAAAAAATGTTTTCTAAGCAACAGTCCTTTGTAGTTTTCCTCAAAATTACCATCTTGTTTCATAACTTTGAAGATATATAACCACCATAGCGGCGTCTTCCCTTTGAAAGAGAAATCAAATCACATTGTGCTATCTTTGACATTTCAGTAGTTTTAAGAATTTATTCATTCGAAGTTTCTTTCACATTTTTAATTAATGCAATAAGGGATGCTTAACTTTAAGTTGTCTCAAATTTCTTTCCCGACAGTTAATTCACGATCTATAAAAGGCTATTACTTGAGTTGTTTATTACCACTGTATCGATCCAAACAACTTGATTTTTCTATATGAAGTAAAACGAGATTTAAGCTTCCATTGCATGTCAACAACTTGCTTATGACGTTTTTCAGTGCAGCTTTGTTACCCAAGCAGCTGCCGACTAGTATGACATTGAGCAAGCGCATTTGTCCCAACTTTCACTTGCTAACTAAACTGCTTTCTCGATACACGTTTGCTTCTGGCGTAGAACTGAAAATGTCAAAGTAAGCCATAGCGAGATAGAAAAAGAATTTATTGAAATTTTGGCTTTTTTCTTCAGTTAATCAACATGGGCGTGGTCGGTACACTCAATTATCGAAACAACAAAAACGAAGCGCTAAACAACTGTAGGGCTGGGCGAAAAGTGCTTTGTTGTTGTGTTGTTGCTTATTCTACTTTCTTAAAACAGCTGAAGTATCAGTTGAACCGATTAAATCATATTACTACATTGATGTTCCAGGAAGCTTACCTCAAATTTGCTTGAAGTGTCTTTTCAGACAAGTTGTAGATAGATACGGGAATAAAAGTTCTTTCATATTCATTAGAACATTACTTCAAGGTTCCATGATGGAGCAGCAATTTACCCCATTTCTGCAACCCCATTACTATTTCAATGCCTTATGTAATTCAACCTTTTAACCATTTTCTTCTTCCCCTTTGGCATGGTAACCTGATGTTCCGGATGCCTCATTTTCTTCGCAGGATCTCGTTTGACCATGAGCCAAACCCAAGAAACAAAATGGATGCGACCGGGTGTCGGTTCTGAGCTTGCTTCCATAATGCCAGAAACGAATGCTCCAGCGGAGGCGAGGACCATTTCAACTCAAGGTAATTATGCATTAAGGTATAAAGTCTGTGCCATCTTGTAGTATATAATACATCATGTCACATTTCAAGCATTTCAAGTCATTAACAGCTTTATATCATCAAACTGTTAAGAGGATATTATTCAAAACAAGCCATATTGAACATTTTGTGTTTGCTAAAGTATTATTCACGTTGAAAATGTGTCTTTGCTAGTTTCAGATTTCTATTTTTCCGTTTCAATAATCTGTCTCTTTTTTCTAGCGCCAACCCGATTGATGTTTGCCCCAGTTACGCAGAATGCATTTCCTTATGGTAAGTTTGACAGCATTTTTGTTAACTCATCTGCATATTCTCACATCATTCTTTAGATGCATGTCTTTGTCCTCGGCATTTGGGGATTGTTGGCTATTTTTACCTACATGTCCAATCCCAGGGAGCAGTCATGATATAATGCCCTTCTGGGCTTCCGTCCTTGTAATTTGGTTTAGTAGTTCGTAGTTCGTACGTACTGTTTCAGGTCATTTGTTAATGTGAGTTTCAATTAAACCTTAATATATTTCAGAGCATGCTCTCATCATCGGAACTCTCTGACTCTACTTCTGCTATCTTTGAAGCTTTCCCCATTTCTCTTTGTTCTATTTCCCCCACTCTTGGAATGTGATATAAAATGAAAAAATAGTTTTCTGGATAAAATGTTACTCCGTGTCGACGTCAGAAGGTAGCTTTGTTTATTATCTGTGAAATTGTATGAAAAATTTGTCATCTTTTGTAGTATAGTTTATATGTCTATCGTCTTAACATGTTAATGTAACTATTTCTTCAAAGTTATTGACAAGTAATGCTTTCTGTTGTATCCTGTTTCAATTGCTATAACCCTGTTCGTATCTAGTGAACGTTGTATTTCTGTAAGATATTAAAACCGTAACATAAACCTGTACTGTTTACCGTCGTGTGCTTGTAAAATCGTAAAGAAGTCAATCTTTGCGTTTGTTGATGTTGCTGTATCGATGGTTGTTCTGTTGCTGTTTTTGCTAATTTGGCTAACAATTTCAAGTGAGTACTAACCTTCAGATTTACTCCGTGAAAATATTCCGTGAATTCATTTGCTAGCTTATCTCAACTAATCATGTCTTCTACTGACCGACAAAGGATTCGACTCATTTAACAATAAATTAAATTAACATTTTTCTTCATTTGATTGCACATTTTTTTCTTGACGTACTTTCTTATACATAATACTTTCAGACATTTGGTAGGTTCTTTGCTTGTTTATTATGAAACTATAATTTTATGACAAATCTTTATTTTATTTACTAGTTTTCCTAACATATATCTATTCTGGCTAGACATTTTCTTTAGATGCTTTCAACCCATGATGAAAATTTAGTTATTTTTGCTTAAACTGTCGATAACCTCCGATGCTTGAATTTCCAGAGCCATCCCCTCCTTCAAATGCAAGAGTGATAAATCAGCAGATAGAAAGGGTGGAAGAAGCCACTGCGAGGGCTCATTTACCAACAGCATCAACAACATCAAAGGCTCGTATGTATACTACGGAAGCACAAAAAGCGACAACAACAGCAAAATCTGATATGACAGAGGGTAGAATGAAAATCGAAGGGTCTCTGTTTGATGGTTTTAAGCAACCCCAAAAGATAGCAAAAATGAATATAGAACATGAACCAACGAAATATTTCCAAGAAGATGATGTAAATCTTCAGCAAAGAAAAAAACTACAACCGGAAAGTTCATTAGGATCACAGTCTGGGTTCCAGTATTTCAAGACAGGAGCTCCCAAGAAACCAGAGATAGAATCAGCTTTGTTTATGTCTGGATCTCCTGTCGTGAAAGGGGATGTTAGCCGTCTTATCGATTCCATAAATCCCGAAGTCGCTGTCTCTGCTCCTGCCACTTCTCGTAGCGGCGTCAGCCAAGGCAGCAGTGGCTACACATGGCAACAATACATGCCTTTTGGCACGGGCATCTGGGAAAAGCAAAGTAACATTCCCACTAGAACATCAACAACAACAGCAACAACATATAGCATGGTACCAACAACTGTTCGTAATAGTTTTATAGGCAACAGACAAAATGTACCCTTACCTGACCATGAAAGGTTTTTCAACGGTAATGTGGAGAGTTCGTTTAATGCTAGGGAAGAAATCCGGCAGCAGCCTGGGAGAGTTTATGCCGCCGCAAAGCAGTCAGATGTAACTGCTTTCAGTTCCGGATCTAGCGTGAGGAAATCCAAAGAGACCAGACCAGGTACTCAACCCAACCCAGTAACAGCTGGAACTAACAAAGCTGACGAACCGAGTCCAACCAGGATACCGGCCATGCCTAATACCGATCTCGGAATCCCGCAAATAATTAACAGTCAGCGCGAAGAAAGACTCACTCAGATTTCAAAAAGTATGGCGCAAAAATGCCAATAAAATGATTGCTGTTTTTTGTTGAGAAAGACGACAAAATTTATAGAAATGTTTACAAGTTAAACGCTACATGCTTACAAACTTTTCGTTGGCATAGTTGGTAGGCATCTAGTAACCGTGGATGACGAGCTACAGAACTGTATTTTTACAGGGAATATCTACCTTTGATACAATTGACACCAATCACATGACACGACTGAAAGTAGTATTAAACAAGCTAGGATATTTTTTACTTTAAAAGACGCCTAAACATAGAACATTAGAATTACTAGGACTGCAAATCGTTTTTCATTTTGCACCAAAACGTGACTTCGCCAAACTTTTAACAACAAAGTTTATCTGTTTATTTCACGCACCCAATGTTACTGACAAATAAATATAACGACAGCTCTATGTTATGACATCATACATTAGCTTGTGCAACTTTTAGCACTCTTCCTCTTTGACTCATGTAATTTCTTTGACTCTTTAACTCTTTGACTTCACCTGCTCGTGAAGTGATGACTCTGAAACTTTTAGTTTTATTGCAGATGCCACTCATACCTTTCTGTTGATTTTTATGCAAATTTCATTATCCTATGATTTTCTCACAAATCATTTTTTTTCCTAAGGGTTTAAATTTGCGAATGTTTTTTTATCATAACTCTCCCTGTCTAACTTCACTACTATCGTTCCCAGGTCCCGTTGCTCTAAATGCTGGGCAAACTGTACGCAAGAGCCAATCTCCAATCCCACAATTCCAAAGTGCAATTCAAACCCAATCACTGGCGCAACCCAAACAAACAAAACGAGAAGGGGCGCATAAAAAGAATTTGATCAAACACAAACCAGGTATGCTAAAATGATTATTTCTATCACAACTTTCTATGGCCTAAAAACTGACATCGAAGGCCAAACAAATGTTGCGATAAACCGTTAAAAGAAAGGAAATGATTTTAACATTCAGTGCTGTCGGTGGAATATTTTCAATTGATTTTCCAATACGTCTAAATAGAGTGCTTTTATTTAGTCAAGCTAATCTTCAGTTCCTAAATAGCACACCCGTTATCTTGAAGCTTTTGCTAATATGGAAGTTGCAAGAAAAAAGCCCTGATTTATCAAGAAAAGCAGTCAAACCGCACACTGTTGCTCTGTTGTTATTTCGCATGAATGAGGAAAAAATGCAAGTTACTCGTTTCTTTGGGAATATCGCCATTTTATTAAGTTGCTGTGCATCTCATTACGTTGCTTTATTTTGCCATGGGAACCGCCTCACTGCACTGTCCTATTCAACATTTCACTCACTTTGTGCCAAAAGAAGACAGCGACCTTATTATGAATCTGTAGTTTATTATGTAAACGTATTGTTTAATTTTTTAGACTTGGATTGTGGTGAAGGCTGGGAAGGAGCTTCTGGAGATTTCGGGACATTTTGCTACAAATTCATGAATGTGAGGACCGTCTTTGAAGATGCGGAGGCGGAATGCAAGCGGCTTAACAGTAATTTGTTCAGCATTTTGAACCCATACGAGAACAGATATCTCCATGACAACTTTCACGAGAAATTTTGGATTGGGTATAGGGACAAAGGAATGGATGGAACATGGAACTGGACAGATAGCAGTCGGGGTATTTACACTAACTGGGCCAGCGAGGCGGATGATGATAACGGACAACGGAGGGATTGTGTGATACTGCAATCGGAGCATGGAAAGTGGAAAGACAAGCCTTGCTCGTCAAATCTACCATTCTTGTGCAAGCACAAATCAGGTGAGACTTTTTGTATGATGATATCTCTCGAGAAAAATGATTTGGTAATTCAGTGTCATGACCTAATTTGATCTCTCTAAAAGATTCTCAGATTGGTGTTTTTTCTCAAATATCAAAACTCAAAACCTTTGCACCATCTCAAACATTTGGTTTGCTAAAGTTAGCTGGATTGCCTATTATCAACATATCTTTGTGCTTTAAATCAAGACTTCTTTCACGGGAACCATTAGGCACCATTCCATATTTATTCCAATATAAAGCCTGTAAAGTATAATTCTAGCAAATCAAACCCCAAATGAAATGCAGGCCCGTAGACACTGGGAGCAGGGGGCAATGCCCCCCCGATAATTTGCGAAAATTGTGTTTGAAGATCTTATAAGCGCATCTTGGTCTTACAGTATTTCGTAAGGCAGGTATAGAAAAAGCTATATTTCTATCCATGTCCCCCCAATTTAGTTTAGCTGTTTACAGGCCTGATGCAATGTAACTTTTTTTTCAAAGAAAAATGTCCAAAAGACTGGAAGAAGCTGAACCTGAATTCAGTATCAAGTTGTTATCATCTGTTCCAAGAAAAGAAGACCTGGGCGGAAGCGGAACAAGAGTGCCAGAACCAGGACGGTCACCTTGTCAGTATTCTCAGTGAAGACGAGCAAACCATGATTTATCAGGTTGGTAAACGTAACTTTATTTTTCAATTTTAAGAAAGAATCTTATACCACAAGATAAGCTCTTTAAATACATTTCTTGTGCTTAGTTACACAAGCGAATTGACTCAAGTGATTTTGACTTGAAAATTGAAGCTAAAGATATAACATCAAGAAAATTATAGAAGAAACATCAGCAAGCATATTCATATGTTTTTTGAGTTGATAACATAATCCAATCAAAAAGATGATACCAAAAATTTCAAACTTCGACATCATTTTATATATAGCTACCAAGGGGAGTATTTGTATTTGTATTTGTTTCTACCTAGCATCCGAAGGTAGTTTTTAGGACACTGAGAAGCTTATGCTTATCGAGCAGTGTCCTGGTCCTTACTCTCGATGTGACCACACCTCGTGATTCCTACGCCTGGAATTACAGAGAACTGGCGACTCTCCTCATTCTGGGACAAAGTTTGGTCACGCCAGAGACTCGAACCACGGACCCTTGGGTCTGTAGCCAGCTTGAGTTGTTTACCCCACTAACTTTGTAGTTGATGTTTTCTATTCTATAGACAGACAATCTTAAAAACATATAATTTTTGAATATGTCCCAGGTTTATTCATCGAAAAACTATTGGATTGGTTACAATGACCAAGAAAGCGAGGGTGACTGGCAATGGAGTGACCGTGTGACGTCATCATTCACAAACTGGGATGATGATGCACCGAACAATGGAGGTGTCACCTGCGCTGCATTTGCCGAAGGAGGTCATTGGCATGACGAACCATGCTCGGAGAAGCTTCCTTTTATCTGTAAACGAAAGGGTGAGTCGAACATCTTACGTAAAACGACATTTAACCCTTTGTTAGGAGTTTTTCATGTGACGGAAGGCTTCTTAAAACTGCTTTTTTCTATTCAAGAGATCGACCATACTCAAGAGATGTTCAAGAGTTCTACCTGTTCCAAAGATTTGTTCCTGAACAGCAACTTCTTTAACAATTGTTAGAACCTATCTTCTTCGACTGAAAATCACCGATGCCTTTTCCTTTTCAGGACCAAAAGGGGAGAAAGTTTTGGGTGTGAACGATGAGGGAATACTGAAGCCATTGTCAAGACTTTTGGACAAGGAGGATGCTACAAGAAGCGAACTCATTACTAAAGGAGGCCCAAAACCAGGTTAGAGAAATTTCACAAATCATCTGCTCTAGATTTACAGAGGCTAATTAGAAGTACCGTAATGCCTCGAACAAGCGCCCCCTCAAATAGAAGCTCCCCTCGAATAAGCGCCTACCCTAGAGGTGAAGTTATTGAATAAGCGCCCACCCCTCGAATAAGTGCCCATCCTTCAACCTTCAGAAACGGCGCTTATTCGAACTTTCAACGAAAGCATAATTGGAAGGCAATTCAACAAGAAAGATTAATAAACAACACAATTTGCACCCAAATCTACTTTTTAAATAAGCGCCCCCGCGATTAAGCGCCTCCCTTGAATAAGCGCCCACCCTGGAGCCTCAAAAATTAGATAAGCGCCCGGTCGCTTATTCGAGGCATTACGGTACATACTCTCGTCGACGAGAATGCTATATTTTTTCTCGGCCTTTTCTTACTAGAAGAGTTTTTGTCTTTGTTTCAGTTGTGCCTAGCCAATACTGGCCATTTTTGAAGAACACAAAGTCAGGGTTATCAGGAAACAGGCGAATCATAGTCCATGGCAACGTGACAAATGTACCAGGTGGTGTGTCACTTAACGGTGTGAACCAATATATGGATGGTGGTGATTTCCATGGCAAGTGTATCAGTGACCCAGATAAGTGTTCCAAAGGACTTTCAGTTGCAATACAGGTTGGTCGGTTACTGCTTAATTTTTTTTTGTTTTAGGATATTTGTGCTTTTAGTTCTTCTAAATTTATCAGTTAAAAGCAAATGAACTCGTCGAAATCGGCAATTAGTAAATATTTGGATCTAACTAGAATACAAAATGATTATTGTCAATTTTACGTCATAAAACAATTTATTTTGCATTTTTTCCTTGATAAGGCAGTCGACAAGGATATTAGTCCCTCCAAATAATTATGATTTTGTTCTAGACGCGAAGTTCGTACAAATGGCTTACACGATTTCAACACTTTTTGTACTTCACGGCGGTTAGAAAGCTCTCCCGAAAACATTTTACAGCCAAATCTAAATTAAAATATTTTTGTTTTTAAGGTTTATTTCGATGATTCGGTTAGAAAGTACGTTGAGCCTCACTGTGTGCTGGATACATCTGGTGGGTCTAAGGGTTTCACGATCTACATTCAAAAGAACAAGATGCACTACAAGGTCATCACCCGAGAAAAGGTCTGGGAGCTAGCAACTGACATAACTACCAATCAGTGGCAAGAGATTGTGATGACATGGCATAATTACAAAGGGATCACCTTGTTTGTTAATGGTGCATTCAAAGATTCAGCTGAAAATGGAAAGAAAACTGGCATACTTAGGGAAGATGCCACACCAAGACTTCTCATTAGCAGAAGAGCCACAGACCTAAAACCATTTGCTTATACAAAGTATGAGTTTTATGACTGAATTGAATTCCACTAATTGAATTGAATTGAACTGAATTGAATAACAATTTCCACTACCTAGTTTGCAGGATGTTTCTCACAGTCATGTGGTTAGTTTCGTAAAGAGGTTTCTATTAGTGTTTGCAATCTTTTGTGATTTTTCCACCTGCAGCATAGGAATAGTCGTTTAAGATCAAGACGATATCGGATGATATATTCCGCCCATACATATTAGAATTTTATATTACATTGCTGTTTCTTTATCGAAAAATCTTCAATTGGCCCTAAAACTATAAGCTTTAGAGTTAAAAGAGACTTTATCTGATTTTGCAGAATGCTGATTGCCTCCTTGGCAGTTTTCTCAAAGCAGCTCTCAATTGAAGATGTTACATATGCGTTTACCTTTGATGACACAGGTATCATGCTCTTCCCTTCTTTCTTCTAACTCTAATGAAATTAGCATTTTTATCAGAAATAGTATCATTCAGCTTTTAAAATTAATTTTTGTAAGTATTCAGGCATTCTGTGCCAATAAATATGTCCATACACTCTAAATATTTTGATTCAGTGCGTTATGCTTGCCAGTTGACACGATGAAGGCTCATGGACGTTAAGAGCATCTCCTTCATGAGTATTTATCAGTTAGTTCTTGCACGTGAAATAGAACTTGAACTCCTAACTTTGATTTTCCGCAATTTAATTGAATTTGATAATGTCATATATTATTCGAAAGATTTGCAATGTATTAGCAGTTATCTTAGTTTCACAATGTAGGCCCTATTAGCTTCATTTGAAACCAAGCTGATAATATGCTCCTTCATAGTGGTAGCAAACTATAGATGGTTGATGCCTCATATGGCTGGAGCAACGATTCCAAGTGCATCGGACATATTCGTGCAAAAAGACGTTGGTGATATGGATGGAGGTCTTGCGGTTGATGGAAGCAAAGGCTGGTTGGAAATAAGACAGTTCGATGCATGTTTGAAAGACCCAGGCCAGTGCCATCATGGATTCTCAATCAGCTTTAAACTGAAGCTTGATCAGGTAATCATGATTGATTGTAGGCCCTAATGATTACATGAATTTGGATTCCTTTAATATTCATCGATGTAGAACTCTATTTTTTCACTTTTGATTGCTAATAGTATTAATAAGGTTTTCTCTATCCTGGTAGAACGTAAATTGAATCAGTACTGTCACTGAATCCCGGTGTCCCATAACTTGAATAAATCCGTTTAAAACATAATTTTGACTTTCTTGCAATATCTAGATATTGTGGGAATTAGTTCGTCTTCATAGCAATATATACCAGCCGTAGCAATTAAGCTTCTGAAATTATTTACACTTCAGGATGTTCGGGAGTACAAAGAAGCTCGATACATAATCGATTCTGGTGGACACAAGGAAGGAATCAAAGGCGTGTCTGTTTACATCTTGAACGATAACTTGTACTTCCAAGTTATCATGAGTCCGGAAGAGGACATTATGATATGGACAGTCCGAACACCAATTTACACCGTCCGGTAAATTTTCTCTTTTGGATTCTGTTTCCTTATACCACTTTATATCTATCTATATGATCAATTATTTTAGGTTTCGCGATTGCGATATATGATACAGTAGGGAAAATTTGACCCGTTACTTCGCAATTGGCCCACAATACCACTGCCACTTTAATTTCGAAAGTAAAATTTTCGGTATGAATGTCCTGGAGCCATGGTATCTAGAGAATGCAATATATCCTTTCTCGTTCAGATGGCAGAGGATTGTCATGACCTGGAGGCTGGACAAGGGCTTATGGGTATACATCGATGGTGCATTCAGAGGCCTGACGAAAACCCCCAAAACACTTCCGGTTGTTTTCAAGAAGGAGCCAGAGTTACTTGTCATTGGCAGGAAAAATGTTGGTCCGGACTTCCGAGGCGCTAAATTCGGCATCGGGTCGTTTGCCATATTTAGCAGGTTCTTGACCAGAAAGGAAACAGAACATGTTTTTGCTGTTAAAAGTACGTGTTACGTCATCAAATGTTTGCTATGTTTTGAGTCTTTGAACTTGGCACCTGATTCAGATAGACTTCGTTTGTATTGCATCATTTTTGTTTATATTAAGACTTACAGTTTATTTATCAGTCAGAGCTCAATAGTAGTTTTTTAAAGGCATCGTTTTCAATAATTGGCTAATATTTTCAGAGTTGGATATTAAAAGTATTTTAAAAAATGTATCATATATGCTTAACAGCTAATAGAATAGGCGTAGATTCAATGAACATATGTGAAACGAGCTGCTCACTACATAGCCTCAAAAGACGCTTCATTGATCAAAAGTGGTCATTCCTATGTTAGCTTCACCATCCTTGGATTGCTACGCAGTCTTTGGGGGTAGCTGTACAATCTTAAGGTAGCTATGCAACCTTAAGGTCTCAGTTCAACGAATCACCTACATGTTGATCGCAAATTTACAAAAGATGGGCGAGGGACTGAAATTAGAACCGAGTTTCCATTTTTGTTAATTTCTATATAGTTTTTAGTTTCAATTCATGTTTTGCTCTGCAGACAACCCATTCCCTGGCCTAATCAGGGAAGTGTGGCATGATGTCCCAGGCTCCACCATGGCACAGCTAAAATCTAATCCTGATTACCCAAATAACCCATCAAGTATTGAAGTGATCGAAAACTTTGATGCTCCCTTTGACATGGAAAAGGATTATGGCTCAAAATTCAAAGGCTACTTCGTCGCTCCAGAGACAGGAAACTACACTTTCTACATGTCGTGTAGCAAGGCTTGCGAGTTGTATACAAGTCGGGACGAAGACATTAAAAACAAAACAAAGATAATTGAGCTAGACAAAGCAACGTGGCATAATCAGTGGAACAAGTATGCATGAAATTTGCTAATATTTGCTTGTAAATTTATGTCTAATTATGCATAATATCCTTATCAGGTCATAGATTAGTATATTATCACCCTCGTGAGTCGTAATAAGCCTAAATGCCTTCCTTTAGAATGATATTTTGGTAACAGCTTTAAGCATTAAACCGTCAGTTATGAAATTGCATATTAAGCCATAAAAGTTATCTTTTTCACAGAGGTAAGAGTGTGTCTATCGTAGTTAGCCTTAGCAACAGGGGATTCGAATGTTTCCAATATATGCTGTCTCAAGAGTAAATCCTTTTCTTATTCTAGTTTGAAGTAAAAATTAAAAAGAATCAATGAGCAAATTTAAATTTATGAGAAAGATAAAGAATTTTGCTCGGTCATAACTTATTCAAAATTTTTTTATTAAAGGACCTATAATATCATGAAATTTGAGCTGAGCTGGCATAGCCCGGCCTAACTCAGCCTTCATTTTCCTGTGAATTTTAATACATATTTTTCGACTAAATTATTTTCTTTTCATGAAAGATACAAGAACCAAACATCAGATCAGATTTTCATGATCGCTGGAAAGTATTACTACTTAGAGGCTGTGCAAAAAGGAGAAGAAAGCAGCGATTCATTGTCTGTGGGAGTTCGACTGCCAAGTGGGAGATACCAAAGGCCGATCAACAAAGAAAACTTGCAGTGGAGACTCAAAGGTTTCCCATTTTTATTTCATTATTAAAGTATCCTAATGGTTTGGATAATGAATGGTAATACAAGTAGAATTATCGCTGCAATTTTTATTTAATGCATAATTTTAACCGGAGACTGCATCATTTTGACAATTTTGGTAAAGCAGACCTGAGGGCTTCATCAAGCCTTATTTAAATCTTTATTAACATTGGTTTGCCTTTTAACGTGTAGTTTGACAACGTAAATTCGTCATGTTTGCTTAATCGCCTGACCGTCAGTTTATTCATTTTTAAGGTAACCCTTATGCTGGAGTCATCAGAGAAGTTTGGTTCGATGTTCCTGGATACCAAATATCCGACTTAACTTCAGATCCCAACTTTCCAAATAATCCCTCAAGCACAGAAGTTCTCGACAAATTTGATGCTCCTTTCAACATCGATGATAATTATGGTTCTAGAATTTCTGGTTATCTCAGAGCACCAGAGACAGGAGACTACAGGTTATTGATCTTTGATGTTTCAGTTTCTTTTATGTTTCATTTGGTATCTTGTCAGAATCTATAAGTTTTCAAATCTCTAGAATTTCCTGGAAACCTATATTAAACCGAGATTGAAACTTTCCCAAGTATCTCTCCGGAAATTTCTATTTTTTCAATATTTTAGACTTTTTCAAGTTCTTCAGATTTTTCTGATTAAATATGAAAAATGATGATAAAAATTCATTGTTTGTTGTTTGTATACAGGTTTTACCTGGCAAGTGACAGCACAGGGGAACTATGGCTAAGTTCAGATGACAGTGAGAACAATCTTGTTAAAATCATCACCTTGAATAGTTGGACTGACCACAACCAATGGCTTAAGTATGTTGAGGACTTCTCAGACACGCTCTTTTGAAACAGCCTCTTATTGAATGTAGCCGCCTCTGTTCAATTTTCTGAAGTTGTTAGAGTTGTTTGATGAATACCGTTCTTTTCACTCTACTTGCACACAGTTGAAGACCAACTATTTCGTAGAAATTTTCTCAAATTATATTTTAAGTTACTTTTTTTTATTCAAGGATAATTTAGTTTGTATAAATTTTCATTGACTGCATAATGGTTTTTACATTAAGCTTGAAACTGGAGGGTTCAGGCTAGCACTGTCCTCTGCCCACCAAAGCAATTACAGCTCTGTTTTTACGGCATTAAGTATTATAAGCAGGCCATTTAACAGTAATTTTCATTAGTTTGTATGAATTTTTTCGATTCCCCCGTTAGGTTTCCTGAGCAGCGATCGGATAAAGTGTTCCTAGTAGCTGGCAAGTATTACTATATTCGGGCTTACCAAAAAGCAGACAAGCTGGGAGACTGTGCATCTGTTGCTGTGGAGCTTCCCAGTGGCCACTTCGAAGGACCAATCAAACGCAAGCATCTCAGCTGGAAATTGCCAGGTATACTTTTGCCCTCTGCTATATCACAGTCGAAACAACAATGCTAGGGAAATTAACATGTTATTTAGGACTTATAATTGCTGTCAATTGCATTTGCTTTTGCAAAGATATCCTGTAAGGGTCGAGATTATTCTATAAACATCAAAACATAGACACGTTCCCTAAAGAACCTGCATCGCTGATTCAAAATGGGGGGGGGACATAAAAGAAAATAAAATCTTCTCGCACCCCCTGAGCACTGTTGTTTTTCTCACCCATCCCCAGCCAAAAGTTTTTGCGGACGCTGTTTTGCTTATGAATCTTGGTTACAGACATTCGTTCTAATCTACAGGTGAAATTTAGGCTAAATCTAAGCAGATGCGAGAATCTTCAATCGTTGGGTCCAAAAAGTATTTGATCTTTTGTGATTGTTCGAAATTTTTTTATGTGAAATTGCTAACCCCACTTGTTTATGATGATGCAATATCTTGGCAATCTCGAAATAACACCTGATCGAAATAAGCCACATTATATATTCTCTTTTATTTCGAAGGTGGAAAAATTGGTCCCGGACCAAATGACCTTAGTGAAGGTATGATTTTTAAAAAACCATTCTTTCAAAATTTGCTTTAACGATGTTTGTTTATAATAGCCAGTTTTTGTTGGGTAGTATTTCAATTTTTTACAAATGATTCCCTCAATTTCCCTGATAAAACTTTGCTTTGAAATGCATTGCGTGTCAAAAAGTGTCGATTAAATGATCGATCGCAGAGCGGACTGATTGCTTGGTTACAACATCATTGATTTTATATTTGGCTGCTAAAGAACTAAAGAATCATCTAATCAGGTTTGAATCACTTTGTTGATTTGCAGCTCCACCTAAGCCAATGGGATTGTATCCACTCAACGACGCGTCGCTTCGTGACATCATTTCCGGTGACAATGGGCTGGTCATCCATAACATTGCGTTGACAACTGGACCAGATGGTAATTTTTTTTTACTCTTATGCATTGAAGCGTTTTTCTTGGCTTCATAATACCATTGCAGACTCGCTTTCATACCCCTTTAAAGTGACTGTTTTTTAGAGGTTTTTGCCTTATTATCTTCAACATCCTACTGAGCTTTCGATTTCTTTTTCACTCTATGTAGCTATTTGGCACAGAGGACATGCATTTATTTCCTCATTTCTGTTTGCCAGTCATTCATATTTAATGAATGTTTTTTACTTTAGATCTGTGCGGAATGAAAATCCATCCACGTTTTAAAATGGGCTCTGTAGAAAAAGCTTATTCAAAATGCCAATGTCTCTCTATTTTTCATGATTCTCCAATCCAACTTGAATCATTAATTCATTGAATAATTCTATTTCTGTTTTAAGGCGTTAAAGATACGGCTTTTGAGTTCAAAGGAAAGCAAGATTCCTATCTGGAAATCGGAAACGATCACCACAAACTGGATGCAAAGAATTCCATAACAATTTTAGCGAACATTTACCCGACTGGAGAGGATGGTCCAATTTTGAATTACAAGAAAGATGGATGGGGAGTTCACATGTGGCAGTTTGATAAGACAATGCTCTTTGTTCGATTTGTGTCACGTGACAATGGAATGACAACACAGCCATTAGCTACTCGGGTTTTGCAGGTAGAGAATAACTTTTTATGGTATGGTATGTCCTGGTATGAACTAAATCAGTGATTCATCCGACAACAGAATGGGTTTACATATTTTATTCAGACTTAGGCACCGAAAAAATCCGCTTCGGTTTATTAGAATTACAATTGGACGCTGGTATCTATTAAGCAAAGAATTTTTTTCTTAAGAATTTTTATTTAAAAGGAAAAATAAAGATGAGATTTGTCTAATGCGACATCTACATCAAAGTACGATCCCAACAACATTAGATGTGATGTCTTTAAATGACTGCTCTCTTATTCAAAAGTAATTTCAGATAGCCAAGCTCATACGTCTTTCAGCTAGAGACAACTTGATGATAATTTGGTTTGAATTTCGCTGTAGTTTCATTTTTATTTTATTTCAGTTAAGTTCATGGAACCAAGTGGGCGCATCTTATGACAACAACACTGGGGTATCGCAACTGTGGCATGATGGGAAGATGGTGAAAAGTCGAAACATCGGTCAAATTGAATTGTCAACTCAATACCCAATCAGAGTTGGTGCCAGAGAAGGCGACGATCGATACTTCAAAGGCAAAGTTGCATGCATACAAATCTATGGCAAAGCATTGTCTGAGCAACAAATTGGGGAGCTGAGAAGATGCCCCAAGCTAGGTAATTTTGTCAGCCTTTTAATGGGGTTGGTAGGAGTGGAGTTGTTGAGAGTTCTTTGATGCTACAAAAAATGGAGTGAATTACACATCGTTTTGCTTTAGAAGCAATAGATGTGAGGCTGCTGACAAACTGTGGTGTCATCAAGACTAAATCTTAATTCACCTTTTTTCTCTCTGTCTGATTGTTATTTTGAAATGTATCACAACCTTTCTTGTAATTCGTATTTTCACCAATAGATTTAGAAACTAAACATTTATCGTAGTCACTGGATGAAGATCTAAATTTAGATATAGAAATTTGGAAATTTTGCCATTCAAAAAAATATTGACTGTAGCAGTATCCTGAATACCTGAGTGCTTGATATGACCTTTGTAGAACGAGTGAGTAATGTCCACTGTACTTAAGAAGCTTTTTGCATTGCTTTTCAAAGCTTCTTTCTACATCAGTTATGGCATGTAGTTTTTGTATGTAGAAAGTACCCAATGACTCCTTTTTCAACAGATGGACAACAAGCAGACAGTCTATTGGCGATGACCCAAGCAGGTTCTGGATCAGAGAGCAATTCTGAAGGTGCTAAAATTTTCAAGTTAAATTGCAACATTATGTAATCATCTCTAAAATAAAGGTTGAAAAATTTTCAAGGATTCTGTAGCCTAAGCTGCTCTTAACCAAAGTTATTTTACTAAATGATTGTCAAACTGGAACCATCAAAAGTTCTCTGCTAAAGACGTTTCCTTTGGTCTGTCTAGGTAAGGGCAGCCACAGTCTTGAAAGTGTGGTACCCTTCCTAAGATCGTTAATTTACCAGTCCGATTAGTGGTTTGCGATCTATAACGATAAGATTTTGCTGGTTCCTTTGTTAAGAAGTATCTATTGTTTTGCCATCTTTCAGTATAAAAGTTTGTCGTTGTAGCCGAAACTGCGAAGCATTGTCAGGGTATGATCTATGACAATCATCATCAACATCTCTAGCTTATATTTTTGTTCAAGCTTTGATAAGATCTTCTGCTTTCACCCAACATTTCAATTTGATTTTTTTTGACGATATGTTTCTGGTGACTACTGACATTTTCACAGAAGAAATGCCATACAGATGTTTTCCTTGCCGTTTTCATGAAGGCTTTGAATATTTTCTTTAACATGTCAGTCATTTTTTAAAAGATGAAGAGAATGGTTGTTATTTGATAGTCGTGACACGTGCAGGGGTCCAATCATTTCTTTCGGAAACTTGTCAGAGAGCAAAGAGATTAAGACTGTGAACGTGTTTTCAAAGTTCTTAGTGAGCATTTTAGACGCTTTTTCTAGCATTAATTGGACCTCGGAAACTGCTAGAATGTCTTTTCTAGAAAATTAGGCACCATTCTTCTGGCTGTTAGGTATTTAAGTGCGAAATGCTTCTCGCTTGGAGATAAAAAGCATAATCCGGCAATGTATAACATACATTTTTTATGAACATAGCGAAAAACCATGGAAAACAGTGTTTTTAATCAAACTTTTTCAAATATTCAGGATGGCCGATGATCAAGGGCATAACTGTTTTCCTAATATAAATCTTTGCCCTGTTACTTCTTGAAATGTTTTTCCATGTTTCTCTCAGTGATTATTTCTTATCTCGAATTAAAGTTAAATGCGGGGGTTTTTTGACGTAGTTTATAGGAAGAATTTTCGCTTTAACAGTTGCATTCAAGTGTACTAATTTTAGTCCATAAGCTATGGCAACATGACTTTTTAGACCTATGGAAACAACATAAAGGTGGATTATGGATCATATAATCACTTTTGGGGCTATTTGTCTTTAACCAGCCCATATGAACTTCAAACTTAGATTTGGCATTGTCTTCTGAGAATCTGCTATGAAGAGATTTTGCGGCAAATTGAATTTAAGATATCCCTTAAAAATCTGAGTTTCATTTTATTCACATCTATTTTACATCTCACTGATGTCTAATGTTATATGATGCCGTTTTGAAGCAGCTTCTTTCATTCTTTGGCAAACTCTTTATGTCTCAATGTCATTTATTCTGTATGTATGTCTATAAAACATTTCAAAATTCCAGTAGACTCCTTAGCCATAAAACATTTTATAATTTTTTAGACTCGTTTGCCATGGAAAACCGACTCGGCGAAGATACAGAAGAGGAGCTTGCAGGTTGGGACCGCTAGACTTTTAGAAATATGTTTACAATGACTTTGACCTGCAAGTATTCTAGATAAAGATTTGTATGTGAACCCAAATGCTTTGCAAATTGATATAAAATGGAGATGGTGGATGTTTTCTTACCAACTTTGTTCCTAATAGTGGCAAGCATTTAAACTAAAATTATTCTGATTCAATCTCAAACTCCATGACATTCGGTCACAGCTAGAAATAAGATTATGTAAGCTATTTTTCTAACAATAATGTAAAAAAATTAAAGCTAGATAAAATGTTAACTACCATGTGATTTCAAGAGTGTGGTATGGAGAAATTTTTAATGCGTGCAAGACCTTCGAATCTATGATCAATAGCAATAGAGAAACGAAAGTGAAATTATTCAATTTATAGCATGGGAAGCATTCTGCCAAATAAACATTACTGCTGATAGTTTTTTTCTGTAATATTGAATACTTGTTGCTGCACTTAGAAATTTATTTTGCTACTTTACTGTTCTAAGCATTATCTTGTTATTGTGAAACATAAATTTTTGAATTCGATTGATCATTTGATCAAACTTTGACGACACCCTTTGGAACAACGAGACTATTTAATGAAAGGACGTACGGGCATCCGACTGAACTGAGATATGAACACTGACAATCACAAAAACCTTAGTAATTGAATGAATAAGTCGAAGTGGTAGTTTGTAGTAAATATCCATGGCAAGAATGGCATGGTAATTACGAAGAGAAGTAGACGATGTGAGACCAAAAAGGGAAGACGGTAAAGAGAAGATCGTTGTTGTGACGAATGAAATGAAGATGTGATGAATTAATTGGAATGAGATAAAACAATTCACAGCGATACATAATAGAAAACGAGAAAAATGAGTATTGTGGAATAAAAATAGTGGTGGATGTGATCGAGTGTCTTGTAAATATGGAATATGTGGAAAAAAGGAGTTGAATAGACATACCCTATGTTTGAACAACTGACACACCTTAGATCGACAGACGATAAAGACATTCTCATGATGACGTCATACCTGTTTCAAAGCAAAGACCAGAGAACGACAGACAGGCAGATAGACAACCAGACAGGCTGACAGACAACCAGACATGCAAAGAAAATAGTTTTTTCGTGAATGTAACTTTTTATGCTTTTCGATCCAGGTGTAGCGGAAAGATCGGAAGGTATGTGACGTTGGTAGTTCTACTTCACACGAACTGAAATGCCAATAGTGATAAATCAATCTACGATGCATTTCTAGCTAGAAATTTGTCTAGATGTACAAATCCCCTTGGAGCTGCCTGTTTCAAACATTGATAGATAGTTGATTATTAGAGTATTATGGACGAATGCTAGCGCTTCGTCAACGCTGGCATCCGTCGTCTAAATGGAAAAGCAACGAAAAAGCTCGGTGCTTTTCAATTACGTTGAATAATGGAAATTGCGTTAATGTCGACAGCAGATGTTTTCAGCCCATGGAAATTCCCGAAGGCCAAGTCTTGTTTCAATATTACGCTACAATAGAAGATGTGCAACAAGGTACAAGATGGGAGAAGTGGACAGTGCTATATTGACTATGCAAATTGATTTACAATTGCTATTGAATGACAGGTGGTTGGAGCCTTGTGAAGGAAGTTCTAAAGATACAAATGAAAGCTCCTTGCGTTGAATCAAAGCTACACGATAAACGATTACGAATAAACCAGATTAGGATTAGGATTTGCTCATAAAATCTCCTAATAAGGATTCAAATAACTTTTTGTGACATGATTTTTCATCTTTCTCTTAAACGTCAATTTTTATGCAATTCTAGCAAACCGCTGCGACCCAAATCCCTGCGTCAACGGTGCCAAATGTGTCAACGACGAGCGGAAAGTTGATGGGTTCAAATGCTTATGCACTTCAGACTTCACTGGTAAAAATTGCCAAGGTATCAGAATTCATTCATCGGCTCGATCTTATGTTAATTTCGTATGATGAATCTGAGAATGATAGTGAATTGTAAGATGTTTCCACATTGAATCTTATATTTCCACATCCGGAGCAAGTGTTGATTGTTGACAGTGCCGTTGATTCTTGATAATTGAATGTCCTATCAGCAATTGACTTGCATCCCCTTGTTTGCTCTTGGCATTAGCCCCATGTTTCCCGTATTCATCACCAATCCATTGATTATACATCACCAATCCATTAAGTATGTAACTTCGCTTGCTGTTTTTAAGCAACACTCCCTTTCCTGCCCTGCATTGCATTAAAACTTACTGTTTTTCTGTATCTATTTCCTTAGGGTACGGCACTAGCCTTTTCGATTTTAAGCATCAATCGAATGAAATGTAGGCCTATTATCTTTCTTGCATTAAATTAATCTATGACAATCAACGTACGAAAATAAGTTATGAAGGGAAAACTTTGCCATGGGTAAATATTGTTGACTGGAAAATCGGGCAGTGGCCATATCATATATACTCGCTCAACCGAGTTTTATTTTCGCAAAGGCATAGGAAGGTCAGTGCAAGACCATTTCCTACATACCTCTGTTATCATGGAGGTACAACCCCTCTCAGGGCTGATCTTTGGAGTCTTCATTGAAATATTTTCTCCTTTTTAGTATCAAAACCTGCAGCTGAGAATCCAGTCGTCAAGAGGATGACAATTCCAAAGGCATACCCTAAAGCAATCAGCTCGGAAAGTTACAGCAAGCCTCAAGGCAAGGGCCAAGTAAAAGCCCGTAAGTCATTGAGACATTCACTACATTAATCTTTCACCCAGTTGACTGCATCCCAGTTAACTATTATTTTCCAGTACCCAGCTAACCTAGACTTTCTTGGTTAACTATTTGTTACCAAACATTATGCACCATTAAAGAAACATCAACACCTATTGCCTGTCAAAAGCCTAGCATTCCCAGATCGGTTCAAATTTTTTAATTGATTCAAACGATTGTTTCCTTCCATTCAGTGGTCATTCTCAATACATTGATGAACATACGAAATAAAATCTGTATTCGCAAACGAAAAATTCACTGTACTGAATTGAAAAAGGATTCTTGTTAGTCATTGCACTGCCTCGATTTCTTATGCAAAGGTCTTCTGTAAAATTCTTGTTGTTTTTGAATTGGAGACTTGTAATCTATTCATGTGGAATTATTTGTTATTTTAGCGGAAGACGAACGGGAAGATGTGTTCTTGCTTTACCAAAAACTCGGTTGCTATAGAGACAACACAAAGCGACACGATCTTCCAAACCCGGTGCAGATTAAAGCCATTACGCAGGAGGAATGTGCGCGTGCGTGTGCATTGCAGGACAAAGGATTTGCCTATTTTGGTCTTCAGAACGGAAAAGATTGCTTCTGCGGAAAGAACTACGGAAAGTATGGAAAACTTGATAATAAACTTTGTACAAAAGCCTGTGATGGTAATGCGATGGAAAGCTGTGGAGGAGACAGCGCAAACCAAATATTCTTTTTTGGACTTGGTGAGTAACAATAGCGATGCTTTTACCTTATCAAACACAATCAAACACAATCAAACACCATGTTTGTTATTTACTGTTAAGAATGATGCCAACCCTTGAGTGTGTGACCTTGCCATTTGAGCTATGAAGGGATATTTGCCAAGTCGTTGCATCATAACAGTAGATTCAAAGGTTTTATACAGGAAGGACTAATCCACGCAAAGGGATATTAAACCACGTCAAAGGTTAAAGACCAATGACTGACTAAAGTAAGGGTACAGTCTTTGCCATTAGCTCAAAGACGCCGTCTTGACATCATCGTATACGCATAGATATTTCTGCCATCCGAACCATTGTAGTCCAAACAAATTTATACCCGTCATGAAAATACATACAGAACTATAAATACGCAATTTTGTTTAAAAATATTTATTAAGGAGCATTTAGCTGTGACATCAAGTGACAAAATGATGAATCCTGCTTAAATACAGAGAACGTGAGCTTTATAAAAAGATGACAATTTCGTTTAATGCAATTACAGAATTCCTTGCGTTATTGAGATATGTTTTTATTTTCATTTTGAAATTCCTTGTTGCTTCATATTTTTATTTTTCTGTCAATTAAGCTAACAGTTTATTGGATTAATTCCAATGATTTTTAAAAACATTTGATGCTGACAGGGCAAACAATTGGTCATTTTATCTTATGTTGTAATGTTGGTGCTGAAGATGTTGTAACTGACAGGGTTGAATGGCTTGTGTCGTGCATACCCCCGCATTAAGTGTTTGCACATGTGAAAAAATAAAAACATTTTCCAGCAGAAGTAGAAAAATCTGCACTGACGTCATGAAAGTCGGATTCTGTGCAAAGCCTTTTTTGCTAACTTTTTGACGCTGTAGGTTTTGATCAATGTTTGTCTTTTAATTCTATACCATTTAATTCCATGGTTTATTTTTGAATGTACTGTTACGTGTGTTTCAACATGTTTTAGGGACGAATTACACCGTTAAAACTTTTACTGGAAATCAATTTGGCTCTGGTACTGACGCAAAGATTTTCCTCGAAATAATTGGCGAAAGGGGAAGTTCTGATTTCCGGCAGCTAGAATCCGGTCTCTCAAAATTTGAACCTGGAAGGTAGAGTTTCTATAAAATTATTTCGCTGGACCTTTTTTTGTTTGATACTCAAATATTTCTCTTCCCTAATTTCGATGTTCCCTAGTTCCATTCCACAGTTCCCTTCAAACACGAGTTAAAAAGGATGCCGTAAGTTTGATATTCCGAAAATTTTTTTGTTGACTCAGAGTTTGGAATTTTGTGGCGCATGAATCTTTTGAGCTTAAACTACGATATTGGGAAATGACGTACACAAAGTATGAAAGTCTGTATGCCTGATAAGATATTATTTGGCAAACTAGGATTTAGGCGTTGTCTTCAGAGAAATCTTACCTCAAATCGATATCGTTATCTCCTGCTCTGTTTTTCTCTGGTTTTGCAAGGATAGATTCAATACCCAACATGCTGGTGTGACTAATTTCACTTATAAATATAGAATGATCGTTTAAAGAGTTCTAATGCAACAAATTTCCTCATGTTAACAGTGTCGATACCCAGACGTTTGTGCTACCTGACCTTGGCAAGTTAAAGAAAATGAGGATCTTGCATGACAACAGCGGGGCCGCCCCAAGCTGGTTCCTCAAGAAGGTGAGCAAGACAACGGGGGTGAACGGGGGTAAACGGGGGTTACTGTAGACACAAAGACTCCTCAAAATGACTCACTTACACGTTTTTGTGCAGGAAATTTAAATATTCGTACTTTAACTTATTTTGAAATTCTATATTCTCTTGGCAAGCCAATATATTGCTCGCATTTGTGCTTGCAATCAGTGCGTTTTAACGAGGCAGCCACCCGTCTTGAAGTCATGTTCAATAGTTAAACTATTTTGCTAAAAGATGGAAGGTGGCCTAATTTATTAAAAGGCTTACTATTGTTCGTATCCCCAAGCATTAGACATTAATGGTCTGTGATCCTCCACTCCTTTGCAGGTTGAAGGCTACTCTGCTTCAGTTTCGCTTAGTTCATTTAGATAGAGAGTATGACTCACGAAAGAATGCCTAAAAAAGCAAACGATTTGTCATCTCATTGTGGCCTGGGATAACAACTACACTGAGCGGTTATAGTACTGTAGATTCTAAAACATGTCATTCACAAAATATGTAAGATTTGTTAATTGAATATGCATCTGTATGATACCTTGTGTCTCTTTAGGTGACAGTTTTAGATGAAGAGGGTAACGCGACAGAGTTCCCTTGCAATGATTGGCTGAGTGATACACAGGGAGGAGGAAAGCTAGAACGTCAACTTCTTGCTGAACCATCGACTACGACAAAGAAAGTCAAATCTTGAGCTTTCAATGTCAGCAACATGCTGTTTTTTAAAAGGTACTTCTAAATCTAATGTTGCTTGCTTTGTGTTGGGATTCTCATCTGTAAAAGGGACTCACTTTATCAATTGATTGCTAACTGCAAATTATATGCTTTCTATTTGCAGTGATGTCGATTTAGTCAGACTGTCATTTTGATAATGTAATGCAAAGGCTTTTGTGTGGTATTTGAGAGGAGTAGAGTGCTTGCAAAATTCTCTTCTTTGCCAAAAATGAAATACGTTTTCACTGAACTGTTCGCGCTTTAACTTATTTTGAAACACAATTGGAATAGTTCAGATGGCAATACGGGATGTTAATAACTGTTTTTCAACTATGTTGTTTGAGAAGTCTCAGGGCCACTTGCATATACTCGTAGTTACACAGAAAAATGTTTTTTGGTGCTCGAAATTATTTTCAGCCAAATATGTATAAGCAGTCCTATGTTTTTTCTTGTTTTGCTCAAGAGTAACTATTTTGATATTTTGTTTTGTTTCCATAGGATAACAGTACTCATGGAGCGAAAATTCCACGTATAATTGGTTCGATCTTAATTGGCCATTGTACAAATGTGTACAAGTTCTGACATCCATATGCATCAGAGCGTAGCCCTGCATATTTTCTCGTAGAGAACCCGAGATAATTACCCAAAGTTCACCTCGCTGGAATATAATCATAGACATATTATAATCCGTGACGGATCTCTACAAAGCTTGAAAGAGCGTCTAGCTAGGGGTCTCTGCCCACTTATCATAAAAGCGAATAAGCTTATTTCATTAACATATTGCGTAGATTTTTAGACAAATCCAGCAAAATTAGTTGGAAGCTGGCCCTATGACTAGAATCTAATTTGCAGGTAAAAGATAAAAGGGAATGCTGTGCTTGCTTTCTTGCTTAAAACTTTTATAATTAGATTAGTTTATGCTAGCTGAGATCTTGAAACCAACCTTAAATTGTGTTGGAAGATAAGCTGGTGACATATATCTTATGTATATAGTATGTTTATAGCTTGCTTTGAATTAAGAACCCATGTATCATAGCTCGTCTTAATTTATGACGTTAGAACGATTTGCATATCCTCTGTTTTGAGGCCGATGTCTCCTTCCAGAAATTTTTTGACGCATTATATGTTTGTCCTTTACTGTATGTTTGTTATAAGGCAAAAAACTCCAGAGTTGTTGTTTTTATATTATCATATTTCAATTGCAAGATTTTGGATTTTCTGAAGTAGAGAGTCGTTCAAAGCAAATTACTATTTCCACATTTGGATACTATTGCGATGATTCAGGTCTGCAAAGTACGGTTTTGCTTCAAGATTTCCAGATTTCTAGATTATACTAAGAGATTTCCAGATGTTTGCATACTTGCTGCCAATTTGGCAAATATATCAGAACCCATCATAAAGATACTTCATACAATTTACAATCTTTCCCCATTGTCATTGTATCTTGAAACTCATTCAACACAATTTCGTCTCTTCTGTTTTAGAATCTCTAATCTAAATAATTATTTGCAATTTTCGTTGTGTTTTCAAATGTCTTGGACCTTTCTTCGGAAATTTTCTAATGACCAAACAAATTTTGGATAATTCCCCGTCTATCTTGAGTCCTCTGTTCCAATTGTCACTAAATTAGTGTCTTTTCTCTTATCACATTGTGATGGTTTAGGTCTCTATGTTACCTCTACATATAAACGTTAAATTATTGTGACCAATTATAACACGAATGAAGTTATCAAGATAAAGCTTTCTTTGTAGGAGGCTATTTGTTTGATTAAAATGTTTTTTTCATGACAACTTGATAATGTTGAAGTTGATCCTGAAGTCTGAATTTCATGGCGTTTTTCATTTCTAATATTTTTGGAGCACTAAAATTATTTACTGATATTCCACTGTTTGTGGGGTGTGATGTTTTTACTAGAATGGGATTTACTCGCCGTTTTTTCGTATCGTGGACATGATGGTATTTATTGATTCTCAATTCATGGAAGAGCATTCCCAATTCAGGAAATCAAAAATCACGAGACAGCATTTCCTTGATAGCTTCATTTCTTATCAGGTGTATTTAATTATAATTCGTCTTCTTTTCGTAACTTACCGTTATAAAACCTTAATTTGTAGTGTATCGTTTATTTGTTGTAATTTTGAATTAGAGACGGTATTTATCTGTCCTGTTTATTTTGCATACACAGAGATACTATATGTTGAAAATGTGTATCAAATAATTTGAGGATTTTTATTGAATCGTTTGATTTTCAGACACATCGTCCTAAACTTGGCTTCGACCAGACAAAGTTTCCACTGGAAGTTATCATGGATAAGATTCGATCTTTCGAGTTTTGACTTTGCGTCAGTTTATCATACTGGGATAAAGTGTTTGAATGCAAAATTTATGAAAAAACCTCAATTTGCCTTCTATTCGCGATTTTACCACCTGATTCAGACGTCCCCGATTCAGACATCCCCGACTGCGCCCGGCTGAAATATTTTTTTGCAAGTGATAACAGGAGGAAATGTAATAATTTTTTAAACTGGCTAAGCTAAGTGTCTCCTTGCTTCTTATCGTTGAATCAATTTTTATCAAACTCGAAGCATCGAAATTATAAAGTCGCTTGTTACGAAAGGTTGCAACAGTAAATAGTTTGTTGAATAGCCTTTTTCGCCAATGGCATTAAATTTTAAATTTGTTTTCTTTGCAAGATGACTGAACTAGGAACCTTTAGAAAAAATATCTTCTCTGCTCCAAAACGACCCAAGTCACGAAATAAACGTTTTTTCAATTTTAATACGAACAGAAATTTTGATAAACATTGTAGAAAACACAAAGCAGATGAAAAATGCACTGCATTTGTATCATCCTCGTTGTAAAAACCTGATTTTCACCTCTCTTATGAGATCAGGAGTTATAAGCTAAAGCTAAACAGATACAGATCCCTGCTGAAGCAAAATAGGGCACATTTTGCTAGATTGCATTGAGGCAATTACTAACTGAACCTAAGTTCCTTTTGTACCGACGATTATGCAAGGATCCGTGCGTGGCATTTTTCTTTAAAGACGACCTTCTCCTGAATAAAAGAGCTGGAATTCTCGAGGATTCCTGTAGACCCAACTTGAAAGGCCTTATCTTTAGCAAAACGAGAAGTTTATGAATGTAATCATTCGTATTTAAGATATCAAACAGGCTTAAGCAAACATCGTTAACAGTTATATCTCAAATTTACTTCGCAATAGCAAACAGGATCAGAAAGCAGTAACAAGCAGCTAATTTGTCTTGAAGGCATCTCAGTAACAAGCAGTAACAAGCAGTAACAAGCAGTTAACTTCTCTTACCTATTCCATTCAAGCATTTAAGGCATCTACGCTAGCCTCTGCCCAAGTTATGCAAAATAAGACAAAACTACTCTATCAAAACAAAGCAATTATGAAAAACATGCAAGTGTATCTCAAAGATAAACTCATCTTCATCTAACAGAGAATGTATCCGCTTAGGAGAGGTAAATGCTGCTTTTTGCAAAAAGCGGTATTTGGTGAAGCAGCACTTGCCTGTTCACGGCTACTATTAGCTCGTACCTGACATTTTGCAATGCCACCAATTCAAAATAGGCGGTAAGTGTATTTCAAGAGATTTCTTAATTCCAATTATCGGCTTCCCTTGACAGAGGCAAACAATGGAACAGCATTTAAAGTTAGAAATGCTGAGTTTTCAGTTTCTGGGAACGGTGACGGCAATAAGATTGGCTTGAAAGGCAGGCATTTTGTGGCATTACTGCAACCATAGTTAATGCCAACTTAAATCCCTATTGCAAAATAGGCAAAATTATTGCAAAAGGGGCATCAGAGAATGCAGAATCCGGGACTCATCTATCAATAAGTTATCAAGTGGTTAAATCTGCTTATGAATCGCCAAAAAAGAATTAAATGCATTTCTCCGTGAATGCACACAAACTAGAAACATTTTAGAGTGCTCAATTTGTTATTTAAATTAAGTTAGCTTTTGACATTGCTGCGTCTGATTCAATGAAGCCATCCACAATGATGCTTTTCTTAAAACCTGTGGTTTGGCAACATTGCTACCTTACACGACAACGACCAAAGTATTGTTTGATGCGAGTTTGCACTGCTTTCAGATAAATTTCTTTTCCACAGCCAACCAGCTTATGAACCTGTATTAATTATCCCTGAAAAAATTAAATAAAATACAAATAAGAAATTCTGAATAAGACATGAGAAACCATTGCTATGATGATGTAATCCAGTGAAAGAATTTGCCCAGCATCAGTACCACAAAATACATTTGTATCTAAAATTGACTTGCTTCCACATCAGATCTGTGGGGGTATTGATATCAAAAAGCTTATGTTCTTTATGGCCACAGATCTTCACAAGTTACAATTCTTTTAAATTAGAACTTTCTCTATTTCGATCAGCATGAGCTGCGATAAAGGGATGAAAATAATTTCCTTGAAAGCTGATATTTCTTCCATCGTTTTGAAGTAACATGCAGTCACATAAAGGTCGTTAGGTAACGTTCTAAATTATAATGTAGATGCATAGGCACAATAAATGTGGAGCAAGGACAGAAGCCTGTGACTTTATGCTTTCTGCATGTCAAGATATCTCCCCCAAATTTAGTAAAACTTCCGCAAATTTTATTTCATCGTGGAACTCAATGAGAGGATTTATAACTCAGTAATTGATGTCTTAGCAAAGTTCAAATCATTGTTTCCTAAAATTTTTAGAGTTCTTTCCCATTGTAGAGGTGATTTCTTCAATCTTCAATCTTCAATCGTTTACTCCTAAAGGCTTTGCAACCAATCTGGAGCACTTACTCAAGGAGCATTAAAAAAAGGAAAATTAACTCAGAAGTAGGATTAATACCATTTCCACCCAGCGCTCCAGTTTGTGGATTTCTACAAAATGTTGCATTTGGTTTTGGTTCAACAAATCCAAGCAAAGTGTGTAGGTAAGCAGGTTTGGCTATTGCCAGAGTAGAAGCTGTGTTAATCATAAACAAGGAATAACAAAAGGCTAACAAAAGAGTAAAAATTGTATCTAATAAGTCTATACTAGGGTCCAGGTGTTGGTGGAGGCCACCTTCACCCACTGATATGGACGCAATCATTCTGTCACTGATGCCCTGAAATTGTCTTCTCTCACGCAATTCATAATTTCTGACGGCAGGCTATTCCAAATCCGAACTGTTCTTACGAAGAATTGATTTTTGAAAGCTTCGGAGTGGAGGCATTGAATTGTTTGATATTTGAGCGGATTTCTGGTTGAGGAAAGGACAATTTCTGGATACGAGATGTTGAGCATGTTGTTTCGAATTTTATTGAAGATTTGAAGGTCATGGATGCAGTGTTGATGTTGTAGTGGTAGCCAGTTAAATGATTTCATTTTCTGTGTGTCAGCCGAGTGTCTGTGCCATAAACGTGATAATTTAATGTGAACCTTGCAGCTCGTCTCTGGACAGCTTCAATTTTGTCAATGGACTTTTCGTCGTTTTTGGTGGATGATTTTTCCCCAAAAGGCCTTGCCCAGAAAAATGGGTCAAAAGATACTTAATTGAGCGAAAATTGCTGTGAACTTGTCATCGGATGTTAATGAATGAAACGCATTCCAATTGGCCATCAACAAGTCCCTCCTAGCGCCCCACCATTTCCGCACAGCAGGCATCGCTGTTTTCATTTCCCCTAAAATTGCCTCTTAGGGGCAAAACAAAGGGATGAATAAGAGGCTGCGGTTCTTCGACTGTGGGAGAATTATCTTTCAAGATGGCGGTGAAAACAATGCCTGGATTTTGATCAAACTAGATCGATCAAAAATTAGGCAGTGTACTTTAACAATGTCTCAAAACATCTTATATAAACACTTGATAATAGATATTAGGCTATAGGTAATGTCTTGGCGTGGTTCGACGATGGTACAGTACGAAGCAGGCATCGATAAAATACGGCCGAAGTTGCGACTGAAGAAAGGCCCCCTACGGTCCTTGAAGGGGAAGGGAAGGTAATAGCCTGTCTTTTACAGCTGCTTATTGATTTCTCATTTCAGATCTATACATCATTTAAGATTATATTCTGCTATATGATACTTAATTTAATTTCTTCCGTATTTCAAGTACTTGGTGAAATGTTAAGGATGTTTATTTAACCCTAAAAAACCCTTGCTCATCTTGCTGATGCCGTTCGTATCCGCTTCGCCCACAGTAATTTTTGTTCTCTCGTTTCTAGGCCAAGCTGTTACCACTGTGATGAAAAATTTCATTCAGAATTTTGCCGAAGATTGATATTACGGAACGCCAGAATAAGAAAAGTCTTGGGATCAAAATATGAATGCCTTACTTGTCGAAAAAGATTCAAGGAGATCGCGAATTTCTTGCTTCATCGTACCCTTCACGAACTCCCACAACTGCAAAATGGAGTCAATAACAACTTATTGCCATCGAAAATACGAAGCAATTCAGATTTAAAGGGAACTTTCGAAAATGAAGATGTTTTTAAATCAACCGAAGTTTTTAATTACGGCAGACACGAAAGAACTAGATCACATTATGAAGTTGACCCCGCGAGAGAATCAAAACATGAGCAGTATGGCTGCCCCAGTGAAAAAGCCCTCCAGCCAACTGGTGCGAGGAAAAGAAAAGGGGGATTACAAATACAGTGTAAGTATCAAGTTTCTTACAGTCATTTCTTTGACGAATTTTTTATGTGGGTTTCGCTTTATCATTAACGGTATAAATTTAGTCTGGTTTGTTGTTCGTCACCCCATTTGCGTGATTTCAAAAAAATTTGCCAGTTTTTCAGGAATTCGCAACTTGCGACGCAGTGTTTTCATAATAGGGGCAGCTGTTTCAAAGGGTATTCCTTTTAGCGATGCAAAGAGGGTATGAAATTATTGATTAGATGGAAGGTTAAACCAACTGCCAAACTATTTACCGGTGCTGCGGTGTTTTCGTTGTTAAACTCGATGACGTTTCGGGCGGAAATTCCACCCTTGTTTTTAGACTTGCTGAGTGGCAGAAATATGCTTGGCTTTCAAATTAATTACATAGCCAAATCATCAGCTTTTGTCTAATGTATTTAACTTGGGTGTTTTCGTTTTTCGCTATGATGATTACATCCCCCTGGGAAATTGTTCGTTTCTGAAACCGCAAGATGTAGCATTAAACCTTTAGGGTTCTTCAATACGGGGGTTTTTATTTGCTGTTTTGTAAGGACGGCCTATAGCTATAGAGGTTTATTTCTTAAAAATTTGACCGTGATTTTATACGAAAAAGGGTTTATTGCGCTATCATTTCTTCTTAATGCCAAAAATTTCAACTCATTGAGTGATCTGAATCAGTTGATTGTTTTATAAACGTTGTTGTTTGGTTTTTAAAGGAACTGGTAAGAATTCACGAAGAGTCCTCATTGTTGAGCTTCAATCTTGTGATCTTGCGCCAGACCAGTGTTTGTTTTATGACCTGTAGATGATAACAGCCCCTTTTATTAACTTTTATAAAATATTCTGAATTTTTTATTAGATTTGCTGTTGAAAATTTGATATACATAATTCCATAGGTACATAATCAGTTGATATCTTAATATTCAATCAAATCATTGAAAAAATAAAGTATGTAAGTTGGAAAAGATTTTTAAGACAGGGAGAAGAAAATAAAATTCATGAATAAAACCATCCAACTTTGAAGCACCTTTCTTTAAAGCAAGGGAAAAGCACTCTTAAAGATGAACCAAAATAAATGGTAAAACTACAATAGAATGTAGATGTTTATAGAAGATGGAAGTATATAGATCATTCAAGTCAATGTGTATGAATAGAAATATTAAAGTGTTAAATAACAGATCATAAGAGTAAGTTTTTTGCAGTTTTCATTTATAAAAATATCTGCATCATAGCTTTGTCACTTAATGTCACTCAACACTTTGTGTGTTTCAGTGACAATGTTAGATAATTCTAAACCAAAGCCTAGTTCATTTATTTCATCTAATTGTTTATAGTTTTATGAGTATTAAACTAGTTATATTGCTAATAAGTTTTTTATTTTTTCCTTGTTTCCTTTTCAAAATAATTGGTATGTCATTCAAAATTTCAGTGTTTATTTATTGTATCTCTCAACTTTAAATGTCTTTGTTGATATGATTTTATTTTATCAAGTGATCTTTTATAATTTCAAGTAAAATATTTCTTTTCTAATTTTTTGTCTTTATTTTTATTCTTTGATATGAAGACATTCTAACCTAGCTTTCATGCTTTTCATGCTTTTAAACCATTGTTAGGTTGATGAAATTAAGATGAACAGTTCATCAGATTTCTATTGTCCTTATATAATACTACTAATTATTAGTTATTAGCTTTTTAGTTAACCATCTAGATATAAGACTTGGGGGACACTAGGGCACTGTGCCCCCATGGTTTTGGCAAGTGTCCTTTATAAGAAGTAAATACCTGTTTTACATTTAATTTTTATCATCATGGTACCCTTTTTGCCAGGACCACTTGGTGACAATGATAAGTGCCCTTCCTGAGGCTGTGCCCCTCCAGATAAACACTTCCTATGTCCCCATTAGTTATTATTTGTCTCAACTGAGAGATCCTTATTTTATGATTAAATGCTGGAAGCTCTTCTCTTTTTAAAACTTTCAACAGATAAAAGGCATATGATTGAAATGATACTGAGCCACAGGAAATACCATTAAGATTCCCAAATTGACAAAATTGAAATTGGTTTTTTCCATTTGCACTCTTTCAATATAGCCTTGTGTGCAAATTTAAAAAAATTCAGATGTGACTCTGCAAAAAGAAGGGACTAAAAGAAGCTATCTTCTCCCCTCTTGTTTAGAATCCTGTATTGAATGCTTAACCATTGACTACTCTTATAATTCTACTACTGGGTCTCTACTCTCACCTCTTTACTATATTGAAAATTTTGCCAACCCCCAGCTCTTTTGCAACCATCCCCCAGCTTATTGAAAGTTCAATTTTGAAAACATCAGCTGGCCTTAAACATCAGTTAGCATTTGCCTGTTACAATTTTTTCTAAATCTACCTTAGTAACATTTGTGAATTTTTTTTTCATGTTGGCTGGTCAAGTGGAACTCTTTGGGGGTATTCTCCTTTACTATTGACATTGTAGGACTAACTTTCATTTGAACATTGTCTACCTGCTGTTTTTTGTTATTGCTGAAACTTTTCTTCTTTACTTTTCGTCTTTGGTCTACAGAATTCTTTGTTATCAAAGAAATGATTATGATGTTTGTTGCTTACCTGCTCTCTGGTAAATTGAATAATACTTTGTAGTAAAAAATCTGCTGTATTTTAGTGCAGTGTATTTTGTTCAGAAGGAAATCTGCAAAGAAATTTGAGAAAGTTCCTGAGATCGCACCATGATATATTCACACGTGCCCCTCAGCTCAGCCGTAATGATTAGGATTCTGTCCTTCTCTGTAAACTCCATAAAGTAAGCTTTTGGGCAAGCTCAATTTGTGCCCTGAATTTTGATAAAGAGTAAATTTATTTTTTTATTTGTTGGTCAGATTATTTATTTGCATCAGTTGTACTACAGCTGCTACCTTATGCAAAATACTTGGACTTGATTGCTCTTTTTTTCTTTTCCAGCCTCATTTAATAACCTTTTGTTCCAACTTTTTGAATGGTCTTAAAATAACGTTATTATAATTAAAAAATATGCATAATTATTTATATTTCTGAGGAGTGTGCTTACTTAAGTCCAATGAATTGTCTAGATGAGGTTTTAACCAATCACAGAGCCTGTAACATATATTTCTATTGAAAGTCAAAATTGTATTAGGCCTTCAACTCAAAAGCTATTTGCAGCAATGAGCATCTGTTGATAGAAGACAGACAATGAATTTGGAAATACAAACTTTCTTCAAAATACAAATTCATGGTAAAGCTAAGTGCAAATTATATTGCTTAACACAAAGTGTACATAATTCTGTTGTAAAAAGGTTGTTTTATAGTGTAAGTTTTTTCTGATTCAATCAAAAAGTTTATTTCTATAAAAATATTGTTATAGTGAGAGCTTGATGAAAACATCTAACATTCAAATCTTTGGTAATGGTTTGTTGTTGGGGGCATGTTGTTGTGAAATTGGGCACGTGTTTTGGGGGTGTAGGAAAATTTAAGATTTTGTCTGAAAGCTTAGTTATGATTTGGGTTACTTTTGTGGCCAAAAGGTGGAAAATGGAAAAAGAAGACACTGCATTCTTAGACTTCTGATTCAAATATAATGATTGTGATGAGATTTTTGTTATATCTTCTATCTACTGATGTTATTACTTATTTTAAGCCAAAAGTTTCAGGCAGTTAAGTTGACATTATCGCTCCTCCATGAAAAATGATCAATTTCCCCTTCTGAATTAACATGTACTCATCTTTTATTGAAAATGGGTCATAACTGTTGTTTGTCTTTTTGAGACAAAACTATCTTGCCGTATCACCCAAGAAAATAAATTATAACGCCAATCAATTCTGAAGGAATACTCAGTCTCGATTTCTTTTTGTTATTTACACGAAGTATAGACACAGTATAATAACGCAATTTAAGGAAATGATATTTATATGTTATGGTAAGTTGTATGTGAATGTAATAGATGAATTATTAAGAAACGTCTCAAGCAATCAAACTTTTCAAAGCCAAGCAAGGTGTCTCTAGATGTTATGTTTAAATATTCGGAAATTTCTTGTTGTGGGATTTCAGTCATTCAAATACTTATGCCCATTTATTATTCTATTCATTATTTATTTATTTATTTGTTTTGTCATTATTCATATATTCTATCTTGACTCAAGACATTTCGTTGGCATTTACTTGCTGTTTATAAAAGCAAGACGAATGAAAGTAGTTGAAACCTCGTTGTGGCTTCATGCGGTTAGATTGCACAGTGATGCAACTGCATCCTCTATTGATGTGATGTGCGTAAAAGTAGAAAATTGTGGTGTAAGGGTGGTTGATTAAGAAAGCCCTATGATCATCTTCTTGTCCGTTTTAACGACAGACAGGGTCTGATGATCTCTTATAGCTAAGTATCCAGAGATGTCCATTCCGGTGTCTCTATTGCTTTTGATATTAACCATGTCAAGCTCGCATTCGCTCTATTTACTTAATAAACCATGTCATCTTTGCTCACTGCAATCATTCCTTTCAATCGAAAGCAAATTCTTTTCAATGGTACATTTGAACTTCTGACAATAATTTCTGCAAAAAGTGCAATTTTTAAAAAAATATTCTGATGTTCCTGCGCCCTGCTCCATTGCCTTTGCAATAGAACTGCTGATACCTGTTCTCAGTAAGCGGAATACCAATGTAAACTATTGGTACTACAAGGGTTCATGCAGCGACCTTGAGCAGCATGTCTGCTACCGTGCTAACAATACTGCTCTCTCTTTGTGGGTCATTTTTTGTTCACGTAGAAATTGCGTCTCGAATAGCAAACGTTTGCTTGAATTTTTTATTGAATTTTTGTAGGCAGAATCGACGCATGATTACAATGTTTCTGCAGCCAATGTGCAGTTGAAAACGCGCCAAAACAAGGATGAATTTCAGGACTTTTTCAATGCTTGGTCGACTCGTTTTGCCAAAGTTCATGCAGAGCTGTACAATAAATTTTCAGGCATTTGTAATCTAGACAGGTCATATTTTGGCTTGCAGGCACAGGTGCTGACCACATTCGAAAAACAGGGGGGCATACACGAGACGAGGATAGAGCTTCAAGCCTCCTGTTGAGTTGCTTTCACGGGCAGGTGATCCTGCGATGGATATTACACTAAAACTTTCTGCATAAATAAGTTCGCTGTCTATTGGTCTTAGGTATTTGGCCATTGAGTTTGCACATTTGATGCATACCAGGACTAGTTGCTTGCACTTGAGGAGCTATGACTTCTTTGAATCATGCAGGTTTTGGTTAAATTGTCTTATAGGTTCAAGTTGTCACATTCGATAGAGAATTCCTGTATAAATCTAGCTTGCATTGTGGACGCTGCCACATTAATATTTGAACCATATCCGATTGTTTGAAGTCATTAAACCCGTCAGCAACAACATACAGAGCCTGTTTTAAGGTTGAGGTGCCCTCTGATGCAAACCAATATCATTGTTATGATCCTTCTCGGTTTCTATGCCAAGTGGTAATGGTCCTTACCTTTTCTGGTGGAGTTATATTGCAGCGGGACCTAAATGTCTAAGCGTACTTTCATTTAGAAGTCTAACCGTACCCTAATGAGTATTGATGGCAAATTTCACGGCAAAGGCCAAGAGATATGAAAGCAGAAAGGATGTGCCAAGTCACCTAGGTAAGTGTCATCCGATCTCGCTTGTGTATCGTAACTCAGAGTTGTTTGAAAAATACACAAAGGCACTGTTAGTTTTTATCCTTTTTGGTATACCAAAAGCGCATTTCAAGTCGTTTTCTCTACGCGTTAAAGAGTCAGTGGATCCTAATCTTGCTACCTCAAACTGTCGTTAAAAACATGTTTTTTTATTTCAAGCAATTCAACACTGCTTTTCTTCTGTTATTTGTCCAGCAAATTTTGTTCGACTTTAGAATGAACGGTTCAGTTGCTTTTATTCTTAATCAGTTGTTGGATATTTATTTGTAGATATTTTTGAAATTCTTCGGCTATTATTCATCAGTTTTTGGCGTTTTGCCTTCTAGCTGATTGTTTGCCATAAATTGAGGCCTCGCGATCTATGATATATTGCCTTGATTTTTTTGTTGGTCTGTTCGATGTAAACACTTTTCAAAATTGCAAACGTTCACGTTAAAATGAATTCTCGGTCTTTGAATTTTTTAATTTTTGTATGGAATAAAGTTTCCTCAAATTTGAGATCTAAGCAGCATCTGATGCTTTAATTTCCTATGTTCGTACTTTGACAAAATTATGCGAAATTAAATAGTTTGGCGTTTAATCTTTTACTAAGAGTTTGACAAAATTATACGAAAAATAACACACCTTTGAGATATTCTCATTGAGGTATCAGAGTTTATTTTGGACTAAGAGACCTCTGTGTGTGTCTGAAATCAAATTGTGCTTGGTTTTTACAATAGCCCAGTTTAAAGTCGATAGAATTTGGAAACAGCCGAGGTAATTTCTCGTGAACATCCAGCCTGCTTATTAACTGTCGGCAGTTTTTTCTTTAGGTTTATGGTATCCAACGGGCGACAAAATTCTTACCCGTTTACAGAGGGACTGCTTCTATGAATTAATTTAGTATTGACTTGTTGTAATCTGTTACTCTCAAAAGTGTCCCTTCTCTAAATCTTTTGGAATCCTCTTAGGCCGGTCGTTATTCGCGTTAAAATTCTGTCGTTGTTATCAAAACGTAATCTTTAGTAGATTGTATTTATTAAAGAAGAAACTCCTTCCTCTCAAATCGTCGGCAAGTGAAAGGAGCAAGATAAAAAATAGCTTTAATTATTGTGGATCACTGAATGCTTATGCATGCACACAAAGTCTCGTATAAACTTTTTGTATCCTTTTCTGTTTATCTCCAAATTTATTTTGCCAATCTTCTGGCTGGTATGAACCCCAAAATTCTCGATGATTTAACCTCACCTTCGTGTATTTCTTTTTTAAAGAATATTTTCAGAATGTTTTTTTTGATCGTTCAATTTTTTTTCTTTAATTTTGTTGATGCTGTTTGTTAGATTTCCTATCAACAGTTTACTCAGCATCCTCTCGTCTCGTGAATAGTTTTATTTATGATAGCTTCCCCCGTTGCTAAAACCTCAAGTAGTTTTTTATCAATTTCATTTTTCTCGCAATCTCATAGGCATTTTCTTTTGTTACTTCACAAAAGGTATCCGGGCCTTGTTAATTGTATTTATGTTTATTTTGTCTTTCATTTACAAATATTCGTTTCGCAGATTTTTCATCCGAATGACCCTTGTTTTCACCTCCTGTACGTATGGCTAGCCTCAAATTTACGAAGATTTCTTCGTCTTCGAAGGGATCTCCTCCTTTCAAGTGTCGTTCGAAGAAATTGTATTTTTCCAACAAATTGAACAAGACTGTTAGCTCTTTGTTTCGTGGTGAACTGGTTAGAAAGCTTTCTTTCAGAAAGTCGACTTTGTTGTTATTTGATATGCCCACATTCATGGAAAGCGCATCGTACCCTTTCAAGCTTTTAGGAGCAATGAGCTTCCCGGCTTTTGTTTTAAACAAAAAGGAAGCGATATTTATTTTCTAGTTTGTTACTATATAATTTGTATGATAGCCCGTTGATAAAAAATTTCTGGAATTTTAGCCTGAAAGCGGGTTTTCTTTGAAAATCCCCAGCGGCAAACCCTAGGCCTAACCGCCTTCTTCCTTCTAAACTTTCAATGAACCCCATGCCCTGGTTAGAAAAATAGCTGCAGGAGATTCATTCACCGACCTTTTGTATTTTGGGGAGCCTTTGCTCGTAAATCAATATCCCCTTTAGCCAACTGCTTTGATACCACAAGGATGGAATCCGTTCGCCGCTCGACCCGCGAGGCAACTACAATAATTCTCTATTTCTTAAGTAATCAGGAAATCCTGTGAAACACAAAGGGATGATGACATGTTTAACGATTGGAACGCTTGGGAGCAGCTTTGCTAGAAGCGTTCCAGGATAAAAGATCGAATACGAGGGATATTTGATTCCGATCGAGGCATGAGGACTTTATTTTAACAAAGCCACAATAGGAATTGTCTAGTTTCCATACTGTTCGACCTGATAGTCATAAATAAGCATGATTAATAGTCATGAATTAGCATGCTTAATTATTTCAAGTAAGGGGTTAAGATAAAGGTTAGGGTTAGGGTTAGGGTTAGGGTTGGTTAGGGTTAGGTTTAGGGTTAGGTTTAGGGTTAGGTTTAGGGTTAGGGTTAGGGTTAGGTTTAGGGTTAGGTTTAGGTTAGGTTTAGGTTTAGGGTTAGGGTTAGGGTTAGGGTTAGGGTGAATTAATTACGTCATCAGGTCGAGCAGTATGGAAACTAGACAGCTCCATGTAGACTGCTGCTGTTGAGTAGAATTCGGTATTATGTTAAAGGTAGTTATTTGTAAGTCGATTACGCTGGGTCCATATACCTTGAATTTGCTCGAAGATTAAACCATACCAGATGGCTTTGAAGTCGCGTTTTCCTTTATAGAAAACTGTACCGTTTCCCATTATAGTTTCTCATCTTATACGTGGCCAAGCTTTCTCTTTCCTCTTGTTGCCCTATGCTAGCAGCAGATTAGTTTGCATAGCAAAATCTTCGGTGTTTTATTCTATTTAAAGTGACATGATATAAATAGGAAGATGTTTGGGAACTTTTTATTTACATGGGGGCTTTGGTCTTTGGATGTTGCTTTTTTCCCTAATTCTCATTTTTGGCAGTCTTAGATTGAACTTTGTTATTTTAAGTTTTTTTATGGAAACCGGGCGGTTCTCTAACAAGTTAGTGAACGAGTTGCAAGTTTTAGTCATTTTCCGCAGCCAAGGGCGCATATCTTGTGTTTATTTTTATGATGTGGGATTTCAGTCATTCAAATACTTATGCCCATTTATTATTCTATTCATTATTTATTTATTTATTTGTTTTGTCATCATTCATATATTCTATCTTGACTCAAGACATTTCGTTGGCATTTACTTGCTGTTTATAAAAGCAAGACGAATGAAAGTAGGAGGCCACAGTGAGCTATACATTCTGTAAAGGGTTTTCTTTTGAATGATTATGATGCTCTCTCATTTCGAAATGCATCCTTTCTTGAATTCCTAACAGGCACAATGCTGCTAAATATTGACAATAACATTAGGTGCTTGCAAAATGTGTGGTAGTTGTCAGTAGTTTGTTCGTCTTTGACCTCTAGATTTTCAAACAGTAGTATTTAGGTGTTTGGATACTGTAATGCCCAATTTATTTTACAGTATCACGATTTGTTCTTGATTTTATAATTAATTTTTTCAAAGTTACCACCCCAGCTGTCCGTCCTTGTTCGGGTACTAAATTTGAATGTAACTGTTACAAACAGGTGCTTTTACGAACAGTGTGTCATTTGCAGCTCGGTATAGGCCAGTCTCGCTTAACTTCAAATTAGATGTACATTGTATCTTCTCTCGGTTTTAGATATCAGTTCTCAAGCACTCCACCAAGAATTAACAGATGATGAAGACGAGAGCGCACGTCATTCTTACCTCCAAGAGCAATTCAAAATGGGCGAGGAGACTGAAACCCCCACTGTTTTCATCATCCCAGGTGACCATGAGCTCAACATCGGTACTAACGGACGCCTTGACGACTCGGGTGAATCAGTGGAGCCCAGGCCTCTCTTTGATGACAGAGCAAGTGACTATGACGATGCCGAGAAAACCAAAGACGGTGACGAGAGAAGAGGTGATTCCAGGGAACATTTTTGCTCATGCGTTTCATGCAAGAATGAGAGAAACCGTCACGAAAAAAGGCGGGGCTCTGATTGCCATAGTCACTGTAGCCACCATGAGCATGGCTCCTTTCATGGAGAATGCGGACCAGACCGGTGCCATTCACGCAAGGAGTCACGTTGCCATGGGGACAGCTGTTACAGCGGTCATTGCAACAAATCCAGCGATCATGGGCCATGTCATCACGGTTATCATGATAGCCATAGGCAGTGTCATGAACAGTTTTGTAGTGGGTCCCACTGCCATGGTAACCATTGCCATGGAGATTCATGTTATCCTAAGATGGATTGGCGGGAATATTTCATGAATGATGATGATCACAGATTCAGAAGTAAGGTGCATAAACACACATATGGTGATCGTTTCCTTAGTGAAAGAGCAGCACATAGAAATCCTTTTGAGTCCTACCCACCTCATGTCCCTGATAACATGTTCCTGCCTCCAGATCCACTTTTGATGAATTACAATCAACGGAGAGGTGGAGCGTTTCATTCATCGTCCACTAAGGGGAAATCCCACGTGGTTGATAGGAACACTCTGACACCAGGATACCCATCTGCAAGAAAGCATTCAGATTCAGAATTATCAGCTATTGATGCTATAGCCTTAACCAAAAATGCAACAAAATTCAAAGGCAATGCACGTGGATTCGATGGGGATTCCCGGCACCCAGCAAGAGGTGATATCCTGACTGCTCCTGGAAGCGCAATTCGTCGAATGAAGGAGCTGGTGAGCAAATATAGTGACAGGCAAGTTAGAGAGGTTGACGATCAAGGCGAGGCGCTTATTAACAGGCCACTTCCTCCAGAGCTTGCAGACAATGAGGAAACAGAGATGCAAGGGACTCAAGGCGATCAAGTTATGGAAAAGCAAGAAGCATACGTTTGTCATATATGTGGGAAAGAATTTGCGTGGGCAATCACCCTTAAACGTCACATGCTGATACACACAGGGGTACGACAGTATCAGTGTAATATATGCAACAAGGCATTTACCCGGTCCCATCACCTGAAGAGGCACATGACAGTACATACTGGGGAGAAACCATATGTATGCCATATTTGCAACAAAGCATACTCAAGATCAGATCGACTGAGCAGTCACATGAATAATCACGAAGGATATGTGTCTAACAAAAAGCGTGGTAGAATGCCATTGAAAACCCCAGAAAGCATTACAGATGGAACTGATGCAGCTGTCGAGAAAAGACAGGAGGTCATTTCAACTGGTGGTGATTTGAAATTGTCTTCAAGCAAAGAAAGCACAATGATAATCAATAGAGAGACAGAATCAGGCCCGAGTACTAGAGAGAGTGTTGGTGTAGACAAAGGGTGGCCTAACCCGCCATCTTTAGATCAAATTGGGGTTGCAAGAGAAGAACCAGCTTTAAACGAGCCCTGGAATACAACTGGAAATGTAGAGACTGGACCCCCACAGGTGAGAATTATTAGCAGTGAGCCACCACCATGGTATTCAAGACCAGAAACGCGTCCTGGTGGTGATGAAGAAGAGGGGCGGCAGGAGCAGCTTGCAGAAGATCAAAATGTGGAAAAAAAGAATAGCACAGATATTCCTACACATGCTCTAGATATTCATGGTATTGGTGGCAGAGGCAGACAGTCCCACAATCGAGATGAAGAAACATCGGATTTGAAACCCGATTTACCAGTATCATTGAAACATAGCCCACACTATTCAAAACCTCCTGACAGCGTTGTTAGGTCATCACCTTATCAGAGTTTCACCCATACAAGAGTTGAGAAGGAAACCTTCTCTAAGTACAAAAGCAATCTTCAAGAGTTGAGGCCCAGTGACTTTCATCCTCCTGACTTTTTTCCTCCACCAGGTTTCCCAATGCCTGGACCTCCAAGTTTCATACCAGGGAGCATACTGGACACCAATCCAAAGGATGCTAAACTGTCACCATTCTCTGGACATGCACCCATGTTTCGACATGACGATAAAAGACCAAGAAGTCCGATGGGACAAGATCTGCATGATCGCGGAGGGGTGCCGTTTATCACGGGTGATCCAGCAAAATTCGGCTTTGGTGGTTTACTTAATGCAAGAAATGATTTTATCAACAAGCAGCGAATTGGCCACCCATCTATGCTGTACCATGAGATGCCCCACGATGTTAACAATCGCGATTCGAGGCAGGATGGGATGATGATACGCCCAAAGCAAGTAGACGAAAGGGAACAAAATTACGGTAATGAGTTGCAAGAAGGTTTTCAGATTGCCAGGAAAGACGAAGGCAATGGCGATGATGCCAAAAACGATCACATGAGCAGTGGTGAAGATTCAGCTTCTGGGTTGCAATCCAAATTCAAAGTGCAGCTGACGCAAAGGGATGTAAAAGGCTCGATAGACATGAAGCCTCCAGACCCACACATGAATCTCTTTACTTTCCGGCACATGGTCCATCAACCTGGCCGACCTCGGGCCACTTTGGATAATGCTGGCCAAAAACGAGTTCTACCAAGGACATTTGTCTGTCGTACCTGTAACAAAGCTTTCACAAGATCTCACCATCTTCGAAGGCATGAGTTAATCCACTCAGGCCAAAAGCCGTTCAAATGCACCATTTGTGGTCGTGCGTTTAACCGTTCAGACCACCTCAATCTTCACTTGGCCACACACTACCAGAGTGCAAATGGTCCACGACCATACAACAGAGATGCTGGAAAAGGCAAGAAGAAGGGGTCTGAATGCAGTATCAAGTCCGATGTAGATGGAGAGGGTGAGAAGATGTCTGCCGAAATGAGCGACCAGGGGCCTATTGAAATGAGTGGCCAGGGGCCTATGGAAATAAGTGGCCAGGGGCCCGTTGAAATGAGTGGCCAGTTGACCGAGGCTGATGGTATGAGTGGAGGGGATTCCCTTGGTGAGCAATCCCCTGTTGTTAGCGGTCATTTAGAAAATATGGAAGTCTTTACAGGCGGAAAAGGGTCAGATTCACACGTAAGTACCCTTGAAAATATGATTAAGTCCGAGTCCCCTGAAAGATTTGATATTAACAGTTCCATATAAACAATATTAGAAAAGACAGAAAAGGTCTGAAACATTTTAAAATTACCTATTTATTATCGCAATATTGCTCGATTTCCTTAGTATAATAACGTAATTAAAGCATGTTTAACTGTATATTCAAAAAGCTTAAATTATTCATTTTGGGTATAGATTTTGAAGTGCTCATAGCCAATTGTGAACTGTGCATACAACTCTTGCTTGGAAAGTCTGGTTTTTAATGCAGCTCAAAATGAATAGAGCCTCTAATGCGCTACTGTCTAGCTGGGTTTTATCTTAAAGTGAGGGTCAGTCGCTGTTCTGTTTTATAGAAAAAACGCCAGGCTAGTTTAAACGCTTTACTGCTTGTTATTTCCATTATAAGGCCAATCTTTCCGCAACTACACCGCATAATAACAACAGTAGACAGGCAGAACTGCACTATAGGTTCCCACCATAAGTGACGAAGCAAATTGCAAATTGCAGAGCTGCCTGACGATAAATTTCTCATGAATTCATCTTCAATAATAGTCAGCTTTTATTAAGGTTGTATTCTTCTCAGCCTTTTAAACTTTTCTGATGCGAAAAACTTTGGTTAAATCTTTGGCTGCAGCTAAAAACTCTGGGCAAGACAATTTTGATAATTGCTAGGAAGCCTTGATGGATGAAAAATTGGAGAACAGCAATAGTTTAACTCCATTTGAAGACGATTTTATTTTGTCCCAGAAAGGTAAGATTTGGTAATCTAAACCGGCCACTCCTTCAGTCAAATTATCCATATAAAATAACTCCCTAACTCTGAATCCTTTCGATTAGATTTCAATCAGCGACGTATAAAACATCGCATTTTCACTTTCATTGTTAAATGAAACGTTAATTGTTACGAATACCAAACATGAAATTTTGGCGTTTTTGCATGAACCTTTAGATGATCGATGATGGAACATCTAGACTTTGAGATAGGATAAAGGGCTGCCGTGTTTTAAAACGAGGCAAGGTTGAAAAAGAATTCGTATTATGAAAACGAGACAGGGGCCTGTGGCCTAACAATGTCAGATCTTTCTGTAGCAAGAGTCACAGCCAAGCTTGCAAAGTTTAGGCGATGTGCAGTCACAAATGGCAATGATCTTGTGGCCGTTGTATACTCTTCTTGAACTAGTAGCATTAGCGTGTTATGAACGAGTAGTGTAATTAGAAACTTAGTATTATTATTTTGTGTAGTCTAAGGGCACTAGCTTTAGCTTATGATTTTGCGAGAAACTTGATAATATGTAAACTGCCATCTTTATAAAACTCTGTCCAGCGGAAAGCGATGAGCTAGAGGTTCCGTCGTTTGCAAACGTGCGCTAACCCCGCTTTTGGCTTGTTTCTCTTCCCTTGCATCCTTGAAAAATTTTCACAGATTAACAGTGGTCTGTAGTTGTGTTGACATTGGCTCACCCGCACATAAGTGCATCCCATATAAGTGATGCAAAGTGAGGCAGTTGTGAAGCAATTTGAGGAATGCAGTACCAGCCTTTGGATTCCCGTTTTAAGAGTTTTGTTGTTCAGCAAGTTGTAAGGGAAGCTTCAAGTATGGGACTTATTACACAGCAAAGGAAAAGTTTCACATCCTCGCTATTTGAAGTTGTTTCCCCGTCATAGAAGTTCAAAATGCGCATTTTGTGAATTATCATATCGCAGCTTTGCTGTGGATAAACGGCAAGAATGCATGTTTGGGTGTAGGTTCATAGGGATTCGCGTTTGATCGCTATCGATGCAAGTGCTTTCCATGCTCTTTATCGCAGTTTTAACAGAGTAGCTAGGGTAACTGAGAAATGATTGAAGGAATCAGATTGGTCTATATTTTTGCTAATGCGTAGTGGTTAGATTGTAGCTCGCACCACCAAATAACAAACGTAGCTATGTGCAAACCGTGAACGCACCGATGTCGTGATTGGCAGATTTCTAGCCATAAAACGAATAGGCGATGCCGTGACTGGGAGATTTCTAGCCATAAAACGAATAGGCGATGCCGTGACTGGGAGATTTCTAGCCATGTAGGGAATATTCAATGTTATGCAACGTGGGTGTGATTGCTCTGCTTCGTTTGTTGTTTGTGGTGCTAGAGATAGGAAGATCGGTACAGCGAGAATTGACTGGTAGCAAACAAAACGCGAAGTTAATTAATATTTCATAGCGGTTTGTTGGGAAAATATGCAAGAAATCTTTTGCTTTCCATACGCTGACCGGGAATAAGCTTTAGAGAAACCAAGGAGTTTTCATCCAAAGTATAAAGGATTTTATTATCGTCAGAATTTTTTAGCTGTGGCCTAAGTACCTGCTGAATTTTAATGCTAACGGGGAGATGCCTGTCTTCTTAAAGCCATGAATTTTGATTGAAAATTTTGCTACCTAATCGCAGATCTCATTTTCGACAGTGTTTAAAAAAAATAACGTGAAGTGATAATAGCTCCAGGAATGTCGATTCTTGCTGTACTGCTATGTTTTTGGAAATTCTGGTCTGAATTGCGAATGAAAAGAATTCTAGTTTTGTTAAAAGCGTCGTGATAAACAGCATTTGTAATGAATGACGAAGCTTTTGTCAATGATTTGGGGGCAAATAAGACCAAAATTCTTTGTTCAAACCTTAAACCAGGCACCCAGTCGAAACTTGGGTCTTTTACCCCATGTTTCTGGGCCTAGAGCAGGGCATGATTGAGATGTTTTGCGGTGCTTGTAACTGTAAAAGTCCCCCTGTGTAGTTGGCAAAAGCTTCAAAAAATTATTTTGGTTTTCGAATTGTTTATTGATCGTGTGACACTTTTCAGCCAGCCAGGGCCTTTTTAGCCTACTGCTAGGCGAGGGGGCAATTTCCCTTCAAGCCCCAATTACATTATTTTGTTTATTTTTGACTACAATAGACTATTGCTGAATTTTTATTGAAAGCAACAGGTTGACCCTTAACTGCAAAGGCTGTGGCAGCCACTATGGTTAAATCTGATTTCTATTAACCCGATAGCGTAAACTTCCAAGTAAGTGGTAAAAAATGGTAAAGATATCATACCCGTTGTCTGAAAAGCAGTGCCTTTATGGTTGTGGTAGGAAGATTGTCACACGATGTTACAAAGATGTATACCAGGTTGCACTACATATAAGTTGTTAGCAAGAAAATAGGCATGTTAATGAGTTACCTTCCATTTTAGCTCTTTAATATTTCATTAGATAAATAGTACTAACTATTTATGACTTTGCTCCTCAAAAATTATGTTTTTGTATATATAACCATATTAATATAAATAATCACTATGCAGAGAATTTATTTGGTTTATGAAATAGTTTTTTTAACAGCGTTGCTAGTTTGTCCTGTCAGAAGAGCCAGCTGTAGATACAAGAAACTTTAAAGCAGATGATATGTGAAATCACTCTCACCTCAGTATCAAAAACAGCAACCCCCCCCCCCCCCCACCCATGTTAGATTGAACTTTTCGGCAGTATTCTTAAATATTTCTGCCATCTATTCTGTAACCTGCTAATAAGAAATACATTTAGTGACATCAATGGTATGCTAAATGACTTTGAAAGGATTTCAATGACACGATGTGATGATATTCACATTTCAGAAATCATCCTAAACAAGTCATGTCAGTTAGGTGACAATGTTCAAAATTTAGTTACCATCCCATTTTTATGCCCTAAATGCCCTGTCCCGAATGCCAATAACAACGCACTTGCTGTTTTTGGTCATGTAAATGGCCAAAAATGAGTTTAAGGCACACCTATGATTAGGGTATCACGTAAATTCTATGTATTTAGTCCAACGAGGCAGCAATAATAATGCTGTTTGCATGCATATCCCCCTTTTTGATTCTTTAGTCGAACCTTGATGTTGTCCATAGTAGAATGGCTCACTGACAGGTGAGACTAGCTTCAATGTTTTCTTTGGATGAAAGCACTATGTTGGCAGTGCACTAACAGGTCCAGATACGTGCTTTACCTTAGGCCATTTTGCGAAATGAAGACCTACCACAATGTTTAAGTGAATTTTCCTACATCTTAAAAGGAAGAAATAAATATTTATCTAACTAAGGCTGCTATTATTGTAAAATATATAATCCGCTTCCAGAGCAGTAGAACGAAACTTCCAAGAAAGCAACAAAAACGCTCAATGAATGAGTCTTTTCAATAGAACAAGTTGAATATTAGCCAAACAGAACATCATTCGCATAGCCTAAGTTGAAACAATGTCTCAGACTTTGTGTATACAAATCTTTTATTCTCGTAATGTTTGGATTGTTGCATGGTGTATGATGCATTCTTCGCCATCGTTATTGTTATAAGATATTAATTCGTTTTATTCCTCATTGCATTTCTCTGTGTTTGCATCTCAAGGTTTTGTCAGAGTACCCCGTTATCAACATTTCATCTTGTAGCATAGTGAGGGAAAATGTGGAACTTTTTTGATTTTGTCAGTGAAGCTCTTGCACTTTGTGTTATGCGAGAAAAGATCAAAGCAAATTATTCTCCTCAGCCGTTTCTGCCACTTGATCAAATTTCCTTTTTTTCGCTTCACTCTTCTAGTTTCATTTTCAAGCAGTGTTGAACTCGTTTTCTTTATTTCTATATAAACATTTCTATAAAAGGTATAGACGAAGACGATGCCATTGGGAGCATGATAGGCATGGCTACCTATTGACCTTAGGAAATAGAATGACAGTAACAAATAATGCTAATCAGAGCTGCTGTTGGTAACTCCTAAAGGATTACTTGCTTAGATAAGAAATTAAAACCCTACTGCTTGATTGGAAAATTGAAAAACGTATTTACAGATTTTGGTATCGTCTTTAGCAAAATGACAGAGTTACTAAACATAAATTTTTGAGAGGAAGTCAAAAGATTTTAGAGATGGACAAGATACCAATATAATTTACCTAGGGTGGTGTTTGCTGGTGCCACAAGAAATGTTCCTATACTGAATGAATTGATTCCAAAATTTCTTTATTTGTTATCCGAAAGTAGTTTATTCACATACCATATTATGTGCCAAAGCGAATGTTTTGCAGGGTTTGAGATGCTGTGTTATTGGAATTTTTCGTTATTCGTGCCTAGATCACCCCTTCAATCATCATTTCTTTGAAATTGTAGCTAGAATTTTTCAGCATCTTTTATCCCGTTATTTATTAGATACAGCTGAAAGCTCCTTCTAAACCCTGTGACAAATTGATTGATAATGGGAAACTAAAGAAATTTAAGAACAGATACTGGTTTAGAGCTAATTCACGAATTTAAGTATTTTGCAAGGCAGCATTAAAGCTCCAGCTAGAGCTACCTCCCTGTTGAAGCCGGGACGAATTATAAGCCATCCATCATTTGTGTTTGTTATCGTTTGTTTCTCGGTACGTTTCTATGTTGTTCATTTTCAAAATTTTACCGATATTTCTCCGCAATTTTTCCACTGGAATCTGTCAAAAGGTTTGCCACTGTGGCCTTTTCATTATTCCATATCGTAGTATAATTGTGTTAACTCCAAAATATAAGCAGTGGTTGCCATTTTTTGCAAGTTGACCTGGCTGACTTCAGTATTTCCAAGCTTTCTGTAAGCTATTCTCACTTCTAAACATAACGTTTTACGAAATTATTAAAAATTTTGCCTGAAAACTAGAGCGAATAAGAAAATGAAGGTTTCATGTCAGTTCAGAAGGAGCCCCCCAAAGCGTCAGAAGGAGCCCCCCAAAGCTTCGATAAATTTCTGAAATATTTATTTGCATGTTCATTTGTTTGTGCATTCTTAAAAGGACTTGCCCATCCTAAAATTTCCACCTGCTCAAACAACGGAAGTATATTTTTGCAATTATCTCAATTGATGCAAACCAAAGCTTCAGCAGGTGTGCCAGAGCATGGGTACGTATGATCTTTCAGTCTGGCTACATGGTGCATCTTTCTATAAATCACACGTAAAGGTTATCAAAGATGTCCAATAATAGGATAATTTGTTTGGGGATACTGCAGGCAAAGAGAAGAATGATACTATCATAGTCAATTCAAAGAGCCCCTTTTCAATTGCCATGATTAATCAATGAAATGAACCAACTTATCAAAGGTTGTTAGTATTCTAGAATGTGACGTAAATGTTTTTTGATTTGTGAAACGTGCAGGAAAGCCAAAAATAGCTGTTTTATTTGACAGGAATATTATCATGGTTTTGGTCCGATATTAAGGTGAACAATCTATTTCATCTTCCACTTCTAAGCAATTAAACTGCCGATTGATTTTTGGCTAATGCAAAATCAAATGCCCTTCTAGATTTGGTCTACAGCCAAATTTGCATTCAGACAAATTGCCCCTCTTTACAATGACGATTTTGAGAGAAAAGGAGCAATGAAGCTCAATTTGTTGGGTTGATTCTTAAACATCAAGATGTTTCGCTTTTGCAAGGAAGTATGAAACTTGCCTGTTTTGCCAATCCCGGAAAATCTTCCCAGCCGAAAATTGTATCTGTACATTCGCTTAAAAAAGGCAATGGGTCTGCGCTTTTACCCGGTGAATGAAAATATATGAACGATACATCACCCTTAAACCTTACGCTTTTACGTCACGCATTGCTTACAAGGGAAGAGGTTAAAATCATTCAACATTTCTCGCGTGACGTCATGGTGACCTCAACCTGCAAATAACTCGGCCCAGGCTCATTTGTGCTCACATGTAATGGTATTGTCTTCTGGTAATGAAACCCTTTCGATCTAGCTAATGTTAACTGACTGAAGTTCAGTACTGGAGTAGAAGTTGGCTGAAGTTACTAGGTATTAGAATGTCTCAACCACAACCTCAGCTTCATAAAGGAATAGTTAAGCAGGTAAGCAATTTCAATTTCCCATGTAAATTCACTGTTTTAAAGGTAAACGAATTTTCTTGCAACAGAAACAAGACGGGCTCTAACAAGGGGTTCAGTGTCCTTTGATCTCAGATAGTTGCCAATTTAGCATCTGAAGAATAAGATATATTTTTGTTTTTTGAATGAGAAAGCAAAATTTTGAAAAATCATCTTTCAGCGATATTCCCGCTGTAAGCAGCTTGTTTACCTGTTGACTAGGCCGTTTAGATTACTGGCTAGGCCATTCAAGCGCTGACGTGTCTTTACAGTCATCGTTAAAAACACATTTGATCTTAATAGTTTGTAAAAAACATTTGTAATGTTTTTTAATTTCTGATAATTTTGAAGCTTGGTTTTGTGTTCACTGTATTTTACACTGTAATTAACATTTTTCGTATTTGTTATGTTGCCTCCACGGTCCTTTCTCAGGAAATCTCGCAGTCTTTAATTTTGTCCTTTGAGACAAGCTTTGCGGATCTAATGAGAAGTGATAAATGAAGTTTCTATTGACTGCTTCATCAGTTTTATGTTATGACACTTCATTTGAAAAAAACTGAAATCAACCTGGGATTCGTTGAATTAATTGCCTAGAGTTTGAGTCTCATTTTTTAATTTTCCAAATGGACTTGAAAGAATTGTTCAAATTTCCATATTGCAAAATCCTCCAAAAAAACAATTACAAAAGCAATGTTTAACAAAAATGAAGTAATTGAAAAACAACGGTATATAAAACTAATCAACTTTGAGAGGATACAGGAGTGGAAAATTCCAACTTTAAGAGGATACAGGAGTGGAGAATTTCTTAAAGAGGAATCTGATGAGGGCATTTGCTTGGAAGAAAAACAAGCTACCTTTAATTTACTTGTGTTTGTTGTTGTTTGTTCTTGGCAAGTTGTGTGTCTCAGGGGCAGCTGGGAGTAAAATTTTTCTGCTATTAGTTCTTTGAAATTGTAAAAAGCTCAAAAACAGTTCAAATAGGAGCAATTTTTCACATAATGATGTTGGGTGATTTTGCTTCCGCATGCTTAATTCTTGTCCTGTAGGGAAGAGAAAATACCTACTCAAGGCTTCCACTTTTATATTTTGCCTCCCTAAAAGAAAATTGAAAAATCATATTTTTGATTTTGTTTAAAATCAAAACGAATTGTTAAGGAAAACCGTAGCTATTGGTTAAAGAACATGAAAATAGTGCTTTTCTTCTTCCCTACCTAATGACTGGATTGCAAATATAAAAAGGTGTCTTGCTTTGTTTTCAATTTCAAGGGGCTGTCTAACTGCCTACACATACAGAGTCATTGGTCTATTAGCGGGCTTAGGGGGAGACTGGTTGACATAGGAAACACAGGTGGCGCACTGCCCTTGCTGTATCGCTACCTCAAGGGCATGGTATGAAAATCGCTATTGGTGGTAAAGAGCTTGAAGCCACAGCTAAAATCATTGCTGTTGGCCTAGAACCCTTTTGAAATTGCCACTAACTTGTCAGGGTATCAAGATCACCAATTGAAAAGTCAATACTAGAAAAATTGGGTGAAAAGTACTTCAGCCCAACCGAAACACAACAAATTGGACCTGGCAACCCATACTTATCACCATCTCTTATTTAAAACCCGATCTGGAAAAATGCTATTTTGGGAAACTATGTTTTACCTTAAAAATATTAAATTAAGTGAAAAATTCACCTTTGATAAGTCATGTATAAAGCAAAATGTCCATCAAAAGCAGATACTCCTCTACATCTCTACAAATCCATGGAAAATTCTCTTATGCATTTTCACACGATACTCATTTTGCGGTAACTTTTGGACATGGTCTATTATCTGTTTTAGGCTATGTCGCTGTCCATGAGGTAACCCTCTTTGAGTTGAGAAAATGGAGAAAATATTTGAAAGATCCCAACAGTACTCAATTCCTAAACCCAATGCAAACAAGTGAAAGTTTAGCGTAATGTTGTGAGACCACAGTTTGATTGGCCACTGTTTGATTGGCCACGATATGAGAAATTTAAAGCTTATACCATGGCAGACAAATCACAGGACAGGCCCCGACGTAGAGCAGGGTCACTTAAACAAAAGTTTAATGACATCATGGTATGAGAAATGAGAAACTAATACCATGGCCATAACTGCCCTGGAGATTTGATTGCTATCAACAGTACTATAGAATATGATTCACTAACAGATTAGAAGGCAATTAAAAATCTTTTGTTGGAGCAATTTAAACACAAAATTATGTTGATTTTTACATTTGAATTACCATTGACAAAGAGATGTGCCTGCGCTACTGCGTCAATGCAGTACAAAACAGCTGGAAGAAATATCCAATGAATTTTAAGGTTTTTTCTAAGACAACTTTTGGAGGCTTTTACAGTTTATACCACTGCATCCCGTCCCTGGTGTGTCCCTTATTTCTGCAGTATCTTTTTGTACCTCTACTTTGGTCATGTCCATGTTTTTCTTTCTTGAAAGGTCTTGTCTGGAGACTGTGTTATTGTCAGAGGTCAGCCAAAAGGAGGCCCACCACCAGAGCAACAAATAGCTTTTTCTAATGTTGTTGCCCCCAAAGTTGGAAGGAGAGCAAACCCAAACATCGAGGGTAGCCTTGAAACAAAGGATGAGGTTAGTAAGGGTTGCCTTTGTTACAAGCTTCAGCATAAGTAAAAAAGTATCTGAATTTTTTGCTGGTTCGAGTAGGTATTACACAAGACATGCAATTTATTAATTTTGTAGCTGGAAGATAACAGACAAGCATTGCTACTGAATCCAAAAATGGGGCCTAAAATCTTTCATGACTTGGCTCCACAATACAGGTGCAATCATTTCACAGAAGATATTGTCCAATATTCATTTGGGGGAAGTTAATTAATTTGATGATTTTTTTTCTGAAATCATAACTTTACCCACCTACTATGAGGGAAATAAGAGTAAATAAAAAGTATGCATAGGTGTTTGCCACTGGGAATTTTTTATTGTAAATCATTTAGATTTCTGGATGTTTGGTATTGGACCCTATAAAAATCAGCATTGCCTATAGGCTACCATCCTTAAATATGTGAAATGAAGAGCTATGCTTTCAATGAGCCATTCCCTCCTCAGGGATCCATCAAGTTGTATTTTTATTACAATGTCTTATTATATGGTATTAAGATTATTTTCTATTAAGATCATAGTTTTATTTTTGTTATTGCATTTTTTAGCCTTATGCTTGGGAAAGCAGAGAATACCTCAGGAGCATGTTAATTGGCAAGGAAGTATCTTTCACCATTGAGTACAAACCACCTGGCAGTGGCCGAGTGTATGGTTCTGTATTTACTAAGAAATGTAAGTCATGTGACCAAGATTGAATATGATTAGAGAATAGCTTCAGGAACAGTTTTGATTTTCCAACCAATAGTCAAAGGGTAATGGTTACTTTTTCCCAAAGTATTGATTTATAATGTATAATATAAGGTATATCCTGATTATTTGAAATAAATGAAATACTTTATATCCCCTTTTGATGTATAACTATCATGATTTTTTTGAAAGCATTAAAGACACTATCATTATTTAGCAAATGGGTATTAATATGAGTATAAGTGCAAACTTTTTTGCTTTAAAGCTGATGGTGAGCTGGTCAACTTAACAGAATCCCTTGTCAGCGAGGGTCTTCTGGAAGTTAGAAGGGGAGGCATCAAACCATCCGAGTGAGTTTTTTATAGTTGCTACAAAAGTTTTAAAAGTAAATTATTGATTTTAACTAGTTATGTCTTGTTTGCTTTTCAAGATATGTGTCTTCTAAACAATAAAAGACAATTTACTTTGATTAACAGGGTCCTTGGGCCTGATCTATGTACATTTTATATAACTAAATATATAAATTCTTTTTTTTTCATTTTCTCATATATATTCTCAACAAAAAATGAATGATTAGCCTTTTATTTGAAAACACAAACATGTAGAATATTCACACTCTTATGTATATATAATCTACAGTTCAGAATGCGTCTGAATTGTTGTCAGCCAGATAAAAAATCTTGTGAAGGTAATCACAGAAATGAGGGTTTTATACCCCCATGCTTCTATTTGAAGCCATTTGCCTATTTCTGTATTCTTGCCTTTTAACGCAGACTGCTTCAAATAGAAGCATCGGGGTATAAAACCCTTAGTTCTGTGATTTCTGTGATTCCTCAAATAATTTCTGTATTTGAAGCCTCTTGCCTTCATATTACTAGCAATGATTTAAAGCAGCATTTTTGTTTTCATAAAAGTGATCAAAACAAGTTGATAGATTTGGAGGAGGCAGCAAAAGCAGCAAAGAAAGGAAAATGGGCTGATGATGCCAATGTAGGTTGAAGTTTTATTGCTCTACAGCAAATATTAAACTAAATAGTCTTCAAAGAGAAGATAGGCAAGCTGTCCTCCCATTTTTGTATGTTCAGGCTCATATTCTCATATAAGAATAGAAAAATATTCCCATATTCTTAACTATGTCTTAGGCTGACCTATTGATTCTGAAAATTGAAGATTTTCAGGCAAGTAACCAACACTTGTGTAGTAAGAAATTTGCTTTGCTGTAAAGCCATCGAGAACAAAATATTTTTATATTTTGAGACAGGCTTTGTAACTCTTGAAATTTATTGTCAATTTAAAGTTCCACCGCAATCAGTTATTAACAGAAATTATCATGTCTTTGTTCCCAATTAGAAAACAAGATTACCGCCTTCTGTTTCTTTGCATGTTAGGGCTTTTTGTAAGTGCAAAGAAGGCATTATTAGTGTTCTGTTGACATTTTTGGTAACAGGTGGTACCAAGATACCAATTCTCCCATCTACCAGTTGTTTAAAATCAAATTTTCTTCCGTATTGAATTTTTTCCAATTAACTGTTTCATAAATATCCAGGTCATTTTGCCTGCTTTGTAAGACAAATGCTATTTATTTAATGTAATGTTTTGTTCATAATTGATGACCTGATGCTGCTTGATGCACATTGCTTGAATGTACAGCCCTAAAACCTGCAGATGTTTTGGCTAGCAGCAGTTAATGTACTTGACCCTTAGGGTTTTTGTGAGCAGAGTTTGAAGTGTCTTCTTTGGAGGGTTCTATCGAAGGAGCATTGCTGTACTTCTGCATATAATAATGAAGCAAAAGCTTTCTATAGGTCTAATTTTTACTCATGTTCCCTGATTTGTTTATGGCCATGATATACCAACACAGCTTGACAAAAATGGCCTTCCCACTAGCATGTTTATCTCCAAAACACCATCCATATGCTATTCTAAAGGATCATCGTTTCAACTTTATTGTTGCTACCAGTAACTGATGAAAAACTAACAAAAAGTTGAAAGTTAGCACTGATTTTACATTGAAATAAAAATAGCAGTCATCATAGCGAGGAAGCATAACCAAGTTCAACTTGCAGCTCATCTAACACATCAGTGCCTTGCTGCTGGTTGCTTGAATCACAGTCCATTTTTTTATTCCAGGAGCATGTGAGAAACATAACATGGAATGTTGAAAACCCTAGGAACTTTGTTGATCAGAAGCGTGGCAAACCTGTCGACGGTATGTCTTGTCTTTTACCAGATCTGTTGCAATATGTTATTTGCATTATAGAGGTGCAGAATAGAATCATTAGGCTGTTAGCATCAAATCGATACATAATTATTTACTTGCACTGCAGTTATGCAGCCGTTCACTTGTATTTGTTTTTTTTGTGGTCGAATTCATTTTGTCAGCGTTTATACTAGTGTTTAAGTCGCCTTCACTTAAGTGTAACTAAAGCAATAAGTATAGCCAGTATGCATTAGTAGATGTAAAGCACCCTCTGTGATGATGTTTTGTGATGTTTTTGAGCAAAATTGTAGGTCTTGAAAGCTTTTCTTGTACACCAGCATTTGATGCTATGTTTCTTTACCACTCCAATATTTACGTTAATTTGCTTTAAGTGATGAATTTTTCACTGTGAACGTATTTGATCGAGGCTTTTATTTCTTATGTTAAACTTTGTTTTGTTTGGTCAAGGCTAGGTATCCTCTGGTCATGTATAACGAACATTTTCAGCATTATATATCTTTAACTTAAATTTCTTTGTTATTCAAAAAAGTTGATACTATTTTTTACAGCAGTCTGAACAAAACAGTATTATGACTCTGTATTACCCTGGATCAGATTTCATGAAAGATATAATAACATTTTCATTTCCAATGAGCACAATTTGAAAAGGAATTGCAATTGTCTAAATTTCTATAACAATTTTATATCAATGGTTTTGCTTTACATCTCTTTAACCGTGTTATGAAGTCATTGAATTGATCTTGCAGCAATCATCGAAATGGTACGAGACGGAAGCACGATTCGCGCATTCACGTTGCCAAATTACGATTATGTGACTGTCATGATGACTGGAATCAAAGTACGTTGCGATTGTTCATTTGAAAGAAATCCCCTCGCAGTTCTTCGCTTTAAATGTTTTAGAAATCTTTTTGGGACATCTATTTCTGTAATGAGAAACTTTTTGTTTCCTTCTTTCACAAGGAGCTGTTTATATTTTCAGTTTGTACTTTCTTTTGCAGTGCCCTATGTACAAATTGGAAGGCGACAAGCAAACTCCAGAGCCATTTGCTGAAGAAGCAAAATTCTTTACAGAGTCCCGTCTACTTCAAAGAGAAGTCAAAATAATCTTTGAAGGAGTTTCGAATCAGAATTTCTTGGGTAGTGTCATTCATCCTGCTGGGAATATCGCTGAATTGATGTTGAAGGAGGGATTTGCCAGATGCGTTGACTGGAGTATGGGAGTGCTGTCAAGTGGGCATGAAAAGTACAGGCAAGCGGAAAAGTCAGCCAAGCAGAAGCAGTTGAGGATTTGGAAAGGGTATGCCCCATCTGGCAATAAAATGCCCATCAAGGACTCTGAATTTACGGGCAAGGTATGTTGACGGTGTAAATATCCTTCTCAGTCGCAGTTTGTCGTCTTGATTGATCAACATTTGGCCTAACTAGGTGCAAGTTTATCATACTTTGCAATTAAAGATTATATTTCGCTCGCAAAGGAAAATCTATTTCTACTGGTAACATATCATAGTATTTACACATATAAATACGTATATGCTAGAGAATATAACAGCAAAGAAATTTAGGCTGATGCACGAGAAGCTGAGTTTTCAGCAGACAGCTGAATGTAGGGAAGTTTGAAAATAAACCTTTCAGCTGATAATTCTCAAGACTAGGCTTTTGTTTGTAGCCATGATTTTGAATGAATGAATTATAATGACTCGCAATTGTCACGTGCTGACATTGTGATAACCAATCATATCCTTCCTAACTACTCCGTTAATTCTGTACAAAATAAACGAGTGACTCCAGAAATATATTTCAGTTTTCTAACGTACCCTCTGTTTGTCACAACCAGACTGATATTTTTCATTTTTGCCTTTTATTTCATTGCGAGTGTTTAGTTTGATCGTTACTTATGTATAGGTGGTAGAATGTATAAATGCTGATGCTATTGTGGTGGTGTTACCTAGCAAGGAGTACAAAAAGATCTTTTTCTCGAGTCTTCGACCTCCAAGGTATGTTGAAATTAACTGCCGCTGGGCTAATTTGCTGTTATATAGAAGTGACAAGCTCAATGAACAATTACAAAACGCATACCGTAAATCCTCGAATAAACCCCTCGGGGGCTTATTTATTTTTTATATTTTTGGGTGAGGGCTGATTCGAGGGGGGCTTATACGAGAAGGGGGGCTTATAGACATTAAGAAGACATTATCAATAGACCTCGTTTATTTTAGTAGGAATTTCTTTATGAACATTTAATTAATTATTACCAAAACTATGAATTTTTTAGTAATTCGATAAAATGCCAAAGGCAACCTCAGGTGGCAAAAATCGTCAAATTGACAGGGCCAATTAGAGGATTTACGGTATTTCTTTTCATAATGTATGTAGATATTTGGTACTTTGTTTCCATGTCGGTTGAAAAGGTACAAAATCAAGTAAGTAAGCAATCAATCAACTAAAGTTATAAGATGCATCAATGTTTTTATACAATCAAGCTGTATTGCATAATGCTTTGCCGGTGAAGATATTTCTTGTGTCGGAAAGTTTTTAATAAAATACATGAACCTAACTAAAAAAATGTTTTAGTCGTGATATGCTAATCTTCTTTTCAAAATATGGGGATTATCTATTCAAAAATCTGATCTTTGACTCTTGTTTACTTTCCCGTAGAGCTATGGTTAAAGAGGATGATACTCAGGTGGGTTTATTTTCTACATTCTGATTTCAAAACTGTTTCACGCTCGCGTCGTGTTTTTCGACGTTTTTCAAATATGGACTTTGTGGTAATTTCACTAATCTTTCTTTGGTGATCGCTAAATTATGACAACAGCTGTGAAAAATCCTGGATAGTATTTACAAGAAGCCAGTCATGTCGGGACTGTAAGAGCAGTGAAAGTTTACCTTTCGAAGTTGTGCTTCAAACTTGAATTGGTTCACGAGGAGAAAAAGTCGTTATTCGTGCGATCAATCAGTGAACATTTTGGTCCAAATATATCAGCATTTTGCGCTTCTCTTCCAAGACTTGTGCCCCTATCATCACTGGAAGAGTAATCTGGCCCCCCCCAGGTAGTAGGGAAAAAGCAAATTCAGATGTTTCTTTTTAAAAATGCTTGAATCACTTCTTGGTTTATTTAACTGGCACAGATTCATTTGGTGGCTTTTGTATCATTTTTATATCGAATGAATTTTTTCCAGGAAAACGGACCGAGTAGAAACGGAAAAAGAGGAAAGCCACTGTATGACATCCCCTATATGTTTGAAGCGCGGGAATTTTTGAGGAAGAAGTTGATTGGAAAAAAGGTTTGTCCAATTGAACTGCATTTTTCCCTGAAAAATCCTCCTTGATCTTGTTTCAGGCCTGTATGAAATTGTACCAGATATTTGTTTAATATTTTTCACGTGGATGGCAGTTGTGTCATTCATTAGCTTTTTATACAATTTGGTGGTGGAAAGCAATCGAATAAAGGATGAAATTAATTACAGTTCATCGTTTATGTATATTTATCAATAAATAGTCGGGGCGATTTGCTTGTATACGTTCTACAACGTCTAGTGGTAATTGGCTTGGACTCAGAAGACGGTGGCTAAAGAAAAAAACAGTTATTATACACTTTTTATCTGCTGGTTTTAATAACATTTTATGTCTCTAAGCTTCTTCCGACATTCAAGTTCGTTTGTTTTTTATTGGGAAATACTTGTTTGAAAATTTTGAATGCTTTATGAAAATAACCCTGTTTGCTTGTTTTTTAGGCTAATTATTTTTTTTTGCTTGAAGGTCGACGTGAAAATTGACTACGTGAAGCCTGCGAACGACGGTTACCCGGAAAGAACTTGTGCAACTGTGACAATTGGAGGAATCAACATCGCAGAGGCACTGATAAGCAAGGGCTTGGCGACAGCATTACGTCATCGACAAGATGATGACCAGCGTTCATCCCAGTATGATGATCTTCTTGCCGCTGAGAACAGAGCCTCTAAAAACGGGAAGGGTTTGCACAGCAAAAAGGAGCCGCCCATGCACCGTGTCGCTGATATCTCAGGGGTGAGCTCATTGTACCATTTCCCTTTCTAACTGCTAGACTTTGGGCAAGTAGTTTCTCGAAAAACAGAAGGAAACTGAGAAATGACTGATGTGTGTTTCCCCGGGATATTTGTTTCTCTAATAGCCAAGCAGAGAACTTTGTTGTAAATTATGAAAAAAATATAAGATACTTTTTAATATATAGGCAGAAAGTTTTTAATATATAGGCAGCAGTTAAAAGTTGGGATCCCTTATATAGAGAGGCTGAATCATTGCCAAGAATACCCTTGCTGTGAATTATTCACAACCTTGCATTGAAGCAAAAGGGTCGGGTCACCAGCATTTGGCAAGCGTTGTGGAGTCACTGTTAATCTTCGATAAGATAATCGCTAAGTTTCATGTGCAATATCCTTTTTGAGGTGTTTCCGCGTGTAATTTGGCCGCTTATCAGGCTTCAAATTGATTTGCATGACTTGATAAAAGATTAAATACGAGCAGTTCTGTCACATAATGCCTTGCGTTTGAATTTTGCTTTGAATCCTCTCCGTTATCTTTGTGATTTAGCAAGCGGTCAGGTCTCCGTATCAATAATGTTTTATGTGAAATCACGACGATGGCCGAGTCTTGGCTCGTTAATTCTCATCTGCTGATTTATTTATTTGTTAAGCTGCAACACAATGACCGAAGAAATTTGTTGTCACATAATTTTCAGCAGCTGTCTAGTAATCGTTGATATTTTTACGTGGGTACAAGGTCGCAATCAGTACTAGGTGCCCTCTTTGTTTTTTCTTTTCTGCGTCAGCTTAGCTCTATCACGCAGGTTGTCCGATCAGTGGCAGTCACTCCTCGCCAAACGCTTCTTATTGTCCCATCTTGTTATGCATCCACCATTGTGAGATGCTCATTCATGCAAACTTGCATTTTAAAGTCTTCCATGAAATATTAACTGTTCTTCTTACATCAATCGCATTATAACATTATAACATTATAAAGTCATCCTTTTTCCTAATTTTCCGACTCAATTCCCATTCCGTCGAGGCTATTCCAACTCGCTGATTTTTTTTCGTGATTCATCTTCGTGGATTCTTGCTAGATGCTCGGAAATCTTGTCGGGAGACAAACCGTGTTGATTGAGACCTTGTTGCTATCCTCTTTAGAGAAGCACTGATCTTTTGATATCTGCTCTGATGATGCTTTTGTGTCTTATTCGTGACAATGCTACCGTTTTTTCGGCATTATTACATCCAACGTAGGTGAGTCGTACGTTGTGTATGGATTGTGACAGTAAAAAAGAGCACCCCTTTTCACGCTTTTAGGATAAACGAGCTTTTGTTTTTGGTTCCACGTAGATTATTTTAATTCATTTGTTAGATAAAATCTAACACTTTTGCAGCATATTGTTTCTAAATAATACCTTGTTCATTTACTGTACATTGAGACTAAAGAATGAAATATCTGTACATAAAAATTAATGTTAATTGCTTTGTGATTATGATTTGTTTCTTATTGATTACGGAGCTGTTTAGTGTAGTTGAAATGAAGTTGTCTCTTTTTTAGGATCGCGCAAAGGCCGCCCAGTTCCTACCATTTTTACAAAGAGCAGGAAAATCCTCAGCTATCGTTGAGTTCGTTGCGAGCGGTTCGAGATTCAGGCTGTACTTGCCAAAGGAGACGTGTCAGATTACCTTCCTTTTAGCTGGAATTTCCTGCCCCAAAGTACGGTCAGTCAGTCCTCAAGGAAATCTGATATCAGAGGGAGAGCCTTTTGGTGCCCAGGCTTTAGAGTATAGCAAGGAACACTGTATTTTGGTGCCCAGGCTTTAGAGTATAGCAAGGAACACTGTATGCAGCGCGAGGTACCCTTCTGTTTATGTAGCAGATATGCTTTAAGGCTTTTGCGCAACCGGCATGCTTTGTGGTATGGTAGCTGTTTTTTCACGAGGAGAATTGGACTGTATTTCGTGTTTTAATGAATTATGATATTAGGCCGGTTTTGAAAATATTGTCGCAAAGCAAGACGGTTGCAGAGCCATATTGAAATCCAAAACACCGTCTTCATCACAGAGTAAGGTTCTATATTGATATCTGCCTTTACTGTAATTCTGGGTGCCTAGCAGTGATGCTAAGATTGGAAGCATTTTCTCTTTTTGCTAGGCCTGTAGGTCTGCTACAAATGTAAAGTATTCAGTTTACAGTTTTTGTGTGTCAATTATCATTACAAATTTAAAAGGGGTTTTCATTTCCGTTATTTGGATATTGTTGATAGGTCGAAGTTCAAGTTGAAAATATTGACCGAGCAGGCAATTTTATTGGTTGGATGTTCGTCGATGGACACAATTTGTCGGCAGATCTCGTCGAGGTATTGCTTTAGAAATGTTTTGTTTTGAAATACTCTGTTGTGTTCACGATTATTTTCTGTATGACCTTGCAAATCAGTGTTATTTCCTCTATGATAACCATTTGATAAATTAACCGATATTTACCGCTTTGTTATTCGAACCTTCGTTGATTTTTTGTAGCATGGTTTGTCAAAAGTTCACTTCACTGCAGAGAGAACAGAGTATTTTAAAGATTTGACTCAAAGGGAAACAAAAGCAAAGGACTCGAAGTTGAATGTAAGCTGTCTTACGTTCACTGCCAATCTTGCTTAACATTTTTTTAATTTACATCACAACTAGGTTTTCCCGCATGAGCAGAGCAGCAACCTGTTTTCTTCTTACACCATTATGGCCCAAAAAAGATTAGATTCTTGTCAAACCCCTTCAAAAATGAATATTCCTAACTCTACAATAACGAGAAAGAAAAATCTTCAATATTCTTTTGCAGGATGCCAAGGGGGCCGATAAGCCTAACTGATCATGAAATTGATATTCGTATTAGTATGTGAATTTTGTTACTCAGATTCCGAAGGTAGCTTTAAGAGACTGAAAATCTACGCTTGTCGAGCAGTGTCCTGGTCCTTCCTCTCGATGTGACCACACTCGTGGTTCCTACGCCTGCTGGCGACTCTCCTCATTCAGAGTAGAAATTTGGTCTTGTCTGTGACTAAAACCGTTGGATCTGTAGTTAGCGTCTCTAATCACTGAGCCCTCTCTCACCTAATTATTACTAAGGATAAAAGCTGCTGAAATAAATATTATATCTGTTATAAAGATGGATGACTGTTGTTAAGAAATTAATATTATTTAAAAACACAAGTCTTCTGTCTGTTTACAAGATTTGGATGGTGTTTTTTTTGATTATGAAAATCTAGTGTTTATATTCTTTGTTTTCATTTTTGTAAAATTTATTGCATTTACAGATGTGGCAAGGATTTGTCGAAGAAAAGATAGATACAGTTGTTGAGGAAACTGAAAGGAAGACAAATTTCACAACGGTTTGAACCTTTGCTTCTGTTTATATTAAATACTTATATTTCATCATTTGGCTTGAGTAGTTGCAATTTTCTTTGTTTGATTTCAGTTCGGGTTATTTCTGTGATATGATTGTTTGCAATTATGTACGTTTTGCTTCAAATGCTTATGATTCAAAAGAAAAGGATGATTGATAACGACTTCCTGGAACGTTTTTAGGAACACACGTTATCAGAAATTTCATTCACAGTTTCAAACGTTTGATCGCTGTCAATGTGTGGAACCATTTTCTCACATTACTGTTTTGTATTTTTGGTTTCTAGAATTCTATATATTAGATTTTGATTTGGAAGTGTATTTATTTTTATAGGTGGTAGTGACAGAGATTTCAGATGGCGTTACTTTTTGGGCTCAAAATGTTGATACAGGTAATGAAGAATTTTGTCCATCCCACAAATGTTGTTTCAGATCATATTTTAGCAAAGTTCATATTTTATTCTCTGATGGCATTTAAGTTGAAAAATTTAATAGATTTTTGCTAAAATTATGAGTGAAGGTTTAGATCACATCACAGTTTTGGAAGTAGAGGCTATAACTGCGGTTCTGGGAAACGAATGTCTTAATATATCATGAAAGATAATTTGAAGCCTTTATCTTAAAGACTCATTGCTAACAACGAGCCTCTGCGCACGTGACAAGTTGTTCAGGCGACGATCAAAACAACGACAGTAAACTTCTACGGATTAACCAAAATTGATTTATGACTGTCTGAAAATGCATTATGGGATGCTTGCGTAGCGCAATGGTTTGTTGTTAGCAATGAGTCTTTAAGATAAAGGCTTAAAATTATCTTTCCTGTATTTAATGAGAGCCATCACTGTTGACGTACTGAATTAATAAAAACCCTTACAAATGCAGATGCTATTCGTAGAGATAAATCTCACTAGAGAGATAAAGCTGACAGTGCTTGGATGCCAACCAACTTCAGCGGGACGTTAGATTTCCCTTGAATTGATTTTAATCACTAGAAACCAGTAAACCCCGCCATTTATTCCGCTGCTCGACCATTCAGTCAACAACCGAGTCCTAATTCTCAACGCAACTCGAAATCGTTCGTAGATGCTTTTGTTTACTTTTTCCCTGTTAAAATCAATATGTTTTCGTTATGTGTTGATGAATAACCCTGTTCTACCACAGCTGAAAGGTTTGAGCAGATGATTATGCAACTCAGAAATGACTTGACAAGCAACCCACCTCTTCCGGGCTCATTTACCCCTCGAAAGGGGGATATGTGCGCTGGTCTCTTCATTGACAATCTATGGTAAGTGTTTCATTGCTTTTCCGGCCTTTTTTAAGCTTGTCGATATGATAATGATGAATATAATATAATTTATACATGACATGTCCTTACAGCTATGTAAGAAACTAATACACCATGCGTAGTAAATACTTCCTGTTGTCTGTATTCAGTCTAAAAATATGAAGACATTTTGACATAACGAAGGACAATTATTCACAATACCTTCTATATATATTCCTTATTCTTTTTTGATAGAACAATGCATTACAGGTTTTATAACAGGCAACAAATGGTGGCTTTCTGTATGCCAACATAGTGCCAGCCCTCTTCTAGAGGGCCTAGACCGTGTTATTTAGTTTTCAGTGTTGAAATATTCATCTTTTTTTGAATTTCCTTTAAATGTTTATTCCTAGGTATCGAGTGAAAGTTGAGAAGGTTGACTCGCTCGAATCGGTGCATGTTCTCTACATGGATTACGGAAACGTGAGTCACCTATCTTGTTCAACTTTAAATCTGTATTTAATTTTTTTGTTTTTTGACAAGTGATTTGTATTTCAACATTATAGTCAATAACTGGTCAGTAAAGCTCACTAATTCACCGCTGCTTCGTTTTTGAAATGTATGTATGGCAATCTGTTTTGTTTTGTTCAAATGCACTGTCAGCATTCTCAATATTCGTCAATATTTTCAGTTTTCATTTGTTCGCTTCTATGATTGAAAAATTTGAACTCCTCATCAACAGCGAGACGTAATTCCGGCAACGAAAATGGCCAACCTTCCTCCTGCATACCACAGGTTTGTTATGAAATCATTTCATTGGCTGCAAGTTATTGTTTCTACTTTCCCATAAATAATCTGTTTTTTACTGCTTTTGCTTGCCGTGAAGGCGAGATATTTACAGCAGGATTTCTTTATTTATCAAAACGCTGATCCTGATTGTAGTAATAATGATGCTGAATTAAGATGGAAAGTAACAGTGATCGCCAACTAGAGATTTATGAAATTGTTTCCATAAAACGTTTCATTACAGACAGTCGAAACCAATACATTGTTTATCAAATGGAAGACATCACGCATCTGCAAACAACGTTAGCTTTCCTTAGTTGCTAAATCTGAAATGTTTCGTTTTCCTTAGCTCAGTGACGCCTAGCTTTCCCTAGCTATAGCTAGTGTACTCATCATTATCATCATCGTCGTCATCAATTTATTTACCGTTGGTACTTAGATAGTTCTTGAAAAACTAATTTAAACCAAATATTTACAATAGATCTAATTAAATTTATACAGAGACAACTGGCTCCATCCCAAGTCTAATTTTCTTTTTAAAGCTCCAACAGAGCTCCTCTAGATTCTTTGTTTCACCATTCAGGGTATTCCATAGCATAGCTCCCCCCCCCTTAATCTTAGAGAGTTTACATTGGGCTCGGTGAAAGAGATAACTGTAAAAGTAAATTGCTAATTAATTGAATGTATTTTGTAGTTTTGCAGCTCAAGCGCACGAATACACGCTGGCCTGTTTAATTGCACCAAAAGACGTAAGTATCAGAAGGCTGACACGCCTAATAAGCGTGTTTCAGAGTGTTTGAATTCTCATGGTAAAAGGCCAGTAAAATGCAGACGTAGAATTTTTTTTGGGGTTTTATTTGGCTAGTATTTATGGAAGCATTTTAGCTGCAAGAGAGCAAGTACATCTTTATAATTCATTGTGCTAAGATTCAGAATTTTAAATTGGATGTCGTATTAGTTGGTGCTTTTGAATGTGGAGAGCGATCTCGCATTGAAAGCTACAGGTGTCTGGAGCATTCTTCTAAGAAAGTGTGGTACGTCAACATTCTTCTTGGAAAGCTTTATTTATTTTGTGAAGCAATGATTGCTTTTAATTTCTGTTAATATTTGTGAATGCTGCTTGACTTGGTCACGAATCAAAAATGGTTGCTGAACCCCTGTTGCAAAAACTAAACTGGATAGCGACTGTAAGGTTTCTATTTGATGATGCTGACTCGTGGGATTTTGTTTTAGGAGGACGATCGTGCTATGCTTTCGGATGCATTCAAGCGCCAAGCACTGGTATGTTTATCGAGTTTGCTCTGTTGATTACGTATGATACATAATAGATATGATATATAGATATGCTAGTAGCAAAAATGTTTTGATGGTGCTTAAGGAACACCTTAAAAGCAAAGCTAAAGTTGAAACGTTTCATTCTTTCTTTTCTTTGTATTTCCAAAACCGCGTCTTGCATATTTAAATTAACAGTGCGAAGAACACTTTGTTGATCCTTTGGTGATACCGTTTCAAAAGCCCAAATAGATATTGATACACATCCGTTGTAATGCTTTTCAGGTTAATTAGTCACTTCTCAATATTCTCCTCGCCGAGTTTTCTTTCATGTGCTCTTTCCTCTCGTTGCATCAAGCGCAAAACTTGTTGCATCATAAACCTTTTTTGTTTTTACCAATGACGTAACCCACTGATATCAGTTATATAAACTAAAACTGCTGACGTCACGAGGGGGTACGTTTAGGGGGTATGTGACGTTACCGGCCTTTTAACAGCAAATTCAGTTTCTATCACTGGAAAAGAATTTAATTTATAGAAATACGAAAAAAATCGGACTTGTTAAAAGTAAAATTGATGTGATGATTTGTTTACGTTGCAAGCACTTGAAAAAGATTTGACGAATTGGACGAGCTGCGTTCTATCGTTTCCTCCCCTTGGTTTTTTATAGGCATGCTATGGAGTATACTAAATACATTCATGCGTTTAGAAAAATAGCTTTGTTTTCTACATTTTCTGTATTTTGATTGCTATTCGTCTGTTTTTTCATGTTTTTAATTCCATTATATCTTTCCCAGAATGAAAAGTTTCTTCTGAATGTTGAATACAGACAAAATGGACAGGTCAGTATAAATCCATTTTGTGTTTTTTCCCTTGTTTTCCATCTCTACTACCTTCAACAGCTGTTTTTTGCATACATGGTACTTTTTTCATATATATTGATTGGGTCCAGTTTGTTTTTTACGACATACTTGGCATTATATTAGTTAGCAAGCCTATCGAGAACTGTTTCGCGACAACGATCGTTTCTATTTCCTTTTCAATTTATGCTGGATGATTAATTTTCTCGAATAACAGGAGTTCGCTACGCTGGTGAATCCAAGTACCAAAGACGATATTTCATCTGGGTTGCTGGCTGATGGCTTGGCAATGGTTGAGAAGCGAAAGGAGAAAAGGCTTCAGAAGATCCTTGCTAACTACAGGAAAGCCCAGGAGGAAGCTAGAAGCAATAGGGTAAGCACGATTCATTTGTTACTTTCTCTTGTCCAGGTATTGTTAATTGAAATAGTACAGTGGAACATAAAAAAACGGGCCATTCTGCAAGTCCGGATAGTAGCAGTGCTGAGTTTAATTTAAGGCTTGCCTTCAATCTATCCAGCTCCAAGCAAGTACTTAATGGCAGCACTGGTAATAAGGGAGGTGGCATTAAACCAGCCATTGTGAATCGCTTTGGTTGGCCAAAATAAATGCTACCTCTGGCATGCACTTCCACAATAAACCTACAAGGCTCACACTAACCTCCAAAGCTAAAGTTAACTTACACTGCTCATCTTAACCTAGAAGGCTCACCTCAAGCTTCAACAATGCTCACCTTTAAGTATAAGATTCACTTGAATCTTTGAAGATTCAAGTGAACGTTAGCTCTTACAGTCCATGCTTAGGAAAGAATTCCTGTACTTTTGTAAACCTTTTGTGCACAAAAAGCGGCCTTTGTATCATACAGGCTTTAATGTACTTATAAAAACATCATTTGAAGTGGGATTTTTTTTTCTTGATTTTTATCTTCATTATTTATGATTGAAGATAAACTTTGACAGTAAATAAACTACTGGATTATCATCAAGATTGATTATTTAGCCTTCGAGATACAAACTTAGCAATTTTCAGAAAGAGTCAATATTCAAGATTGTTTCATAGCGTTCAAAGTAAAAAGGGGACTGGAAGCAAAGCCGTTATTATCAGACGGCCGCATTGTCTGTATAGGTTGAAAAGTGCTTTGATGAAGAAGTGGTGGATTAGAAGGGTGGCATAAAGGTAAAGATTTGAAGGGGTAGTTTCAGTGAATGAATGATTTGGGTTAACATAAAGAGCATTTATGAGGTTATTGAAGATATTGACAAAGTGACGGCCTCGTCCTATTAAGAGCTTATTTTACACACGAGGCAAAGTGTCCATTGTGTGTCACAGTGTATTAAATCCCGATGCAAATGTTGTCTTGAAATAGGACGATTTTGTTACATCTTCATGTTCAAATATTAACAAGCATTTGTTGAGACATTGTTGCATTAATTTTTGTAGGTGAACTTATGGTGCTACGGCGACTTCACTGAAGATGATGCTCCAGAATTTGGGTACCGATAATATTGGAGAAAAATATAAAAATGATGAACTCAGTTAAATGAACACGCTAGTTTCTTAGAAAATTTATCTATGAAAATTACAATTTCTCTTTTAAAATTATGTTTTAAAGGGAAGGAATATAATAAGAAATTTCTCCATCTGGATTGGCTAGCAACCTTTTTCTTGTTTTCAAGCCATCTCTTGATTGGTGTGGCTCGCCGATACTTATCTGTTCTGTGGTGTTTTTACAGTCATGGCAAAATTAGGTGTAGCAACCTATTGCAAGACGATAATTCGAATTCTATCTTAGTTCAACTGTCTTTGGATTTTTATTTTGCCTCGCCCAAAACAATGCTAGATCATACCAGGTTTTTAAATATTCCTGTTTTATTAGGTCAAATTATGTTTAGCTTAACGGCTGTAAAATGTCTCTCCTTACTTGGCAGGCTCATTTCTGTTTTCTGATGGCTTACTTGATTAATATTCAGTGTCAAATTTCATTTAAATCCCATCTTCAATATTAAAAACGCGGCCTAAAAGTCGTTTGGTCCACATTCAGTCTCGGGAAAGCGTCTTGGGAATCAAGTGTCATTTGCACTTAATACGGCCTTTTGTTTCCCTTTGGGTGTCCAGATTTTTGCAAAGGGTTTTTCCCTCTTCGGAAAATTGGGCAGAAGGAATCTGATTATTAGCATTTCGGTACAAGTTTTCGCATTTCGGCAACTAAACGCCATCTTGAATTTCCGAAACCCTACCCCCATTTTTGCATAACATGCTCCGAAATACTCGCACCTAAAGCTTGTAGAGGCTTTTTGAAGGGAAGTAACCGAAACAGAAAGTAAGCCTTATCTTTTCCTTTGTTTTTCCTGTTTTTACGAAAATTAAATTGAAACTGGGAACATTTTCTCCATAGATGGCCTCAAATAAAAGAAATTACACCAGGATATTTAAGATTTTTTCACTTTCTTGAATACAACGGCCATCTTAATCTCAACTCAGTCTTCAGAATATCTTTGTGACCCAGTACTTTAGTAATGTTAGAATTTTCAAAGCTGTTTAAGAAAGTAGATTTAAAACTATTGAGGTCTTGAATGTCAGGAAAACTCAAAATGTTTGGGGATTAAACTTGCAGAGGGCTGGATTAGAGGTAAAATTCGTGTATTTTCGCTCTTTTTTAGAAACTAAAATCTTTCAGGAAAAGATAAGAGAAAACACATTTTTGGAATTAGTTAAAATCATGTCAACTAATTTGGCAGCAAGTCAGAAAAACTACCTTGGAATGAAGGTCGCTGGCTTGGTAAAAATCTTACCATCTTTTCCAAAATAGATTCCTTAATTCTTATATGTAACTATATTTGCCCAAGAAAAAACAATCCGTTCTGAGAAAATTCCATACGTCACACTTTCTTCAGGAAATAAATTGATCCCATTTACACAGTACTATTGGTACGGATGAAAATTTGTACACTTACATTAACGCAGTACAGAACTGAAATTAGTTCACTTAGCCATCATGTTCGCATTAAAAATTGCGTATTTATAACAAAGTGCACCAAAAGGAGAACAACAACAAAGTGCACTCTAACCAGCAATTGTTGCTTTGCAGACTAGGTCGGCTTAGAATTTTACAATGTAGAAGCAGACAACAAAATTCACAGGGACTGAGAAAGAAACAGTGCTTTCAGTTCAATTAATCATTGATTACAAGGCATCCAGGATCTTGAAAAACCTAGACTTGGTGACAATAAAGAACAAATACGAGGAGATAACTAAAAATTTCATTTAAAAATTCCCAACTTCGGAAATTTTAGTAAGAACTGAAGAATTTTCAAACATGATGGTCCCTTTGATTTCTGTGTCTTTTTGAATGAAACACACCCTTGTTGTTAATCTATACTTATATTTAAGTAATAAAAGCATTTTGCTGTATGAATTTTCATATGGCTTATTTTCAAACTAAGTGAACAAAGGGTAAGTGGACAGAAATTACTACGGATAGGCATACTAATTTTTATGCAGATAGGAAGGTCTTGTATGAACAGGCAGGCTATCCGTAGGAATATTCACTCATTAAGTTTCATCCCGTACCATCTAAACATGGTTTTGTCTATATTGGTTATTCTGGTGTTGTTGACAGATACAAAGTTTATCAAGTGGCAACAGTGTTATTGAGATGAAATATCAGAATATATGGTAAGAGTTCTGAATATTGCTGGATTGCAGATTGAAGTCAAAAAGTCATCCAAATTCAAGCACTTGATTTTATCAAAATTCTATAAGAAAGTTTGTCATAATTTGTTCAGTCTGTTATAGTTCAATTTAGAGCTCCAGGTTCACTTTGCATCTGATGTCATACAAATATTCCGACCCACAGCATCAGGAAAAGAATCCAAAACCCATAAACAGTGCAGCAACCAAGGCAACAAGCAGCTCTTTGTAAATGTCTCTTGTGTATTTAGTTGAGGTAACTTCATATCTGAGAGGCTCCGTCAAGGTATATTTGACAAAAAACATTTTTAACAATTAATAAATCACAGAAAGAAAGATTTCATGAAATACAACTTGCTGTTTTAAGTCACTCAGGACAGTTAAAGGTTTAGGAATTAAATAATAAAAAAAGAAATGTTCACTGATTCCTATCTAATTAATCTAATAGAAAAAATTAATGCTGCCTTTTTATGTTCATCTGGAATTTGGTTAAGACTTGTTTTTAGCATTTTTTAGTGTGTTTGGAAGAGAACAATAAATAGAAAACAATTAATCACTGTATAGGTTTCAAACGGTTCTTGCATGAATGCAACCTGTGGCCTAGACACAGCGGTATGTCATGTCTAAAGCATTTCATGCAAGTACAAAAGACTCAAATCTTGTTCAAAGAAAAATTCTCAAGCATTCTACTAAACTTCTTGACTTGAAGGTAGCCCATGAGAGCATGAAACCTAAATATTTTATCTGCCAACCAGATAAAAGGATCTTAAAAAAATGATCTTCAACTAAAAACTGTAGCCCCTTGTTCTATTGTGCCAACAATTATTAATTTGAAAGGATACACAAAGAACCATGCAGTGAAAAATAACCCAATACTTAAGAGAGTAAGTGCCAAATGCGGATAAACAGCCGGGTTAACAGGGCTCACATAACGGGTCATTGACTCTATGCTCATCTCCTGTAGATAAAAAAGGAAACTTCATGTGGCTTTTTTTATATAGAAAGAAAAATATGGATCTTAAGTCTCTTAAGTATGATATAATTTACGCTGCAACAGAATCTTGCTGAGGACATGCTTAGCATATTTCATAAAAATCCTCTGGTGTAATGATCTGTAACAATCCATATTATGTTCTAAACTTTTTTTAATGGAATTGTTAATATAAATGCATAGCTAACTTAGTAACTTGTTTTATTTTTGAGCCAACAGAAATAACTGTTTTATACATCTTTCTCGTGAATCGAAAAATAATTTCAAACCATTTTTTTTCGTTCAGAAAGAAATGTGTACAAGACGAATGTGGCTCGTCATGATATAATTTGTTTCTTCACTTCTTGAACATAAGTTCGATGCACGCACAAATCAGCATATCGGGTAGTTTAGACAACAGCTGTAAAAACTCTTACCAAAAAACAACTGAATAGCAAAAACTACGTAAAATCTTACATGTAGGATACTGAAAAACTTACCATTTTGCTGTTATTTTGTTCTTTGTCACCCCCAACAAGTGTCGTCTTGGCCTACTGAAGACAAAAGACCATCATGGTTTTCCAAGTGACACATAATAGCCTCGATACCACCATACCTCCGCAGAGGGTCCTTCCCTCGCAGTATAATTCTCAAAAGAGGCCAAGGCGGGCATGTGTCTTCTCGAAGGTTCGCAGTTAGGGAAGGGAACGCCAGCAGCTGTATTAAAAGCTTTCCTCGTTTAAAGTTTCCAAAATGGTACGTACCTATCTTTTACATTTAGATTATTGTATTCATTGTAAATTGAGTTTGCAATATTTAGACAGTTGATTTGGAAATTCTTGCTTCGTGAAGCAATGCTTTTGTTGTATTCTACTTAGGCCCATTTTTTCGATTTGATTGTGTGCATATGTTCTGCAACTGCAAATTTTTATTTCTGTATAATTACTTTTAAGATTTATCTTAGTTTTTTATTAAACTATTAATGTGCCCCATTTTACGGTTATGAATTTTATTGGGTTGAGTATAGGCCTATATATATTTCAGTTAAGTTTTACACAGTTAGCATTTTGAAATTCCTCAACCTACGATTTAATTAATGCACGATAAAAAGAACTTCATAATAAAATAAACAATACAAAATGGTACAAATTCACATAAAATAAGGGGAAGGATAATGTATAGAGATAAAAAAGGAGGAACTCTCTTCATAGTTTAACCTATTTTGGAGAGAACCCTTCATTTTTACTTGCAAGTCAAGAAACGTCAAGAAAAGAAACAGAAGATTTCAGCTAGAGTGCATTCTGTGTGAACTCCTTGCCAAAGGCTTGTTGTGGCAGTTGTAAACCTATACCTATGACTTCACATTTTTAAGTCAAACAGAAAATTGTTTACATGTCGTTAAGGATGAGCAGGCCCTTTTGTTTGGTGCAAGTTAAGAGATGCGACAGCACTCTTGGGCAAAATGGTGAATTATTAGGAATAAATGTTTCATCAATTTACATTTTTTATTTTTATTATTAACAACAAGGCTAATTTGCAAATGCACATGACTGTGTGTATTCCTTTACAAAGGAAATCATAAGAGCCCTGTGGTAATTTTTTTGGAAAGGTCATGAATCTACACCAATAAGGGAAGAACATAACTCTGTGCCAAATATCTTTAGGCCTTAGTGCATAAAATTTACAATGGAATTTTGGAATTAAAACTTTTCGTGAGCTAACAATATTAGTTAAACGATGATTTGTGAGCAATTCTTTAGGTTGAAAATACAAATTTCTTTGACAAAATTGGCAGTGCTGAATGCTGCCCTAGGTTAAAAGTGTTAGGCTAAGTAGATAATTTCTTCAATTTAGACTTGATTTTGATTTTGTGCATGCGTTTCTCAATTCAACAGAAAATGTTTACATGTCATCACTGAGAGGTCTTTAGTTGACAGCTGTTGATTTTTAGTACCCGTGTGGCATTCAATTGTATCTATTTCTGATGCAGGTGGTATTCATTTATGGTAAATGGATGAAAAACAATATAGTTAAAGCATTGAACTGCAATTTGCATGTTTTTAATGCAAGCCAACTTTTCAATCAGTTCACAAATCTTTTTGTGGGGCATCAAAATTATGAGAACAATTGATGGCAGTCCTTGAGACAAAGAAGAACACACCTTTGCATTTTCATGTTATCGTAAATCAAATCTGAATTTAGTTCAAAGATGGCTCAGTTGTTAGAGGCGCTGACTACGGACCCAAGGTTCCGTGGTTCAAGTCCCTGACCTGACCAACCTTTTCACCCTAGGACACTGCGCAATAAGTATAAGCATCTCAGTATACTAAAAACTATCTTTGGGTGCTAGGTAGAAACAAATATATCATTATATAATTATATCTTTCATTTTGCAATGTCCAAACTATTTTGCAGGCTAATGAACAAGGTTCAATGAACCCTATAAATATTCTCAAATATGGAGCTGAAGAAGAAAAGGCAGAATCAGCTAGGATGGTAAGTGCAATGATAACTTCTTGAAGAATTTTAGTTTCATACTCAATGAAATGTTTTCCAGTATGAATCCAGTGAAGATGTTTTTTATTCTGATCAGTTGTTTCAACATTAAAAATCATAATGAGTTGGCTCAAAACTTTTTCAATTGAAACTTGTGTTGAATGATATTGCGAATAATGTTTTCCTATGTTAGTGGTAAAGCAAATTTTCCAGCAATAGCTTAGACTTTATGAAATCACCTCTTTGTCATGTTGAAGCTGCTTGTCTTTAACCTTTCTGCTTACTTGCTGGAAAATGTTGAAATATATAGGATGGTTTAGAAATTTGTCTTTTGATACTTCCGTAGCACAGTGCTCAATACGTTAGCACGTAGAGCGTGATATATCATAGATTGAAGAAAGTAAAACTACATGGTTTATCTCTACAAGCCTGTTTCGTGAGTAACTCACTCTTCAGGAGATGTAGATATACTGGAATATTCCTCAAATAAATAGATAATACGGTACAGGAGGTGTTACATAATGTTACATAATAGGATGGTTTATATCTATATGTGTTGGAATGGGAATGCAATGAATTGGATGTTATGTTTTTGAAAATAAGAATTTGATTTGTGTGATATGCACTGAAATTGATTTGTAATGAGTATAATTGTCTGGTAAGACCAATGTTTCTTTTATATATATCATCCTAATTTTATTTGCATTTCCTATTTTGTTTTACAATTTTTAGTATGCAATTTTCATTTTCAGTCTTCCTTTGTTGGAGCCATTGCTATAGGAGATTTAGTGAAAACAACTCTTGGCCCAAAAGGAATGGTATGTCATTTGGCTTGCTGTTTATATATGATATAATTATAAGTCACAATGCAAATCTTATTTGACTAAAAAATATCTACATTAAGATATATGTTTGTCTGAATTATTAAGGATGTGCTTTGAGGTAAACAATAAGGTGTTACCTTTCTATTTATATTATTCCTTTTTCTTCTATTTGACAGGATAAAATTCTTATCTCAAGCAGTAGATCAGAAAGCATTCAGATAACAAATGATGGTGCAACAATTCTTAGATCTGTTGGTATTGATAATCCTGCTGGAAAAGTATTGGTTGGTAAGTTAAAGGCTTATAATTCTTTCATGTTAATGCACTTCTCATGTCACTTTAGTGAGGTCATGAAATCTTAATTTTGTTCAGCAGTCAACAAATTAGCCATACATTTGTTGTCTAGCATGAATTGAATTTATCTATCTGTTTATTAAGTATTTTTATAATTATATACTTTTTCTTGTAGGAACTATTATTTATAAGCATACTATTATTTGTCACTCATGGCTTTTTCCAACCATAGACAATCGTTGAGTTCTTAAATAAACGAATTAGACACTAGTTACGGTGTTGTAGCTTAAAATTACATTTGATTCAAAATGAGATTGCAAACAAACAAACAAACTGCCTGTGCTCTCTAAAGATAATAGTTAATAAACATGGTACACAGTTATTGTTTATTGAGAAAAAGGGGCTTGGAGATTGAAAAATTATAATACTAAGGACATTTTTCTGTAGTCTTTTGCTGCAAAATGGTAAATCATTTATGATTTTGAAGTTGTCTAAAGTGCCTATCAATATTATGAAAATGGTATCCTGCCATTTCTTTGAGGTTACAGTCCTGTTTGGTCTGCACTGCTTTGTTATCAATATGCTGCAGACTAATGTTTTAATGTGCTTTAAAATTTGGTACCATTTCAATATGTTTAAATGCAGATGATTTAACCACAAAACAAATGACATAGGTATCACTCATGCATTAATGATGATTTGGTGCAATTCAAATGAAAGGTTTCTCCTGCAAAACAACTGTAGCAGAGAGCACTAGTTAGAAATAATGTGGAACAAAAAAGGTTGTTATTGTGCTCAGCACTATAAAATATATAATAAGGCACCACTGATCTCTTCTTGTATTTTCATAACATTTCCAAGTATATATTTTATTTATTTGTGAAATTTTGCACTCAGGAACATGAGGCAATCAGGAAACAATTTTGAAGTTTTCTGGAAAGTTGTATTGATTTGCAGTTATTCATGTTTGACACCACCCAGTCTGCATTCCTTGATTTTGGCATGGGGAAGTTATGGCGCTTTGAAGGCACAGGTCCAGTGAAACACCGTACTGGAACAGGATGGACTAGGGGCACACCCATAGTAAGGCTCTTAAGACAACCCCTTTTAGATTTACATAGATTGCTCCTTTATACAGACTATTTGGCAATGACCTTCAAATATTTTATACCCTTTTATACAATTATTTAAAAAAACTGACATGATTAGAGGGGCAGGTGCGGCTGGAAGCTAAAAAGGTGGTGTGGGGAGATTTTCCCCACACCACTAGGTTAGGGTTTTTCAGGTTTTGTTTGATGGTGAGTTTGGTAGAAAGATGAAAATGATATTGAAATAGATTCTGTCGTGCATGTGTGAGCACAGACCCTTGGAATTGGTTTAAAGGACACCTGGTTTAATCATTAAATAATTAGACAATATAAGGTTACACTGTAAAATAATTAGGTTCTTATGTATTTAAGAACAAAGTTTTTGAGACAAGTATTCTTATACCTATTCACAGGCAAATTAAACCAGATAAAAGTTAATCAGGTTATGGTATGTTGCGTTCTAATTGGACGATCAAACAATACAAATTCATTTGATTGGTTGAAATTTAACATGAAAAATAAAGCTGGTTTGAATGTATCAGTGAGAATTCTTGCAGTGGAAACAGTGCTTATTTTTGCAAGGTCTGTATGTATATGAGAACCTTGTTAAAAACCTTACAGGCTGGAATTTGAATAGCAGCCTGTTAATTAAGAACTAATTCAGGCTGCCAGAAAAAACCTAGGTTCTTTTATGCGGGTTTCTACTGTACACGCGATATAGTCGCTTATAGAGTCGGTATCCTTGCAAAAATTTTGACGTAATGCTAATTAAGTCCAAGTAACGAAATTTGAAGCCATTCTGCGAACGAGTAAATATTGCGTTCCCTGTGAAAGTTGTGACGTATTAAATACAAGACAATCCCACCACTGATTAATGAATCCCACAGACTAGAGTACGTACGTACGCATAGCACGTACGCATAAAAAATCGATATTCTTGACCCCTCTCCCCCCTTGTACGCAGTCGTACTTTCTTAGTGACCCCCTTAGCGTACGTACATTTCGAAAAGACCCTTCTCCCCCGTTATTTGAATCTGCATGAAGTAAAATGTTGTGCAAGGTAACAAAGCAAAAAGAAACGTTTTTCCGCTTCCGTTTTTATCATTAAAGTCTTGCTGTTTCCGAACCCATCTGCCGACAAAGTGGGTGAGTCACCTTTATTTGCCAACATTTCTGAAAGTTTTCAAAGCATCTCTACACGTTTTTTACAGTGAATGTTTTTCTACGGGGTGCTACACCCCTCCACCCCCCCCTCTCTGTAGCGACGGCCTTCTATCGGCCTGGGTTATCATCAGGTAATTAAAGATATGGTTCTAAAAACTTGGTAATTAGTAACTATATGCATGAATCTATTACTTGGATAGAGGTAACAGAACACCAAGCCTTTGGTAGAATTTCTGATTGGGGTGGGGGAACTGCAAATTCACCGTCGCGACCCCCACCCCTGTTAGTTGGCAATACCTATGCTTTGGATTTTAGGACTTTAGGCTCTGAGGCTTTAGTGGCTCTTTCAACCTTTTCGTTTTTTAGCCTTCGGAATTTGGAAAAAACTGACAAGCTAGTCGTGCATAAAATGGCTTTATTTGTGCAACATAGGATCTCATCGCACACCACAATCTCGAAGCAATTATGGCGCAGAGATTTAACCGAACCAAAATTCATGGCTCTACCTTTTTTTGAAGAACCTCTTTCTAAAAAAGTATTTTGCGTACGTACTCGAACTACGTTATCCCCCTCCCCCTTCTACACGTACGCAAACGTACGTTTTTTGACAGACCCGCCCTCCCCCTCCCTGCGTACGTACTATGTGAATGCCCCCTAGCGGTTGTTTTGTCTAAAAAGACTGCCTCAATTGTTTGGTTTCTACGGCAGCAGTTAATTAATGATCGTTTGTTGTTATTATGCTCGTTTATCCTGTTTGTTCTTTTTTGCCTGCATTGTTTCGAGGGAAGACTGCTTGAACATAACCATTCTATTAGTTCATTTGAAGCCACTGTGGCCTGTATGTCAGGCTTGTTATATTTGTTCTAAATCATAAACTTTTAATTAAACAAGAAGAAGTGGTTGTGCTCATGATAAGGAAAAACAGTAAAGCAATCATTAGTTTGAAAAGCAATGCTGTTGTACTGAATCGCATCAAATGAGTTATCTCTAACTAATGGTAAAGCATCATGTTGATCAATTTTTATCCACAACATCGACGGCGTGAATAGTGCTTGGGAAAGCGTCTGCATTGCATTCAAGAGATGTATTTGAATTTGTTTGTACTGGCGGAATAACAAGATTCCCCAGATGGGCAGCTTTTGAAATTTCGACAGAGCATATTGTGGCAAGATGAACGAAAGGGAATGCCAAAATGCCTTCAAAGACCGAGTACTTCTCAACAAAGGCCAGTCCGATGCAATCTTGTTTATCACTGGTATCACTCTGCCTTGTATTCTCTTCATAAATTTATTTCAAGGTGTCGCCTTGTACAAAACACGATCACTGAACTCGCGATGTAGATGGTACGTGTTTATGTTGACTATATCAGATGGAATGTATGCACTAACAGCAATGCCCCAACTCCTTGTACTGTTCAGCAAATACAGAGAGACCCGTTTCTGCCTTCTTGAGTACGCTACTGTTTTTGCCCTTCAGTTCAACCTGAACGTTTCTGTCTACCTTACTGCATTGATCGCCTACCACCGCTACCTGAAAATAAACCCAAGCCTTAAAAACCTGACCAGCACTGGCCTAAGATGGTCTCTAATGTCGGGCAATTTGGCGAACTGTCTCGTGGTGCTTTGCTTTGTCTTACCATTAGCACATGCCATTTTCAGCACGCATGTTTTCGGAAGAATATCTTCGCCATGGCCGAACTTCATCTTGAAATGTGTAGACGTAGTGATTATGCTTACTGTGTATATTCTTTATTTCAAAGTATGTTATCGAGTAAGAAACAGAAGACGCAAGCAAGGTGATATGCCAATGAGAGTGATAGTTATAGACAAGGAGCGAAATACAAGATCCTCATCATATTCGTATGAATTCACGAAAACAGTTCTGCTTATCCTGGTAGCCCTTGTAATTAGTTTTTTGCCATTTGTGATAGTTGATCTGTGGACAAGTTGGTTCACCTATGTCAAGCACAGGACTTCGCCTGCATCAGTTCGTTTCTTTTATTACGTCAGTGTGACTATAATGCCATCCATCTGTTTTTGGAATGCTTTGATTTTCATATATAGAAGCAAAGCGCTGAAACAATACCTGATGTTGCAAATCAACAAGTTGAAGAAACTCGTCTGTTTCAGAAAGCAGGAGTGCTGGGATACTCAGCTTTGAGAATATCAGTGGTCAAAACGTCAGAACTTTTGAAATGACATTTCCGTTCAATGGACAATATTGGTAGTGTATTTGAAGAATTAAAGAGAGGTTGCGGCTGACGAATGTTTCGAGAAATCAGTTATTTTTAAGTTTTGAACATATGCTATATATTATTGGGCCTTAACAGTTGTTGAGTAGTGGTCAAGTTGAAAATTTTGTCGCCATAAAACATAATAGGTATCGAAAGGGGGCGAAAGATGTGGACATCCCTGTTTTGGTCTCGAAACGCCATTGTTTTGTATAGCGATGTATAGGGTTTGACACTGTTCTCGAGGCAAAGTGGGCTTGTTGCAAAGTAGAAGACATGTCCTAGCTATCGGCCTAAGTATTTATTGTTTTTCTGTATTTCATCGCAATTAGTAAAAAAATACGCAATAATAACGTTTCAGCTCTTACAGCTGATGAATTGTATAAAGTCCTGTCATATTTTCTTGTTCTTTGTCTGCCAAATTGATTATTTTTCGTTCAATGATGTTGCTTGTTTTCACTTTGGTAGCTGCACAAGTATTTCGATGCTGAAATTCTCTAATAGGAGTCCGGGCAGGAAACAAGAATCCTTGTTACATCTTTTGAACAAACCCTCTTTGAAAACCTTCTTCCATGCACTAAAACCAGCCTTATCGAGACCCAGTATTTGTTCTTTGTTTGTTGTGAACAACCTGCACCTCTGCTCTGCCCATGTCTTTGAAACCACCATCTTCACTCACTAAATGGTAGGAACTTAATGGACCGTTGTCTTACCGTTTTTCGACAAACATGGTAAACGTTTTTCTCAAGGCAAAATGAAACTTGTTCAATTTTTGGAATAGCGTCCCTTTATTTTCCGTGGTCCTTTCATGTGCAGTGCTTTTCGAAAATATCAGTAAAGAAAAATGGCCAACTCGATTCATTCTGTTGCAATATGGGTGTAGTGAAGGTGGCCTACAATTGCTGTGCTATCCTTTCATTTAATGTGCCTTCTACCTTGCAGTATTGTAGCTCTACTCATGAATTATTTGCACAAGTAGCAAGGGTTCATCTGCTCTCTTTTTGTTTTGATGGATGTTTCCAATAACACTAGAATGAATTTTTGCTTCCACAGATATTTCAAAAGTCCAAGACGATGAAGTTGGTGATGGTACAACTACAGTTGCAGTTCTTGCCAGCGAGTTACTTCGGGTAATAAAATAAGTTATTATTATTTAAATAAGTTATTAACTATACACATAAGAAAAGTTCTAGTTAAACATAAAATAGATACAATAAAAGAGCCACCTACTTCACATACTTGCAAAAGTCGAAATATGGAGCGAATTTTCTCTCAGTTGGCAGAGAGTATGGAAGATTCCCACCCCTGTCTCATCTCAAGCCTTCCGATCTTGTAAAATAGACTTGGCCTAGAAAATGCTTCTAAATAAGCGATGTACTCCGGCAAAGACGAGTGATATAGTTAGAGCTAAGAATATTTTTAGACTAAGGTTGGTAAACTCTTTTTTATTTAAAAAGGAAACCAAATTAGATTGAATGACATGAATTATTTATAAAGCTCCATCTTTAACAAGATCTCTCTAAAGTTTTCAAAAGTAGAAAGGCTCCTTTCGATGGGCCTCGTAAATCAGCCACGATGTTTTTAAATGGAAAAATGATCTGCCGGCTTTTTGAAGAATTCTAGTTGCTTGTTGCTACAAAGTTTATGCTCGATGCCGCCTTCTCGATATGAATTATGCTTTTTTTATTTCAGGAAGCTGAAAAACTAATTGCATGCAAGATTCATCCACAGACCATCATATTAGGGTGGCGTAAGGCAGTTAAGGTGGCAGAAAAAGCACTGGCATCACACGCAGTCGACCACAGCTCAAACGCAGAGAAGTTCAAGGAGGATTTGACGAACATTGCAAGGACAACACTAAGCTCGAAAATTCTAACGCAGCATAAAGAGAAATTTGCTAAACTAGCAGTCGACGCTGTTTTAAGGTTGAAGGTACTTGTCAGTTGAAGTCTTACCTTGCAAGATCTGTCTTTGCTATCTTCTATGATGGAGTTTCAATGCAATTAAAAATGTTTTTTCAAATAGTCATTTCCTGTACCTCATCAGTCAACGTTTTTTATAGGGAAGCTGTGACTTGAATGCAATCCAAGTAATAAAAAAACTTGGAGGCAGTCTTGAAGATTCATTTTTAGATGAAGGTAACTAAGATTTAATTTTATAACAGTTATAACTGTAAACTTTTATTGTTAATAAAGAGGAATTGGTCTTTTTTGTTACTTTGACTATTACAACTTATTGTTGCGCTGTGGGGCAGTATTTGGCAGCAGCCTCATCTCCAATTTCATAAATGCTGGGATACTTTTTCTCTACTATTAGTTTTTGACCTGCAGCCTTCCATATCTTGGCTCCATCTCTCCGCGTGTTTCACTTCTCTTTAGGTTTAATTCTTTGTTAATCTTAACATGTACTGCCTTGCTTCCTCCTCTTGCATTTCATTATCAAAGGTCTTCTTTCAAAACTACACTCGACAAACCAGATCTTATCTACCTTTTTTTAAGCATCTCTTTCCTTTCGTTTATTTTTGCTTTTTTAGGCCCCTGGGTTTCTCCCTAACATTTCCAGCTAAAAAAACTCACAACATACAGTAGGGGCGGTTGAGTCTTCAATCATCTCACTTTGCCCCGTAATATTTTACCTTCGCTTCCATTTAAATTCAGGGTACTAATGAATTGTAATGTTGATGCCTTTAAGGATTTTTATTGGATAAAAAGATTGGTGTTAATCAGCCGAAAAGAATCGAAAATGCAAAAATATTGATCGCAAACACACCAATGGATGCCGATAAAATCAAGGTACTCTACACTCATTTTTCAGTTTTAGTCTGATCCGCTTTGTATTCATTTCATCCGTGTTGCAAATAGAAAATGATTCCAAATGGGATATCTTCAAACCACTAGAATGATTGCAAAATATTATTACACGAAATGCAGGTGGTGCCAGCACTAAATTAGGCCACGGAAGTCGCTACCATGGGACAAGCTTGAATGCCAATCATGGCGGACATCATCAAACCCAGCATGATGCGTTTAAGCTGCAACTTGAATTTTTCTTCACTTTAGTAAAAGCTTTTCTGTTGTGAATTTATTAATTGTTGAAATCAGCCGAGTATTCTTGTTTGCAAAACTCAATGTGCTGAAATCTCAGAAAGGATTTTCAAACTCTTTCGTTAATTTTAGGTGTTTGGTTCCAAAGTCAAAGTAGACTCTGTAGCGAAAGTTGCGGAGTTGGAGGTTGCTGAGAAGGTCTGTTTGTTTCTTTAAATTTAAAGTCATCTGCTCGGCTATCAAATAAAACTAGAAACTTTGAAAATGTGATAATACACACACATAAGGATAAACCTAGGAGAAGAAACGCAAAATTTCTCCATTGCGTATTTTATAAACTCTTTATTCTGGCTCAGAAATCTTAAAAGAGTCGTCATATTTTACAAAAACGAAAATAATGCTGTTTTTTCCAGTAATGATAAAAAAGGTCTAACGTGCAATCATATCTTTTCATTATACATCTTTGCCTGTTATACGAAGGCACTTGTATCACCCAGGAATTAGTTCCAGTATCAGGATTTCCACAATTTTGTGTGAAAGATTGTAGTTCATGTGATAAGGTTGGTAATGTTGCCAATATTCGAAAATATTGAAGCGAATTAGAAACGTGCCAACAAAATTTTAGTCCTGGAAGGAACTTCCTACCATGATGTTAAGAGAAGATATGATATGCAATCTAATCTAATTAGGCTCGACGCAACTTCACTTGCAACTAAAGTACATCTATGCTCCAATGCGATAATGCAATTCAAACTCGATCACAATGCGTTCTTTGTCGAAATTAACTCAATCTTTTCAATCTTTTCAATCAATTAATTAATTATTTCAATTAATTTACACCAAGGTGGTGTAGTAATAAATACAGTGAAACACAATCCAGCAGCAATAAATTAGTTTCACTACAACTGCCTTCATGCGAAGATAGTAAGTAGTTAAAAAATGGGGTATCAATGTGATTGTCTCTTTCTAGGAGAAAATGAAAGACAAAGTCGACCTCATTTTGAAGCATGATATAAATTGTTTCATTAATAGGTATTTCCTTCTTTTTGAGTTCATTTTGATTTACAACTCTCCTTTCCGATTTCATTTTGATTTTCAAACAGCAGCCTTTCTCCGAAAATCTTTGCTGCGCCTAGCTCTAATGCTTTTCCTCAATTTCCCATTATACTAAGACAGTTAACCATTTTGCAGGCAACTAATTTACAATTACCCTGAGCAACTATTTGCAGACAACGGAGTAATGGCGATTGAACACGCGGATTTCGAAGGTGTCGAGCGCCTTGCTCTAGTTACAGGTAAACAGATTACAGGTTGTTCAAAAGACTCTACTCTTGTCTCTCTGGTCTGCAAGAGCTTGGAAGTAAACAAATCTTGATACATCTAAAACTTTTCCAAATCGTAGAAAAAAAATCATCGAGTGGCTTTTAAGAATCAACAAAGTATTAGATTGTTTTCTGTCAAATGAATTATTTGAAAGAAATGAAACATAGAACAGTTTCAGTCAAATGAATTATTTGGGCGAGACTCTGGATTCAAAAGCTTTTGTATGCCTTTTCCATAAGTACTTGAAATAGAAGTTTATGTTCTTAGGAAAAAAGAAAGTATTTTTCACTGTATCGTTTGAATTATAAAAATATATTTAATGATTTCAAATTTTATGCACAGCCCTATGTTCCTATGTACATTAATCTCCTTTCAATTTCCAGGCGGCGAAATAGTTTCAACATTCGGAAAACCAGAACTTGTTAAACTTGGAAAGTGTAAACTCATAGAAGAAATCATGATTGGCGAAGACAAGGTTTATATTCATAATTTATATTTTTTTTAATGAAGTTTTCTCAGCATGAATGTCTTTTGTGTGTAGCTATGTTCAATGAAAGTTTTAAGTCAAATAGAATTGATATTAAAAATTCATTTAGGGTTGGGGTAGATTTTATAAGATTCAGTTTCAGGTTTGGATTTTTTCCTACTTAAGAGTGCAAGTTGGTTTGAAATATTGTTTATTGTAATGCAACCCGAGAGGTTACATTTTATTACAGCTCATCTTTTTTATCGATTGACAGCTCATCCATTTCTCTGGAGTTGCAATGGGTGAAGCTTGCAGCGTTGTTCTGCGTGGTGCGACCCAGCAGATCTTAGACGAAGCAGAAAGGTCACTTCACGATGCACTTTGCGTTCTTTCACAAACAGTTAAAGAAACAAAAATTATTTATGGTGGTGGTTCCTCTGAAATGCTAATGGCGAATGCTGTTAACGGACTAGCTGCACAGACGCCAGGAAAAGAATCAATGGCGATGGAGGCATTTGCACATGCTTTGCGACAGGTTCGCTCATCTCGAAAACTTAGAAAATGAGAAGTAATGTCTTGCTTGTAGGCAAGGTTAATGAAGAATGAACGATCAGTAATTCTCTTTTACATTGAATTCCTAGGTTCTTTGAACAAAGGTAGCAAATAAAGTTTTACTCTGTTAATTCCCCGATCAAAATCTTTCAGTTTACTACTTGATATGATATTTCCACTCCATTTTAGTGGTTGTTTGGCATTGAAGTATCAGTTTCATCATGATCTTGTTATCAGTGTTAATATAGGCATTGTCTTTAGACCAGCTTCTTTTGTTGTCATCATCATTTTCGGCCTTAGAATTCTGGGATCTTTTGGTACTTGAACTGTAATAGTGTCCAAACTTTACTATAATGTATTTTCTTTAATGATTATAGTTGTAAAAATATAAAATTACTTTTTAATTGCAGCTCCCAACGATAATTGCTGACAATGCTGGATTTGACAGTTCTGAATTAGTGTCACAATTAAGAGCAGCTCACACGGAAGGAAAAACAAACTTTGGATTAGGTACCTTTGACGTTCTTCTTGTAGAGTGCTAGCTCGCTGGCTATAGTTTGCTCAATATTATTTCAATTATTTATGATATTCTCACTTAAGAATACAACAGATACATAGAATCACTTTCGACAATTTCTCGCCTGAAACCTTTTAAGGGAAAAACGTAAGCGAGTGGCATTTCACCTCTACATCAGTCGGTGTTTTGAATGGATATGGCCAATTACCCTTGTGTTTTAAATGTAATAGAATGTAGGTGGTAGAACAGATATAAAATGGAAACAGGAAAAATAACGTGCGGATATGATGAAACGGGTCGAAGAAAAGTGGATCTACGACAGGAGTTAGTTGGACAGGGATCGATCGGACAGGAGTTGTAAGGTCAGGCATTGGTCGATCAGGAGTTGATAGGAAAGAGATTTGTCGGACAGTTATGGTTGGACAGGAGTTAGTAGGACAGGAGTTGGTAGGAAAGGGATTGGTAGGAAACGGATTGGTCGGACAGGAGTTGGTCGGACAGTTCGACGTTTGCTTGAAGGTCCTAAAATACAGTTCACCTAAAGTATTGTTTTGGATAGTTCAGGGCTTGAAGTACATCCGATATTGTCAATTTTTGTTTTCTGCTTCACAAGGAATTGAAAATGTTTACATTGGTCGTTTAAATCTGCCCTAGATATGGACAATGGCTGTATAGCAGACATGGTTTCCTTGGGAATAACAGAATCCTTCAAAGTTAAGCGCCAGGCGTTGATATCTGCAGTTGAAGCAGCAGAGATGGTTTTAAGAGTAGATGACATCATCAGAGCAGCCCCAAGGTAACTTATGCTACGTTAACTCATGTAAAAGCCTTGTTCTGTTTACACTTCAATCAGTTTTCAAATTATCCTCCCTTCCCACATTACTCCATATTCAAATCAGATCGTCGCAAAAAATATCGTCCTTTACATTGCTCGACTAATACCTGTAATCTTTCTTTCGCACTCCTGGTTATAAAGCCTTTTTTTTCACGCAGTCACTCCATTGTATGAGTTGTTGACCTTTGCTTTTTTCCTGTCATTTTTTCTTCGCAAGCTTGCTTCCTAGGATGTGACCCAGTCCCCTTAGTCACTTGTTTTGCTTCTTGACCCTCTGTACTGTATTGACGAAGCTAAGTCTAGCAATATTGTATCCATATTTTATCACAAAATTTGACATCAATCTGTGCAAAACTAATCTTTCATTATATACATCCAAAATCATTTATGAGTAATTCATTCCAGGATACAGTATTTCTCCACCTGTATGATGAGCGTTCCTCCTACCATGGCCTTTTCTTTGCATGTATTTTTGTAAATTAATTAAAATAGCCTGCAATTTTCCAAAGGTCGTGAAAATTAATTGTTTTCATTTCAATTGCAGGAGACGTGAACGAGATGAATGCATGTAAGTTAGGTCTGAGATGTTCACAACATTACAGCCCTGACTCACTCTAGAAATTCAACCAGAGACAGTAGCGTAGAAAGGTCATTAAGTTCTATCGTTTTTGAAACATTGTTGCGGTGATCGCCGATGAAACATTCCTGAACAAAATTTGAATATGTTTCTTTTATATGACTATGCTTTTAAAAAAAGTTTTTTGCAAGGCAGTTTCATTGGCGAAGATGTCCCATATCGCGCTAATCAGTTGCAAGTAATGTCAAACAAAACTAAACAAGTTTGAACTGCATTAAACAGATGGGCATTTTTGGGCATTAAACTTTTTGGGCAACAGTATTTAAACTTGGCATAAAAAGCTTTTTCAAAAAATAAAACAAAAATACATGCACTTTTACGCCAGAACTGTTGGCCCAACAAATTACTGTGATAGTAATCTTCGTTTAAATTGCTCACTAGACACAATTTTACATTGCATACTCTGAAACATTGCGTTTTGAAGAAGCTACCCTATTGAAAGATGAGCATTTTTGCTAAAGTGTTCGTAATTTGCAAAATCGTAATTGTTTTAAACGGCTTTAATATTCATCCTGGTTGATCGTAGACTTTTTCAGTTCTTAGATATTTAGCCAAATTATTTTCCATCTAATCCAGATCCATAAGGCTATTTCGAATTTGGGTTTTGAAACAGTCCCGAACCATTTTAAATGACCGTTTTCGACAAAAACAATTCCATTCACAACTTATCAGAAATGTTCCAAATCAATTTGAAGTTCGATACATTATCAGATAAAAAAATTTTCTATAAAAAAATCGATTTTTGACAAAAAACGACCCTTTAGGATTAGGAATCGACCAATTTTCACAAAACATTTTTGGTGTTAAAACTGATAAATATTTATATCCACTTTAAAATAAACATAACTACATTTTAAACCAGTTTTAGGCAATTTCAGAGCAAAAAACTCACTATGAACAGTCCGTTTCAGGCAAAACTGCAAGGAATGATATATTTCATCAAAAATGTTTTGGTATATAAGCTTAAAGAAATGATATATTTCATCAAAAATGTTTTGGTTCAGAATTGATTGAAATTGTTTTGGGTTCTAAATCATAAGGGTTCTAAATCACTTTAAAAAACACCTAAAACCAATTTAAAACAGTTTTTGGGCACTTCTAGAGCAAAGAACCTCTTGGGAAAAAAGGACGATTTTTGACAAAAAAGTAAGGCTATAGCCTTGGGAAAATGACGATTTTTGAGCAAAATTTTTTCGTTTCAAAAATGATCATAAGGGTTCTAAATCACTTTAAAAAACACATAAAACCAATTTAAAACAGTTTTTGGGCACTTCTAGAGCAAAGAACTTCTTGGGAAAAAAGGACGGTTTTTGACAAAAAAGTAAGGCTATAGCCTTAGGAAAATGACGATTTTTGAGTAAAATTTTTTCGTTTCAAAAATGATCATAAGGGTTCTAAATCACTTGAAAAAACACATAAAACCAATTTAAAACAGTTTTTGGGCACTTCTAGAGCAACGAACTTCCTAGGAAAAAAGGACGATTTTTGACAAAAATGTAAGCCTATAGCCTTAGGAAAATGACGATTTTTGAGCAAAATTTTTTCGTTTCAAAAATGATCATAAGGGTTCTAAATCACTTTAAAAAACACATAAAACCAATTTAAAACAGTTTTTGGGCACTTCTAGAGCAAAGAACTTTCTAGGAAAAATGGACGATTTTTGACAAAAAAGTAAGGTTATAGCCTTGGGAAAATGACGATTTTTTAGCAAAATTTTATCTTTTCAAAAATGATCATAAGGGTTCTAAATCACTTTAAAAAACACCTAAAACCAATTTAAAACAGTTTTTGGGCACTTCTAGAGCAAACAACATCCTACGAAAAAAGGACGAATTTTGACAAAAAAGTAAGGTTATAGCCTTGGGAAAATGACGATTTTTTAGCAAAATTTTATCGTTTCAAAAATGATCATAAGGGTTCTAAATCACTTTAAAAAACACCTAGAACCAATTTAAAACAGTTTTTGGGCACTTCTAGAGCAAAGAACTTCCTAGGAAAAAAGGACGATTTTTGACAAAAAAGTAAGCCTATAGCCTTAGGAAAATGACGATTTTTGAGCAAAATTTTTCCGTTTCAAAAATGATCATAAGGGTTCTAGATCGCTTTAAAAAACACATAAAACCAATTTAAAACAGTTTTTGGGCCATTCTCGATGAAAGAACATTCTAGGAAAAAAAGGACGATTTTTGACAAAAAAGTAAGGTTATAGCCTTGGGAAAATGACGATTTTTGGGCAAAATTTTTTCGTTTCAAAAATGATCATAAGGGTTCTAGATCGCTTTAAAAAACACATAAAACCAATTTAAAACAGTTTTTGGGCACTTCTAGAGCAAAGAACTTCTTGGGAAAAAAGGACGGTTTTTGACAAAAAAGTAAGGCTATAGCCTTAGGAAAATGACGATTTTTGAGTAAAATTTTTTCGTTTCAAAAATGATCATAAGGGTTCTAGATCGCTTTAAAAATCACCTAAAACCAATTTAAAACAGTTTTTGGGCACTTCTAGAGCAAACAACTTCCTAGGAAAAAAGGACGATTTTTGACAAAAAAGTAAGCCTATAGCCTTGGGAAAATGACGATTTTTGAGCAAAATTTTTTCGTTTCAAAAATGATCATAAGGGTTCTAAATCACGTTAAAAAACACCTAAAACCAATTTAAAACAGTTTTTGTGCACTTCTAGAGCAAACAACATCCTACGAAAAAAGGACGATTTTTGACAAAAAAGTAAGGTTATAGCCTTGGGAAAATGACGATTTTTTAGCAAATTTTATCGTTTCAAAAATGATCATAGGGGTTCTAAATCACTTTAAAAAACACCTAGAACCAATTTAAAACAGTTTTTGGGCACTTCTAGAGCAAAGAACTTCCTAGGAAAAAAGGACGATTTTTGACAAAAAAGTAAGCCTATAGCCTTAGGAAAATGACGATTTTTGA